GACAAAGTCACCTGCACCTTCCTTTCTCTTTGAATGAGAGCCAGCTTTGTGGATCAGGTTACCTGTGGGGGGGTCTGTGACTTTTACCTTCGGAATAAAGGCACGGCTGTTTTTTCCAGAGGGAGATGGATTGTTCCGGGTCTTTCAGCCAGGATTGTGTGCCAAGCTGCTTGTCAGTCAACCCGGCCAGGGTTCATTAAACCCACTCCATTAGAGCTAATGTGTTGTAGGTCGGTGGTTATGGGTGGCCTCACCATTCAGGACTAACAGACCACATAACTGACTGGGCCGCTGATTTCTTTCTTTCTCACTTTATAGAAAGAGAGCTGCATGTCTTTGTTACCTAATAATATCCAATAAGAAAAGAAAATCCTATAAGATCAAAGCACAAAATACCACACATGAATGTGGTGCGAGTATATTCGGTGGGTTCTGAACTGAGTTATCAACTGAAACCACCCACCTCTGTGCCTTAATGTGGATTCAGAGTTGGAGGTGGACCTTAAATATGGCTGCATGGTGGCGCAGTTGTTAGCACTGTTGCCTCGCAGCACCAGGGTCGCAGGTTCGCAGGCTCAAAACTCGGCTGCGGCCTTTCTGCGTGGAGTTTCGTGTTCTCCCCATGCATGCGTGGGTTTCCTCCGGGTACTCCGGTTTCCCCCACAGATCACAACATGCCCTATAGGTTATAAATTGTAAGTCGCTTTGGATAAAAGCGTCTGCTAAATGAATAAACATAAACATAAATATAATCCATAATAACACCAGTTAAACAAAAGAAAAAAATCAGTTTGTTTTTCAGGAAATACTCCCCTGTTGTTGTTGTTGTTGTTGTTTCTATTGTTGTTGTTGAGTTTATTGTACTGTATCTTACAGGTGAGGATGTGTGTGAGAGCTGCAGCTTTATGTTATACTGCTTTTTACTTTTTATTACATCTGAAATAATCCACAGGTTATTTTAAACAAAATAAAAACAAAACAAACCCTCTAAATGAATCAAGTCGGTGAATTGAATCAACCGTGCTGCTAAACGGATGCGTTTGATGCTGGAGAGACACCACAAAAGCCCTTTGTGACACTGCACAGCAACCAGAGGGTAATGAAAATGACTGAGAGAATAAATAAAAAGGCTGGAGTTGGATCATACATTTAAATGAACCCAGATTATTTAGTTTGCCTGTTTAAATGTTAAGCTGCTCCTTTAGCTTTAATTCTAAATAAACACACTAAATACAGACATGTGTATTTGTAATAGTTTTCTGTATTTACTTACAGAACAGAAACTGGGAAAGGAGCAGACTAAAGGGTTACTAAAGTTTGCGCTGCTTCAATTCATCTGCTTCTCTGTTTAATATTGTAATTTCCAGTAATCCTGTGTAGGTTTTCCTACAGTCATTCATTCCTGTCTGCCTTTAGAGTCACTCAACAAAGTTAGCATTCCTTTGGAAGAGTCTCATATTGTGTTCTTCTTGAATCACTCAGGATCAGTCAGGCTGCATGGCAGATCTGAAGTTGAGAGGCAGACTGCTGCCAGACCACATTGGGTTTTCCAGAAGCCTGTTCTGAGTTTATTTTATTTTTTATTTTTTTGTGCAATGCATTAGGTTGTCTTATTAAAAGTTTAGTTTTAGCCTCAGATTATAAACAGTAACGGACAGTTTTTCACTCCAGTTTGCATCAGAAACACATCATACTGCAGCATTCAGATTGGATTTGTGGCCAAATTAAAGAAACAATATGTAATAATTTCATAGTTACATAATCACAAACCAGTCTATGACTCAGTCATGTTGGAGGGAAGGTCACATTCAAACAGATTTTTTTGTCAGCTGGCTGGGGGCTTGTCAATTTCCTCCTTTCAAAATGGCCAAAGAGGGACATAGTTACTGTTTACAATCTGTGAGGCCACAAAGTTGCAAAGACGTTGCCAAACATCAGCCGCTGCAGTGCCGGCATTTGGAATATGACACCAGCCGGCAAATTGCAGTACTTGTAAAGAACCTAACAGCGCCTTTCTAGACGTGTAAGCATTCGGTGATGTTCGCCAAATGTACGCAGCAATTAGCCGCCATTATAGTGGATGGGGCATTTCCATCGACCGCGAGGCATCCCAGAACCAAAGAGACATGTTGCTTATGCTTCAAGTCTATCATTCTATGTACGTATATGTATAGTGGTACTGATACATTTACACACCCTGGCGGATTTCTTTTGGGTCATTTCTCAAAGAAAATAAATGAAAACACAAAAATTTTTTCACTCATGGTCAGTGACGTACTGAACTCCAGAGCAACAGAGGACAAGATCTACCACACCAGACAAGACCCAAGGTGTAGAACCCTGAGACAATCCACCACATAACTCCAGGGTGTACGATGCTTGCAGAGAAAGCATACATGAAACACCACGACCAACTGACTGGAGAGAGAGAAAGCCAAGCTCCTGAGGGACTTCCAGATCCAGACCAACAAAATGGTAATGGTGAACCAACCGGACATTGTGGTGGTGGACAAACAACAGAGAACAGCTGTTGTGGTTGATATGGCAAAACCAAGTGATGGTAACATCAGGAAAAATAAACACAGAAGTACCAGGGCCTCAGAGAAGACATCGGTGGTGCTCGTAGTCATCAGGGCAATCAGGGCAGTAACCCCCAAACTGGAGGAGTGGCTAAGGAAGATCCCAGGAAAAACATCAGCCATCTCAGTCCAGAAAAGTACAGTTCTAGGAACCGCTAAGATACTGCAGGACCCTCAAGCTGTCCGGCCTCTGGTAGAGGACCCGAGCTTGGAAGGATGAGACCACCCATGGAGGGTGAGATGGGAATTTGCATATTTATATATGTAAAATCATAAATATATGGTAACTATCTGTAATTCTATTTCTATATTTGTTTAAGTCCTGGTGAGTCACAGTTCTTATCCAGCTTTTCTTGCACATGATTTTCTTTACATTGTTTTCTTTGAACATTTGAGAAGCTAAAGCACAAAAAGAAATGAAAATCAGCTCGCCTGCTGTCACACACGTTTGGGTCCCCTGAAATCCAGGGAACATCTCTGGTGTGTTGTTAAACAGTCCCTGTGCTGGTGCAGATTTGTTTCTAGGATATAACACAGTAATTTTGATTAATAGCCCATGGACTTCTGTTTTTATGTAGCTTACATTCCTTTCATTTTGCGAGCATACCACATCATACACACTACTTCCTTGCCTATCATTTAAAATAGTCACGTGAAAACAAACTGGTTAGAATAACAGAGTGGTTCTGTTTCCAGACGCATAGTTTAGTTTAGAGGGCGGTGTCCATCGCAGAAATGCAAAAGGCCGGCAGAGTTTAATTTAAGTCCTAAACTCAGTATTTTAAGCATAGTTCTATTTAGTTCAGCTTAAACGTGACCATCGGAACTTGCTCTATAATATAAAGTAAATAATAAGGTTAATAACTTACATTTAACCCAACTCCCTCCCCTGGCTTCTACAGCAAAACAAATCTTTTACTTCAGCCTAGAGCGTTGATCAATAGAGCTACGCATCTACAAGAGGGAGCTGGCCCTGGTCGCCCAGGTCTGATTGCTGCGGATCAAGGTCGCTGTGGAGTTCTCTGAGGGAGATGAAACCCTGCAGCTCATTGAGTTGATGCATGCTTCACATTAGAGTGGCTCAACAACATTGTCCTGGTTAAACTCCCTGCAGACCTCCATTAGCTTTGGTTAGCTCAGTTAGCTATGATTTCCTACCAGCACGTCATGTTTCAGCCAATTTTTAACCAAAATCCACAGCATTTTACCCTGTTCAATCAGCAAAATAAACTACAAAAATATAATTAAACTTACTGATAAAAATGAAACAGAGACTTCTTGGGTGGTCTGTTGGTGCAATCAATACTGCCATCTTTGTCCAATAATTGCACGATTAGCATCCAAACATGAATATACAGAGGATGCAATCGAAGGTCAAGATTAGAGAATCGCATTGGTTGTAGCACTTTTATCGTGAGGCTGAGGCCTTTCCAGAGCTAAAACTGAAGCTAAATAGCTGATGGTTATTCACGACACACACTAAAATTACAAGAACAGAATATAGCAAATGTTTCACAAGACTGTGTTGTTTCTGACCAAAGTCACCATGATGACAACGTTTCAGTGTGAGATGATCCTTTAGTTTAGTGCATATTGGTTCCTTTAGAGAATGCTAGGTTTTTAATCTGTTGGTGCTTTTTAAATATTGTTAACTGACAATAATTAGAAAACTGCATCACTTGGTAAGCAAAACAAAAAATGGAAGCAAGTAATAAAACCCTGTTTATTGGGGACTGATGGGATGCTTATAATTATGACTTTTAAATAAAGAAAAGGCAACATTTTAGTTATGGGAATTAGTCATCAGCATCACTATAAAATGAAAGACAGAAGTATCAAAGAAATATTAATGAGATGTACTGATGTTACATTTTTCACACCAAAGAATCTAAAAAAACATTTGTTAAATAGTTTTTATTTTAAAATGAGCTTTATCAACAGATGGCCTGCCAGTTAAGTAAGTAAGTAAAGTTTATTTATATAGCACCTTTCACAGATATAAATCACAAAGCGCTGTACAACATGAGTAAAATCAGGGCAAAATACCTCAAACCAATAAATACATCATAAAAACAATAGCAGTGATAACAATAGTAACCAAAATCAGGAGTAAAAACAAAGTCAAGGTGTGAACAAGAGGACACAGATGTGTTTATAAGTCTCAACAAACCTGTCAAAGCTCACACCATTAAAACCACTGACACAATTTTACTACGTTAATGTTAACTACGCACAATGTTTACAGTGTAGATAATCAACATCATGCAGGGCTGCTGTTTTATTCTGGCATGTTCAGTATGTGACGAGCGGGTGAGCGGGAAAACACAAGAACCCTCCCTTCCTGTATTAGTTTGAGAAGTAATGTGTTTACAGTGGGTTTATGGGGTGGCTGAGACCCTTTCTCGACTTGTCTCTCAACAGCGCTGAAGAGTGGAGGCAGAGGTGTGCTGCATGGGGGGCCACAGCCAGGCCTTATGGCTGGAGGGGCCCCAAACTCAATGAGTTCTAATAACGTCCTCTAGGAGCCTCCGAGGTGATTCAGTTCATGTGGAGACACTGAAAGGTATGGACCGTGTGTGTGTGTGTGTGTGTGTGCGTGCGTGCGTGCGTGCGTGCGTGCGTGCGTGCGTGCGTGCGTGTGTGTGTGTGTGTGTGTGTGTGTGTGTGTGTGTGTGTGTGTGTGTGTGTGTGTTTATATTTATTTATTTTTTTAACAGCTCAATAAGCTCTAGCATTTAGATTTATTGGAATGACTTTGTAAAACGTAAAGCTTCACTTCGTCAACAATTCAAAAACTTTGTTTTATTTTATCTTCACAATTTGTTTTAAAAGTTGTATTTCTGTTTCATTTCTTTTCATTTGAATGTGGATATTTCTCCTGTGCACCCTCAAAATCCATAAGGATGAATTTAAACTAAACTGTTTGCAATGGTGAATCAATCTTATCAAACTAAAACATTATTTAACTATACATCATTTAGTAAAATGTACGCTGAAAAATCTTGCTTCTTACTTATTTGTCACATAAAAGCGTTATAAAATGAAAAGACATCAAACTGAGGAAATGCTATTCTAATTTAAATTCAAATTATTGTTTAATTCTTGCAGTTTTGGCATTTCATCCAGAGATTTTTATTCTTCTTTCTGGTTCTGAAGCTACCTTCGGCAATATAGAGCTGCAGCTCAAAATTTTATTTTTGCATAGGTGGCAGCTCTACACTTCCGTAGGTACCTCTCAAAGTGTCCTTCAGCAATAAAAACAGGCACAAGACAGAAAATGAAAGATCACGGGAGTTATTCTAATCTCTCATCTGTTTTGCAAACATGTAAATTGTTCCATAATTAATATAAAGATCATTTGTTTTCACGTTCAAACGTTGTACCCTAAACATAAGACCAGAAGTTTTGTGGGGTGTGGTTAGAAATACTTGTACGAATTAGACAGACCTCACAAGTATTTACTAGTGTATCATAGTGCACATTATGTACTGTTATACAGGCTTTGATGTGTTGTGCCAAAAGTTTTAATCCTGACACCCGAGGCAAAAGTAGCATATAATAAAGCTACCTGATGAAGCCAGCTGCTAGAGCCGTCACAGGTTTTAACATGCCTGTGATTCCTGTGGTGCTGCATTAAATATGTTCCCTTTTGACATCTGTCTTTAAATGTTTTGTTTTCACGAATTTGTTCAAATAATAGAGTAAGCACTTTTTAAAAAGATATTAAAGATGATGGTAAGTTTATCAGACTATATACAACACATTTCTGATTGGTGTTCATGGCACCTTTTTTGGTCAAGGGTCAGAACCCCCCCCCCACCACCACCACCACCACCACCACCACCACACACACACACACACACACAGACACACACACTCTGCAGGCACACAGTTTATGGGGTGCTATTTGTAAAAGTCCAACATGTAAAACTTAACAGCAATATTTTGGGTTATTTAGCCCATCATAAATGAAAAGAAATAGGAGTTTCGTTTTCAAAGTCATATTTCCACTATGTTAGTCACACATTTATAAATGCTAAAGTTCCCAACTAAATATGTCGTTTGCATGCTAAATATTTAGTTTAGAGTTGTGGGCGACGGTGGCACAAGAGTTAAGTGCTTGCCACTTAATCGGGAGATTGCAGGTTCGAGCCCCGCTCAGTCTGTCGCTGTCGCTGTGTCCTTGGGCAAGACACTTAACCCACCTTTCCTGCTGGTGGTGGTCGGAGGGACCGGTGGCGCCAGTGCTCGGCAGCCTTGCCTCTGTCAGTGCGCCCAAGGCCAGCCGTGGCTACACCGTAGCTCATCCCCACCAGTGTTTGAATGGGTGAATGACTGATTGTGTTGTAAAGCACCTTGGGGGGTTCCAGGATTCTAGAAGGCGCTATATCAAATACAGGCCATTTACCAAATATTTATTTTACAAACTAAATAATTGGATTAGTTAGTAAATGTTATGTTTATTTTACAAAACTAAATATTAGGTCTGACCTAATTATTTAGTTTAGTATAATAAACATTTTACTTACTAACAAAATATTTAATTTGAACCGAATTATTTGGTTTACAAACTAAATATTTAGCTCCAAATTAAATGTGCATTTTACAAAATAAATATTTATTTTGAGGCTAAACCTAAGTATTAATTTTGCAAACAAATTGTTTAGCTTGAAAATAAAAATTTAGCTGAGATCTTAATATTTATTTTGGAAGACAAATATTTAATTTGGAGCTAAATATTTTAGTTTACAAACTAAATTTTTGCTCCAAATTAAAGGTGTTGCCGAGGATGCTTTTGAATTTTAGGAAAGAACAACTCTCTCCACGGTTTAAAAAAATGCGCATGAGAGAGAGCGCCAAGTTATCCTTGTGCATGCTCTGTTTATAAGTAATTGCCGGCCTTGCAGCTAACTTCTTCTAGCAGTAATCTGAAATAAATTTCTGCAAATAGCACACCAAACTTTAGCTTACCCGTCGAGCACAAAACTGGCAACTGAGGAGTCTGTGGGGAGCCCAGCCTTCGCTTTGCACAGGATGCAAAGCGAAGGAAGTTGAAACCACCCAGCAATGAGCACTTATGACAATGGCCTTGCGTGAATGGTTCACCTGAATGAATGACAGCTATGAGGACCAATGGTTCAGATGATCCACCCAGAAGAAAAAGATCCTCTGCTGTACTTTTAAATGTTAAGTTCATAAATTAAATATTTATTTTATAAACAAAATAGTTAGGTCTGACCTAAATATTTTGTTTATAAAAATAATATTTGACACTAAATGAAATATTTTGCATGTGATAGGCTAAAAATCTTAAATTGCTGCTGTTAAATTATGACTGTTTGACTTTCCAAATGGCACCCCATAACAGTTTCATCCCCAACATTTTCATAGTTACATGTTTTGCTCAAAAACTTTTTTCAGCAATTCTATTTGTAATTCCGTGGAACCAACACTTAACCTGTACCCTGACCTCAACCTGTGCCAGTTTTCACTATTAGGGATCCTAACCGCTGCAGAGCAGACCAACTCAAACACATCAGCTCCAAGAATAGGACATTTATGTAATGCAAAGTATCCAACTACATTTCTCGTGCAACTTTTAGCAAGATAATCAATGTTTTTGAAGTTATAAGCCATAATGGCAGACCAACTTATTCCAATTCAAATGTTAAGAGTGCCGGCAGTGGCAAAGTGCGTTAAGATCCCAGCCAGGCCCATCTCACAGGTCCAAACAATAACATCTTGAGCCTAAAACTAATTAAATGAGGTAAAACTTGTTATTTTTTTCCTGTGAAATAAAGCTAAATATCAGAGTGTATCACTGTGAAGCCCATGGACAATTCCAAGCCTGCCCTTCTACGAGTGCGTGTTAGCACAGTGCCGTTTCTGCTCTTGTAATTTCTACAATAATTTCACATGATTATAAAAATTAGATGTCAAACGTTCTGCTTCTTCCTGTTTACGTGTATAAATCCGTTTGGGGACATGGATGTCCTCTGGGCATCTGAAATAGTGTTCAGTATCCTTCCTACCTAATTAGGATTTGTAAAGGAAACTTTCTTGTAAAACTATTTGAGCCTTTGAAAAATATGTTGCTCCTATGGTTCAAGTCAAGTGCAAAATGTTTCCCATGCAGAAAGGAAATTCTAATCTCCTTGATAATTAAAGTCTGACCTTTGACATTGTCGGAGTTTGGGGATATATAAATATATATAGTGGATGTGTTCTCTGTGGTGGGTCCAAAGCTTTGAAAAGAGTGACCCCACTCTGTACGGTTTTTAAAATCTGTTTTCAAGGTTTGGGGAAAGACATTCAATTCAATTATATTCAGTTTATATAGCGCCAAATCACAACAAGAGTCGTCTCACGGCACTTGACAAAGTAAACATTCCAATACAGGTCAGTTCATTAAGCCAATCAGTAAAAGGTTTCCTGTATAAGAAACCCAGCAGGTTGCATCAAGTCACTGACTAGTGTCAGAGTCTTCACAGCAATCCTCATACTAAGCAAGCATGCAGCGACCGTGGAGACGAAAACTCCCTTTTAACAGGAAGAAACCTCCAGAGGATCCTTGGCTCACTATAAGCATTCATCCACCACGACTCACTGGGGATGGAGAAGACAGAGCAGACACACACACACACACACACACACACACACACACACACACACACACACACACACACACACACACACACACACACACACACACACACACACACACACACACACAAACACACACACACACACACACAACATATATACAAGTAGTATTTCTATAGTTACGTTGTGATTTCTCAGTAAATATTCTATTTAGTAAGAGATAAACTTTATTGTATTTCTCCTAGTGAATCTACAATTAAATGGGTAAACTAGTAGTAGCACATTCCATGTCAAAGAGACTAAAATGTTATTATCAAGAGAGGGAGAATGTTTCAGTGGTTAGCATCAGTGTGCTAGCCGATGGCCCCCTTCATGGAGAACGCTAACATCACTGCAACCCGGAAGTGATTATTCAGCTGGCTTAAAATTCAGAAACCAGGGGTCCGAGGCATAAACCCTATTAATTTCTCAATAAATGCACATTAAAGCTAATTGGTTTTCTAATTTATAAAAGATAAAATAAATGTTGTCAGCCAACTGCTTTAACAGAAGTTTTTTCTGTTCTCATTGATAATCTCAGATTGTGTGCCCATGAGGTCATCCATGCTGGTCCTGTTCCTCTTCTTCAGTGCCCAGGTAGTGGCCAACATCAGAGGGGACTCGAGCAGCCCCACAACACCGCAGCAGATCAATGCCCACTCCATCCCCTCTGTGGACCCAAACCTCTTCATCAAGCGCCACCATCTCTCCCCAAGGGTGCTTTTCAGCTCTCAGCCTCCTGATGATGAACCAGCAGGGTCGCAAGGGGGCGGCAGAAGGACCCGCAGGCGAGCAGGACAACCTCAGCACCGCGGGGTATACTCTGTGTGTGAAAGTGTTAGCGTCTGGGTGGGCAACAAGACCAAAGCCACAGACATCTCGGGCAATGAGGTGACGGTGCTCCCCGATGTGAACATCAACAATGTCAACAAGAAGCAGTATTTCTTCGAGACAACGTGTCACAGTTCTCGACCTGGCAGCTCGGGCTGTTTAGGAATCGATGCGAGACACTGGAACTCCTACTGCACCAACTCACACACTTTTGTTCGAGCGTTGACTTCATTCAATGACATGGTGGCGTGGAGGCTCATACGCATCAATGTGGCATGTGTGTGTGTGCTCAGCCGCAAGTCGTGGCGACAGTGAAGAATGAGTCTCACACACACACACACACGTGCTGGCTCACACAAATGATCCACAGCAAACACAAAGACACAGAAACATCCAGACAGCTGTGTCTTTCTGCACATAACTTATCACCAAAGACTTCTGCACAGATTAAATTATTGGAATATGTCAAAGTATACACACCAGACCTGGGTCAAAGAGTATCTGCATTTGGTTTGTGTAATGTTTAGTCTTGTTTGTTTTGCTCTTGGTTGTTTTTGTTTGATTTTTTTTTTTTTTTTGCCTGCATTGATTCGGTTGGTTGAAATCTTTCATTTTACCACTAGACACCACTATAAAGGCGGATGAAGACAAAACAGACATGAGATTGCACTTTTGGATGCAGACAGGCTTGCATAACTGCATGGACGTACCGGTATGGGCTCATCTGGATAGGAAGTTGTTCCTAAACCAAACCACCCTTTCATCATTACCATGCTTTTTCGTTAATTAGGATAACGAGAGACTTGACACCCAAAAGCACAGGCAAAAAACACAAATATGTCCCAGAGACTCTGGCCCTGTCCACACGTAGCCGGGGTAGATATTATTCTACGTTTTGGCCTGTCATCCACACGAAAACAGAGTTTTTTCACACGAAAACGGATCTTTTTAAAAACTCCGGCCAAAGTGAAGATCTGCGTTTTCTCCGTTTTGGGTGTCTGTGTGTGGGCAGACAAAACCGGAGTTTTAAGGTCCGCAACGTCACTTTCCGCGACAAAAAATGCTGACGTCACGTGTGCGACCTGTGTTTACACTAGCTGACAGCATGGATGCTCTCAGAGCTGCGCTCGCTTTATCAATTGTCCAAGCGCTTTTTGCTTGTTTGTTTTTGCAAGCGGAATTACTGCTCCTTGCGGAAGACCACAGACGAAGGACGAGGTTAAGAACGGGGGAAGTACTGCCGCCTACAGGTCTGGCATGTCCTTAACAACGTATTTATCCGGGTACGTGTGGACAGAGTTTGTTTTTAAAACGCGGTGGTGTGGATGCAAGTTTTTGGAGGGGCGGATATTCGTTTTTTTTTTTTTAAACTGCTACGTGTGGACTAGGCCTCAGTAAATACAATTTGACCCAGGACTGTTAGGAACAAAACGTTTAATATTATTATGAATGTTGATGTTTATATTGTTATTTATTAAACATATTAAAAAATTCTGAGTGTTTTATGACCTTGTTTCTGCATCTCAAATGAAATCCTACACAACTTTTAATACAAATTTGCAGCCTGTGTGGAAAAATGTGGATAAAGCACATAGGGCCTCTTTTAGTGGTCAGTAATTTAATTTATTTGGCTTTTTTATTGCATTTGTTCTACTGGTCTTCGTTCCACCTCAAACATGAAATAAATGGTTAAAGTCAGACATTAAAACAAAGACTGTCAGTGATTAATGTGACTAACTTACTGATTACATCATGGCTTGGTGTATTATTTGTTTTGGCAGTAGAATTTCACTGTTGTCAGCACACAACAAATTGCTCTGGCATTCAGTCATCATTGGTTGATTGTTTTGGGTTCAGAGCCCAGTTTTGCATCACAGCTTGTTTTCCAAGGCTGTCTGTGTGACTCAATGAGGCTGGAACTGAAACGAAGAAAAAGAAAAGAACGAAACAAGCATATGATGAAGATTATGTTTCTGAAAAGTGTTTTTTAACTAAAATGCAACATATTGTGTCTACCTGTCATACACATTTGTTTGCTCAACGTTGAAGTTACCAGAAGTGATGCACTCTAAAGAACAATGCAATACCTCTCTCTAGTGGACAAAAGCTGGAATACACGATGTCTTCAAAATAAAACTTGCAAGAATTTTACAGCACACATGCACACTGAAACAATGTGTTTTAAGGAAAAACTCACTGTGCCTGTGCTACAGTTAAAAACGTATTGTGGCATGACATCATACTGGTGCTATTTCTAATTTACTACATGCATATTGTATCTTTTATAAAAAAAATACTTCATGACGAAGGTAAAGAAAACAAGCACTTCCATTTTTGTCTGTGAACAATAAATGTTGTCAGGAGCACCAATAACAACAAATATGACTTTGACACGAGTTGGCTAGGCTTAGACTAGCCTAAACTGCTAATTCAAGCATTATGTTTTGCTTTATTTTGTAAATAAAGATCACATAGAAACAAAACAAACTCTTAGGATCTCTTTAGACACTTTGAATCCAAGCAATAGCGCTGTTTCTAAAAGCCTAAAACCAGACACATGTAACTGGGTTCAACACAATGGTTTTGGTTTAGTCAGAGTGGTAAACCCAGCTAGCTGAAGGTGAATTTATGGAACTGCAGTCTTTTTCTGACATGTGGCGATCATAATTATCATTATTTGATCTATTGAACCTTATTAAAACACCACTCGTTACATTATTTAGTTATTTTATGCACACCGATCAGCATTGCTCTGAGGAAGGCTGCAGAGTTAGCCAAAACTTGTCAGCAAAAAGTTAGAAACAAATGTTTATTATGCTGTGTGCAGAAAAAAAATAATGGAATGTCAGAGCATTGTTAGGAAGCCTGAAAGGACTGTTTTAATATGTTTTCCAAATTTGCTATTGCAGCTGTAACAAGAGAACATTTTGCTTTTAATGAATTATCACTGAGGGCTTGTTCATAACAAAAATTGATGATAGCATCCACTTTGCCTTTGAAAAGCTAATTGCTTTAATTCTCACTTATAGAAAGAAGACATAAAGGTGTCCATATGTGCTCTTGGCACCAGGATACCTTAGGCCGCAGCTCGATGATCGACTTTGTTGTTTCATCTGACCTGTGGCCGCATGTCTTGGACACTCAGGGGAAGAGAGGGGCGGAGCTGTCAACTGACCACTACCTGGTGGTGAGTTGGCTCAGACGGTGGGGGAGGATGCCGGTAAGACCAGGCAGGCCCAAACGTATCGCGAGGGTCTGCTGGGAACTTCTGGCAGAGTCTCCTGTCAGAAGGAACTTCTATTCCCACCTCCGACAGAACTTCCAAAATGTTCCAGGGGAGGCGGGGGACATTGTGTCTGAATGGACCCTGTTCTGTGCCTCCTTTGCTGAGGAGGCCGACTGGAGGGTCGCAGGATTGTCTGTGCCTGTCGTGGTGGCAACCCCCAAACCCGCTGGTGGACACCGGTGGTTAGGGATGCTGTCAAGCTGAAGAAAGAGTCCTATCAGGTCTTTTTGGCCTGTGGGATTCCAGAGGCAGCTGACGGGTACCGGCAGTCCAAGCGGAACGCGGCTCAGGTGGTCGCAGAGGCAAAACCTGAGCATGGGAGGCGTTTGGTGAGACCATGGAGCAAGACTTCCGTACGGCTTCGAGGAGATTCTGGCGCCTCGGGGGGGGGGGGGGGGGGGGTTGTGCACTACCAACACTATCTATAGTGGGGACAGTGTGCTGCTGACCTCTACTCAGGACGCTGTGGATCAGTGGGCAGAATACTTCAAAGACCTCCTCAATCCCACCAACACGTCTTCCAGTGAGGAAGCAGAGTCTGGGGACTTTGGGTTGGCCTCTCAAATCTCTGGTGCTGAGGTCACTGAGGTGGTTAAAAAGCTTCTCTGTGGCAAGGCTCCAGGGGTAGATGAGATCCGCCCGGAGTTCCTTAAGGCTCTGGATGTTGTGGGGCTGTGTTGGCTGACGCGGCTCTGCAATATCGCGTGGACATTGGGGGCAGTCCCACTAGACTGGCAGACCGGGGTGGTGGTCGCCTTATTTAAAAAGGAGGACTGCAGGGTGTGTTCCGACTACAAAGGATCACACTCCTGAGCCTTCCTGGTAAGGTCTATTCAGAGGTTCTGGAGAGGAGGGTCCATCGGATTGTTGAACCTCAGATTCAGGAGGAGCAATGTGGTTTTCGTCCTGGCCGTGGAACACTGGACCAGGTCTATACCCTTAGGGGGATCATGGAGGGTGCATGGGTATTTGCCCAACCAGTCTACATGTGTTTTGTGGATTTGGAGAAGGCGTTTGACCGCGTCCCTCGGGGGGCCCTGTGGGGGGGTACTCCAGAAGTATGGGGTACCAGGCCCTCTGATACGGGCTGTTAGGTCCCTGTAAGACCGGTGTCAGAGCTTGGTCCGCATTGCCGGCAGTAAGTCCAGTGAGAGTTGGACTCCGCCAAGGCTGCCCTTTGTCACCGATTCTGTTCATTACCTTTATGGACAGGATTTCTAGGTGCAGCCAAGGTGTGGAGGGCATCTGTTTTGGTGGCCTGGGGATCAGGTCTCTGCTTTTTGCAGATGATGTGGTCCTGTTGGTTTCATCAGAACTTGATCTTCAGCTTTCGCTGGAGCGGTTCGCAGCCGAGTGTGAAGTAGCTGGGATGAGAATCAGCTCCTCTAAATCTGAGACCATGGTCTTGATTCGGAAAAGGGTAGAATGTCTTCTCCGGGTCAGGTGTGAGCTCCTGCCCCAAGTGGAGGAGTTTAAGTATCTTGGGGTCTTGTTCACGAGTGAGGGAAAACTGGAGCGGGAGACAGATAGGCGGATTGGTGCTGCATCTGCAGTGATGCGGGCATTGTACCGGTCTGTCGTGGTGAAGAGAGAGCTGAGTCCGAAGGCGAAGCTCTCGATTTACCGGTCGATCTACGTTCCTACCCTCACCTATGGTCATGAGCTTTGGGTAGTGACCGAAAGAACGAGATTGCGGATACAAGCGGCCGAAATGAATTTTCTTCGAAGAGTGGCTGGGCTCTCCCTTAGAGATAGGGTGAGAAGCTCTGTCATCTGGGAGGGGCTCGGAGTAGACCTGCTGCTCCTCCACTTTGAGAGGAGCCAGTTGAGGTGGCTTGGGCATTTGATCAGGATGCCTCCTGGATGGCTTCCTGGTTAGGTTTTCTGGGCACGTCCAACCGGGAGGAAGCCTAAAGGTAGACCCAGGACACGGTGGAGGGACTACGTCTCTCATCTGGCCAGGGAACACCTTGGGATTCCCCCGGAGGAGCTGGCCCAAGTGGCTGGGGAGAGGGAAGTCTGGGCCTCTCGACTTAGGCTACTGCCCCCATGACCCGACTCCGGATAAGTGGATGAAAATGGATGGATGGATGGATGGATGGATGGATGGATGGATGGATGAGAATAATTTATTCCACCCAAAATGGGTAAATTAGACTTTTACTTGCAGTCATATCATGTCATATTTTCCAACAGGAAATGATAAGATCATATAAAATAAATCTGAGAGGTAGTGTCTGTATGAAATGTATTTATGAAAGACCATCTGTTATTCAGGAGAGATGCTATCTATCATCTATCTATCTATCTATCTATCTATCTATCTATCTATCTATCTATCTATCTATCTATCATCTATCTATCTATCTATCTATCTATCTATCTATCTATCTATCTATCTATCTTTCTATCTATCTATCTATCTATCTATCTATCTATCTATCTATCTATCCATCTATCTATCTATCTATCTATCTACCATCTATCTATCTATCTATCTATCTATCTATCTATCTATCTATCTATCATCTATCTATCTATCTATCTATCTATCTATCTATCTATCTATCTATCTATTATCTATCTATCTATCTATCTATCTATCTATCATCTATCTATCTATCTATCTATCTATCTATCTATCTATCTATCTATCTATCTATCTATCTATCTATCTATCTATCTATCTATCATCTATCTATCTATCTATCTATCTATCTATCTATCTATCTATCTATCTATCTATCATCTATCTATCTATCTATCTATCTATCTATCTATCTATCTATCTATCTATCTATCTTAGAAGCAGTAGGCGGTGATGTGATGTGTCTCGTGATCCACCCTGGCTGAACCTTAAACACTGAGGTCGCTGTTTCCCTCCCACACCAACGCAGCAAACAAAGACAGTGCAAACATCAGAAGCTGGGATGTGAGAGTGGGTGAACCCAAGCTTTTGTAATGTGCCACTCTGGGATTTTAATTCAGAGGAAAAGTTCGGATTCAGAATGCAAATTCAGCAGCAATTTCCAATCACAGATATTACTGCTTTGTGTGGAAGGTGATGCACAAGAGCATGTTTCCTAGACACAAGCATAATCTGCATTAATAATTGCAGAACAGTTGTTGTCAAGAGGAATATCATTTAAATTCCAATTTCATCAATCTAAATGAGAGACGTCCATCCCTGGACCTCATGAGCATGTGTCCAGCAGGTTTTAGAGGTTTCTTTGCTTCTTACCTGATGATTAGCAGCCTTCTCCAGAGCTTGATGGTGTTCTGAACAGATATTTTTTTTTCTGAGAATGTTGGATAATTGTGTTCAAGTCAAAATGAACTTGATTCTATTAATCCTAATATGTTTTTTTTTCAGTGTTGCATAAATTCTCTGAAGGTGTCTCTAGCATGTTGCATTGCTGAGATTATGATGGATGAATCCAGTGGTAACCCTGAAGAAATTACAATGGTGAAGGGGTGGCACGATGACCCTGCACAGCAAGTTTCTGCGTGGAGCTTGAATGATCTTTTTGTGTGCTGCCATGGGATTTCTTTCTTTATTTTTTTCCTGTGTCCTGTCTGGCTGTGAAGCAAACAGAATGCTGGTGACAAGCCTTACAGATTTTACTCTCAGGTGGAGCATCAAAGAATTTGCTTTTAATGTCATGCCATCAATGCCATCAATTGTCCAAGCGCTTTCTGCATGTTTGTTTTTGCAAGCGGAATTACTGCTCCTTGCGGAAGACCACAGACGAAGGACGAGGTTAAGAACAGGGGAAGTACTGCCGCCTACAGGTCTGGCATGTCCTTAACAACGTATTTATCCGGGTACGTGTGGACAGTGTCACAATGGGTGTAGCTAACCGCTCTGAGTTTTCCTGTTTGCAGGTGGGTGCGCCCGGAGAGCAGCTGCTGCAAATTCCCTCATCAGCTCGCAGGGGATTTAAGGAGCGGTGTGACAATTCACCAGTGCTGGATGATTACTCACATTGGGTAGTTTACTACAGCTCTAGACCTGTTTCGGATTATTCTGCATCCTGTTCTGCCTGTTTTAAGCCTCGTCATCATCTGTCCCGTTCCTCCATTCTCCCGCCCAGGTACTCTCATCATCTGCCTGTTACCAGCTCTTCAACCTGCACTCTCACCAGTTACTACCCGGAGCCTCTGGATCTCCTGCCCACCAGCCACACCGCTTCTCTTGGCCGCCTGCTCTCCTGCGCTCACCTGCCCACTCTTGGAACCGGTGCTCAGCTCCCAGCCTCCTCCACCAGCTACCACTCAGACCTGACACGCCCTCCTCTCCGCGCTCCACTACCTTCCTGGAATCCGTAAGCCTCTATTCGATCGCACCTTCCCCGTTTGCATTACATTTCTCATTTTTGTTCTCTATCTCAGAACGCTGCCAGAACCGTCCCCCTCCGACGTCTCCCCAGCCTCATCAACCTCAATAAATTATATATTATTTTACTCACCTTGTCTCTTTCGTGATTCTGCATGTCGTGGGTCAAAAGACTCGACCACACCATGACAGAATCATCCAGCCAAAACACAGACCCACTCGCTGAATCACATCCGCCTGATCTCGCCACAACTCTGTCCCAACACGAGAGCTCCATGATCAGCAAGCTAACACCAATCAGCATTTGTTCCAACTGGAGAGTCTTATCCGGCAACTCCACGAAAAGATCTCTCCTCCTGCGCCTTCATCGGCTGCCCAAGAAACCCCCGTTCAAACGCTTCCAACGTCTCGTCTGCACTTCCGGGTCCCAGAATCCTCCCCATTTGTCACCTACAGCGGTGAGCCTGAGCAGGTACGGGGTTTTCTGTTTCAGTGCACGTTACATTTTGAAACCTACCCTGAAGTGTTTTGCACTGATCAGATAAAAATTTTGCACATAATTGGTCTGCTTCGGGGCCGTGCATTACAATGGGCGGAGGCTAGAGGCAGAGACCCGTCATTCATTAAAGGTACACTGCGCAAATTCCTGTCAGAATTTAAACTAACTTTTGACCACACAGAAACCCCAGCAGAAATATCGAGGACCATCTGGAACCTTAAACAAGGTAAACAAACAGTTCAGGATTTTGCCATAAGTTTCAGGACGCTGGCCACTACTTCCAGTATGGATGCCGACTCATTGAAGGGAGCATTCACCCAGGCTCTCAGTGAGAGAATTCAGGATAAGCTCGCGTACTGTCCTGAACCAGAGAACCTGGAGGACCTAATCAGTCTTGCAGTACGGATAGAGAAGAGGCTTAAGACTCATCAACCACGTTCCCAACAGTGTTTCCAGCCACTTCATCCCAACACGCCGACCCACTCATCGCCACCAGTCAGCCCAGCCTCGGCCCCAACCAACCAGGGGGAGCCCATGCAGATAGGCCGGGCCGGTCTGACTCCGGAGGAGAAGCAGCGTCGGATCACCTCTCGGCTGTGTCTTTATTGTGGGCTGTCCGGACATTTCCTGATCAACTGCCCCGTTCGTCCAAAAGGGAGAGCCCACCAGTAGGACCGAGATTATTGGTGGGTGGAAATCTTGATTCTAAGATATCTCGGTGCCTGTTAACCTGTTCCATCCTTTTTAACCAGCAGAGTATTCCCGCTAAAGCCCTAGTGGACTCCGGGTGCGAGAGGAACCTGCTTGACCTGAACATCGTGGATCAACTTAAAATACCCACGACGCCCCTGTCCAACCCCATCAGAGTCTCATCACTGGAGGGCAGCTCCCTAACCACTATTACTCACCAAACAGTACCCATCAAGCTGCAGGTTTTGGGTAACCACCATGAAACATTGTCATTTTTTGTTTTTCCCTCACCCCAGTCACCTATTGTCCTGGGACATGACTGGCTCACTACCCACAACCCTCACATTGATTGGAGGACCAGCCAGATACTTTCTTGGAGTCCGTTTTGTCTCTCTCACTGTCTCTTATCTGCTAATCTGTCCTCCCAGGCTCCGGCACCCGTACCCCCCACTCCTCCTGACCTGTCTCTAATACCCCCTGAATACCACGACCTGCAAGCAGTTTTCTGTAAGGACCGAGCAGCCTCACTACCTCCTCATCGACCGTAAGACTGCTGCATCGATCTCCTCCAAGGAGCCACTCTACCTTCCAGCAGACTGTACAACCTGTCCAAGCCTGAACGAGAGTGTATGGCCACCTATATCTCTGAGTCCTTGGCTGCAGGCATCATTCGCCCATCCACTTCTCCACTTGGAGCCGGCTTCTTCTTTGTGTCTAAGAAGGATGGATCCCTGCGCCCCTGCATTGATTACAGAGGGCTCAACCAAATCACGGTAAAAAACAAATATCCATTACCCCTGCTGTCCTCAACTTTTGACCCAGTCCAGAATGCAACCATTTTCACTAAACTGGACCTACGAAATGCCTACCACCTCGTCAGGATCCGGGAGGGAGACGAGTGGAAGACGGCCTTCAAGTCTCCCCTGGGTCATTTCGAGTATCTCGTCATGCCCTTCGGCCTTACCAACGCACCCGCCGTTTTTCAATCCCTGGTAAACTCCGTTTTAAGTGATTACATAAATAAATTTGTTACCGTATACCTGGATGACATATTGATCTTCTCCAACACCCCATCTGAACACTACCAACATGTCCGAGCAGTCCTGCAACGCCTCCTTGAAAACCGCCTTTTTGTTAAAGCGGAGAAATGTGTGTTCCATGCCCCTTCAGTCAAGTTCCTGGGTTTCATTCTGGAGAGTGGGCGCTTACGGACAGATCCCGAGAAGGTGGAAGCGGTCCGAGAATGGCCAACCCCTACCACCCGCAAGCAATTGCAGCGTTTCCTCGGCTTCGCCAATTTCTACCGACGTTTTATTCGTGGCTACAGTCAAGTGGCCTCACCACTCACCCAGTTGACCTCCACTAAACACCCTTTTGTCTGGTCTGAGGCTGCAAACAACGCCTTTCTTGAGTTGAAGGACCGTTTCACTCAAGCCCCCGTCCTCTCTCGCCCCGACCCTGCTCGCCAGTTTACCCTTGAAGTGGACGCTTCCGATTCGGGTGTAGGTGCCGTTCTCTCTCAAATCTCCCCCTCTGATAACCAACTTCATCCCTGTGCCTTTTTCTCTAGAAAACTGACCCTGGCGGAGAAAAACTATGATGTGGGGGACCGGGAACTGCTAGCGGTGAAATTGGCCCTTGAGGAGTGGCGCCATTGGCTGGAGGGAGCTGAGCACCCCATAGTGATCTGGACTGACCATAAGAACCTTGCCTATCTCAAGGAGGCTAAAAGACTAAACCCCAGACAATCTCGCTGGTCTCTGTTCTTCACCCGGTTCAATTTTGTCATCTCTTTTCGTCCAGGCACAAAGAACGTCAAACCCGACGCCCTGTCCCGACAATATGCATCCGACAAGGATCAAGAACCTGCAACCATCCTTCCTTCATCCTGTGTGCTCGGGGCAATCACCTGGGAGATCACACAGAAGGTCCTGGATGCCCAAGGAACGGACCCCGGCCCAGGTAAAGGACCGCCCCACAAGCTATATGTGCCCCAGCAGGTCCGAAGCGCTGTAATCCACTGGGCCCACACAGCTAGATTCTCTGTCCACCCGGGAGTGGCCCGCACCCTCGCTCTGATCCGCCGGTCCTTCTGGTGGCCATCCATGTTCAAGGACATCAAGGAGTACGTCAAGGCTTGTCAGGTCTGTGCCCGCAATAAATCAGAGAACCAGCCTCCCGTCGGACTACTCCGTCCCCTTTCCATTCCCTCTCGTCCCTGGTCTCACATCGCCCTCGATTTTGTCACCGGTCTACCCCCCTCAAAGGGATTCTCAGTCATACTTACCATCATTGACAGATTCTCTAAGGCTTGTCATTTCTTCCCACTAAAATCTCTGCCTTCCTCCTCAGTAACCGCTGAACTTCTGGTCAAGCACGTCTTCTGACTTCACGGCATCCCGGACGAGATCTTGTCCGACCGTGGCCCCCAGTTCCTCTCGAGAGTCTGGAAGGAGTTTGCTGCCTCCCTGGGAGCCACGGTTTCTCTGAGCTCCGATTACCACCCCCAAACTAACGGCCAGTGTGAGCAGCTCAACCAGGAGCTCGAAGCCATGCTCCATTGTGTGTGCTCCGCCAGCCCTTCCAGCTGGAGTACCCAACTGCCCTGGATTGAGTATGCTCACAACACCCACATTTCCTCAGCTACAGGTCAGTCACCTTTCGAATCATCTCTGGGCTACCAACCTCCACTTTTCCCTTCAGATCTTCCCCCCACTATCACAGTACCCCAGTTCATTCGCAGAGCAAAAAGGACGTGGACCCAGACCCGTGCGGCCCTCCAGCGAACTGCCGATCGCAACCGACGGTTGGCAGACCGCCACCGTCGTCCCGCTCCTCCTTACACTGTTGGGCAACAGGTCTGGCTGTCAACCAGAGACATTAAATTGAAGGACACAAGCAAGAAGCTCTCTCCCCGGTTTATCGGTCCCTACTCCATCAGCAAAGTCATCAACTCTTGGTCAGTTCGTCTCTCGCTGCCCTCCTCCCTGAAGGTCCACCCTATTTTTCACGTCTCCCTCCTTAAGCCCGTCTCATCGAGTCCATTGTGTCCTTCCCCAGCCCCTGCTCCTCCTCCTGTTCGTCTGTCTAACGGCGATCTCGGTTATCGTGTCCGGCGCCTCCTTGAGGCCAGACCCCGCGGTCGGGGCCGCCAGTTCTTGGTCGATTGGGTGGGCTATGGTCCGGAACATCGGCAATGGATTCCAGCGTCTTGGATCGACGACCCGTCCCTCATCCGGGACTTTGATGCAGCGCGGTCCTCCTCCTCCTCCTCCTCTGCCTGGCCGCCGGGTGGCGGCCTTTGAGGGGGGGGTACTGTCACAATGGGTGTAGCTAACTGCTCTGAGTTTTCCTGTTTGCAGGTGGGTGCGCCCGGAGAGCAGCTGCTGCAAATTCCCTCATCAGCTCGCAGGGGATTTAAGGAGCGGTGTGACAATTCACCAGTGCTGGATGATTACTCACATTGGGTAGTTTACTACAGCTCTAGACCTGTTTCGGATTATTCTGCATCCTGTTCTGCCTGTTTTAAGCCTCGTCATCATCTGTCCCGTTCCTCCATTCTCCCGCCCAGGTACTCTCATCATCTGCCTGTTACCAGCTCTTCAACCTGCACTCTCACCAGTTACTACCCGGAGCCTCTGGATCTCCTGCCCACCAGCCACACCGCTTCTCTTGGCCGCCTGCTCTCCTGCGCTCACCTGCCCACTCTTGAAACCGGTGCTCAGCTCCCAGCCTCCTCCACCAGCTACCACTCAGACCTGACACGCCCTCCTCTCCGCGCTCCACTACCTTCCTGGAATCCGTAAGCCTCTATTCGATCGCACCTTCCCCGTTTGCATTACATTTCTCATTTTTGTTCTCTATCTCAGAACGCTGCCAGAACCGTCCCCCTCCGACGTCTCCCCAGCCTCATCAACCTCAATAAATTATATATTATTTTACTCACCTTGTCTCTTTCGTGATTCTGCATGTCGTGGGTCAAAAGACTCGACCACACCATGTCAGACAGAGTTTTTTTTAAATGTGGTGGTGTGGATGCAAGTTTTTGGAGGGGCGGATATTCGTTTTTAAAAAAAACCCGGCTACGTGTGGAGTAGGCCTAAATGAGAGACGTCCATCCCTGGACCTAATGAGCATGTGTCCAGCATGTTTTAGAGGTTTCTCTGCTTCTTACCTGATGATTAGCAGCCTTCTGCAGAGCTTGAAAGTGTTCTGAACAGATAATTTTTTCTGAGAATGTTGGATAATTGTGTTCAAGTCAAAATGAACTTGATTCTATTGTTTCAGTGTTGCATAAATTCTCTGAAGTTGTCTCTGGCATGCTGCATTGCTGAGATTATGATGGATGGATCTAGTGGCAACCCTGAAGAAATTACAATGGTGAAGGGGCGGCACGATGACCCTGCACAGCAAGTTTCTGCGTGGAGCTTGAATGATCTTTTTGTGTGCTGCCATGGGATTTCTCCTGGAGCTCCACCTTCCTCCCACAGCTCCAGAAATACATGTTTTCCCATAAACATTTCCATCAAAACTGATCTCTGACCTAATACCAAAACAAGATAAGACAAAACATGTTGATTTATGTTTTTATGATGCAACACTGTCCAATAGCTGCGAAGATACTTTTATTTGAAATGCATTTCCACTTTTCTAGGAACCTGGTTGACATTTTTAACTCTATGTTTTCATTACAGGAACAAGAGCCAAAACAGATTGCCAGGGTTAAAAAAAAACAACTAAAAACAGCTCTGGCAGAGAAGAAAAAAATTTAAATCTACCCAGAAGTTCACATTTTAGCTGAAATGCATCAAACTACAACAATATTTTAGGGTATTTTCTGGGTCAAACTGTAAAATATATATATATATATATATATATATATATATATATATATATATATATATATATATATATATATATATATATATATATATCCAAAACATTGCAATATTCCCATCTAGATATTGGATTTGCAAGACATTTAATGCATACAATACAATAGCTGCTGCCTGCTGAGAAAGTACATCCCAAAAATCCGGACTAGTTTTTTGAATGATGTTTAGTATGTGTTTCAGGTGCAAACAAGGATGGGCTATTTTCATAATAGACCCTGAGTCCAGGAAGTGTGCGGGTGATGACCCCACCAGTGTTTCATGCACAAGGTAATTGGTACTTTTCTTAGCTGGTGAGAGTTTGTAATCAGATCTTGAACAAAAAACTTAAGCCTAAATCATCGACATAAAAATATAGGCCTAAATACAATTTACTGTCTTCCAGATTCACAACAGAACTGAAAGTATAAACACACATTACAAACATCCGCATGTACCTCAAGACATCTACAACATTTATAAAAAGCATTTTTCGTTTGAATTTAACAAGAAATTCGTGTTAATCAATTATACAGGTAAGCTGTAGTTTTGAGGCGCATGACAACGTTTACGACTCTTATTTTGAAAGGAAAAAAGAAAAACTTCCGACTTCCGCTGTAAACACTGCTGCTGCAGAAGTAGACAAAGACAACCTTTTTTCTCAATTAAAACACACTCAGAATCCCCGGTTACGGTTTATTTGTTTTTATTTTTTTAATAGGAACAAACACAATCGTCTTCTGGACCATAACTGTGCTCGTCTACTGAGATAAGTAACTACTTTCGACTTTATTCTTTTATATTCTGCTTAAAACGTTTTACATTTTTATTTCATTTTTCGGCCCTTTTATCGTTTTGTGCGTCTTGAGCCGATACGCCAGCCACTACGTAAACCCTTTAAATTAAACAGATGTATGAGGTTTTTAATAATAATTTAGTAATAATTCATACAGTAAATGAGACGTATTTGAAAAACATATGTAAGATAAAGCAGTAAGCATTAATTTATATAAGTGTAAAGTGAAAAACCGTCATTTAGGCGAATCGCTGTCCACACCTCCTCCAGTCGCGCGCACACACACAAACGCGTGCGAGTAGCATCACTATTGGGTGGTGCAAGACAGGCTAGTGCGCATGTTTTCATGTGTGTACTGTACGGTGTAACGGGGTAGGGCTTCATCAGTGCATGGGTTGATGCTCAGCTGGAGGAAAGGCGACGATTTAATCAATTAAAAATAGATAAAAGGCTGTACATCGGACATATCGACAAATCAGGCGGCATCATGAGCAAAGTGCAAGGTGGGATGAAATGTGTGAAATATCTCCTCTTCGTCTTCAACTTCATCTTTTGGGTGAGTCTGCGCTCCAAATGAATTTTGTCTGTACAGTCTGATGCGTCTGCGTTTATTTACTGCTACAGGAAAAGGTGCAGATTTGAGTTCTAATGTTATGCTTTATTTGTGGTGGGAATGATGATCTGCCTCTTTATTTGTGTTGTTTACATTTTGGTAGTATTGTTTAGGTTTTTATTTTTATTAAGGCCTATTTATTGAGAGGAGCCTAATTTAGGTATAAACACCTTGCCTCCACTCACCTGCTGACCAATCCTGAAATGTGGTGACCATTATGATCAATATAGTCATTATTTGACCTATTGAACTCCGTTAAAAAAAACACCATTCGTGTAATATTACAGAGCCTGAAAGCCCTGTATGGTGATTGATCTTGAATGTAATGGGCCCTGGTCCTTTAGCTGTTTAGTTATCAGAGCGGCTGCTGCTACTTTTCCATCACAGACTCTGTCCCTGCTTTGCCACTGTGCAAGGGCTTTCCTGCTGCAGCTCTGGGATGGGCTCATCTGTTTTTAGGAGGAACAGGGTACACGTCTTTGTTTTGGTCTGATGGGTTTGATGAATGGAGCTCTTCTGCAGATCCACTTTGATTCCACTCTGCAGCTACTCATGCATATTTAGTGGAAATGTTTTTAAGCATGTGCTTTTGAACACTTTGAGCTTGCAGATACTTTTACCCTAACCCATTATGGCTTCTGGGTGCGCAACAGACCTTTCCATTTAGTCTGATTTCTGTTTTTGCTTATCTCCAGCTTCATTTGGTTACTGTAGATCACTAGATAATTGCTACGAACTGGTCAGTCCGTAAAAGGGATGTAAGTAGAAATAAATGAAGGCCAAAGAGTCTTTAGGTGTCAGCTGTTTAACTGTTAAACGATCCAGCATTTATCCACGTTTAAGAGGCTGCATTGACCCTGTGCTCTGTAAGATGATCTCTTGTGTCATCCAAACTGACAGCACCCTCTTTGTGCAGCAGTTTGGGGACTGAAAGCAGAGCTGTTGTGGTCTGAGCCAAAAGAGGCGTACAGTGCGCTGTCATTTTGGGGTGCAGAGCCAACTCCTCACATCTCGCAGCCAATGCCAGTGTGAGTTACATCACCAGACTCTGTGAGGCTGGCACAGCCAGCGGCACGACAGTACCGTGGAAGATGGACCACCAATAAACAGCCGTTCTGATGTGACGGTCTGTGTCGAAGCACGAGCTGCTGCTTCTTTTTTTATGCTCAAAGTTCTGGGAGGTGAAATCCTTCTGTGTTTAAATTATAATGAAAGGAAACCAAACAATTGGTGATTTAAAAGATTCAGTCTAAAGAAAAATGTTCCATTTTAGTTTTGTAAATATGAATTTTTATCTTAGGAATTCTCAGCTTTCCTGGCTGGTGCAACAAATAATTAATCTGAGGTGAGAGGAAAACGTTTTGTCAGGGTTTAGATCACTTTTGCCAGGGAGAAACCACGCAGCACCGAGGAGATAGTAGTCACTCAGGAGGTGAAGCATTAACATTCCTGGCAGGAGCTTGTTTTGAATAAACAGAAAGGAAAAGCCAGACAGTGAACATCAGCAGGCAAGAGCTCCACCTCCAGAATCTTAATCAACCAACCATTCAAGAAGGGACTTCACAGTGTAACTGTTACACATATTCATTTTTTTTATTTTGTCAAAGTTGTTGGATAAAACATTTTTCTGTATATAGTTATTTAAAATAATTAATGTCCTAATATTGGATGAGTCTGAAAAGGGTAGAATACCTTCTCCGGGTCAGGGATGAGGTCCTGCGGAGTGGAGGAGTTTAGGTATCTCAGGGTCTTGTTCACGAGTGAGGGTGAGATCGACAGGCGGATTGGTGCCGCATCTGCAGTGATGCGGGCACGGTACCGATCTGTCGTGGTGAAGAGAGAGCTGCGCAGGAAGGCAAAGCTCTCTTTTTACCGTCGATCTACGTTCCTAACCTCATCTATGATCACGAGCTTTGGGTAGTGACCGGTCTGGGCCTCTCGGCTTAGGCTGCTGCCCCCACGACTCAACCATGGATAAGCTGATGAAAATGAACAGATAAATAACACAAGGCCTTGTTTTATGTTCTATCGTCCGCAGCTGTCAGGCCTGTTGGTGCTGGCGGTGGGATTGTGGCTGAGGTTTGACCCAAACATAGTGGACCTCCTGACGGGCAATGACGCCCCCAACACCTTCTTCATAGGTACGTCACAATGTTTAGATTTCATATAAACTCACTTTGCATCCATGTCTTACAGAGTCAAACCATGTCTATGTTAATTATCTGTGATGGTCTTTAGAGAAATGAGTTTTGGTGTCTCTGTAACCATTAACTGCAGCAACATCTATTCAGACTTCATCGATCAAATTTATTAACCTGCAGCTCAAAGTCAAACGTGTTTGTCAAATATTTGATGGATTCTTTACAAACCAGGATTTACAGCGGGGGGGGGGGGGGGGGTCCTTGATCCAGTTATACGTGAAGGGCAGAATGCCTTTCCACTGCAAAAGTTGACAGTTTTCCATTGGGCAACACCTGCTTTCAAAGAACATCTCAAAAATAAGGAAGGAAAGACCAGAGTCTTTTATTGACTTAAAGCTTCTTTCCGGGGTATTTATCTTATTCGATGGCACCATCTAGTGGCTGACAAGCGTATCACACAAAAAATCTGTTGTTTTGTTTGTTTAAGATCGCAACTTCACATTTTTGTTTATAAATGTGCTTCTGTAGCTGACAGAGCTACAACACGTTGTTTTACGAGTATTATTCTCATGTCATGTTGTGCTTTCATGTATTTATATTTAGAGACTTGCTTGTCCGTGAAAAGTTCACCAACTTTGCATCAGCCGAGGTATTCCTTAAATGTGAAGCAAGTAAGTGGTAGTCTAACGCTATTGGTTAGTTCTGGTCGGCACTCAGTTTCCTATTGCACAGAGCTCTGCGGGGCAGGGGGCGTGCTTAGCAAAGAAAAAAAAGACGTATCACTTACATTTTTTCACAGTACATGATGAGACAATCACTTTTACGGATCTCTGAAGAATCATACATCATTTCTGAAAGGGGAAAACTCTGGAAAGCAGATTTAAGCTAAAAGTAGTCAAGAATAGCAAATATAAAAAAAAATTAGATTTACAGTGGGTACAGAAAGTAAATGGTAAATGGCCTGTATTTGATATAGCACCTTCTAGAGTCCTGGAACCCCCCAAGGCGCTTTACAACAAAATCAGTCATTCACCCATTCACACACACTTTCACACACTGGTGGGGATGAGCTACGATGTAGCTACAGCTGCCCTGGGGCGCACTGACAGAGGCGAGGCTGCCGAGCACAGGTGCCACCGGTCCCTCCGACCACCACCAGCAGGCAAGGTGGGTTAAGTGTCTTGCCCAAGGACACAACGACAGCGACAGACTGAGCGGGGCTCGAACCTGCAACCTTCCGATTACGGGGCGAGCACTAAACTCCTGTGCCACTGTCGCCCTCAAACTATTCAGAAGGTTCTTGTCTAGGGTATCCCTGAACTTAGCCGCATTCATCGTTCCCTTGATTGCAACCAGTTGTCCTACCTCTGCAGCTGAAAAACATCCCCACAGCAGGATGCTGCCACTGCCATGCTTCACTGTGGGGACTGTATTGGACAAGTGATGAGCTGTGCCTGGTTTTCTCCACACACACTGCTTAGAATTAGGGCCAAAAAGTTCTATCTCAGGTCTTTTAGCAAACCCCGTACAAGCTTTCGCATGTCCTGCAATGGGGAGAGGCTTCCGACAGGCCACTCTGCAGTAAAGCCCTGACCGGTGTAGGGCTGCAGTGATGGTTGACTTTCTACGAATTTCTCCCATCTTCTGACTGCATCTCTGGAGTTCAGCCACAGTGATATTTGGGTTCTTCTTTACTTCTCCTACCAAGGTTCTTCTTTCCCAGTTTGGCTGTATGGCCTGCTCTAGGAAGGATTCTGGTCATCCCAAACGATGGCCACTGTGCTCTTAGGAACTTTAAGTGCAGCAGAGATGTTTTTGTAACCATGGCCAGATCTGTGCCTTTCCACAATTCTGTCTCTGAGCTCTTCAGACAGTTCCTTTGACCTCATGATTCTCCCTTGCTCTGACCATGCATTGTGAGCTGTAAGGTCTTATATAGGCTGGTGTGTGGCGTTCCTAATCAAGACCAATCAGTGTAATCACACACAGCTAGACTCCGATACGGGGTGCTGTGTGTACATTAATGGGGAATAAAATGAATTTATTTGATTTTAGCAAACTGTCGCAATATAATAAAGAGTGAAAAATTGATGTGGATCTGAGTACTTTCTGTACCCACTGTACAAGCCGCCACTTTAGCTCCTAACCTGGGCCCTCACTTATTAACCATACTTTTGCACACAAGACACATGTCATGCGTAGGGATGATTTTATGTATTGTGTGGTATTATTTTGCACTTGTGCATAGAAGTGTTCCAAAATAAAAGAACAGCTCTGACCATGCGTAGAAACAGCATCTAGTGGTAGAACAGGGGAACCGTAACACCGAAGGTCTCAGTCATCCACGCATGTTCCTCATGTAGAAATGATTTTTACTCATTCGGTAATGTCTGTGGAGAAAACGCTTTATCGCATAACTGGTGATAGAAGCTGTAGAAGACTAGTGCTGATGAAATCAAAAGTTGATTCTGAATCAATTCGTACAAAAATTCCAAGAATCTACAGTCAGGTCCATAAATATTGGGACATCGACACAATGCTAAAATTTTTGGCTCTATACACCACCACCATGGATGTCAAATTAAATGAACAAGATGTGCTTTAACTGCAGACTGTCCGCTTTTATTTGATGGTAGTTACATCCAAATCAGGTGAACGGTGTAGGAATTACAACAGTTTGCATATGTGCCTCCCACTTGTTAAGAGACCAAAAGTAATGGGACAGTTGGCTTCTCAGCTGTTCCATGGCCAGTTGTGTGTAATTCCCTCATTATCCCAATTACAATGAGCAGATAAAAGGTCCAGAGTTCATTTCAAGTGTGCTATTTGCATTTGGAATCTGTTGCTGTCAACTGTCAAGATGAGATCCAAAGAGCTGTCACTGTCAGTGAGGCAAGCCATCATTAGGCTGGAAAAACAAAAGAAACCTATCAGAGAGATAGCAAAAACATTAGGCGTGACCAAAACAAGTTTTGAACATTCTCAAAAAGAAGGAACGCACCGGTGAGCTCAACAACACCAAAAGACCCGGAAGACCACAGAAAACAACTGTGGTGGATGACCGAATAAACCAGGGAAACCTGGTGAAGAAAACACCCTTCACAACAGTTGGCCAGATCAAGAACACTCTCCAGGAGGTAGGTGCATCTGTGTCAAAGTCAACAATCAAGAGAAGACTCCACCAGTGTGAATACAGAGGGTTCACCACAAGATGTAAACCATTGGTGAGTCCCAATAACAGGAAGGCCAGATTCGAGTTTGCCAAACAACATCTAAAAAAGCCTTCACAGTTCTGGAACAACATCCTATGGACAGATGAGACCAAGATCCACTTGTACCAGAGTGATGGGAAAAGAAGAGTATGGAGACGGAAAGGAACTGCTCATGATCCTAAGCATACCACCTCATCAGTGAAGCATGGTGCTGGAAGTGTCATGGCGTGGGCATGTATGGCTGCCAGTGGAACTGGCTCTCTTGTATTTATTGATGATGTGACTGCTGACAAAAGCAGCACGATGGATTCTGAAGTGTTCCGGGCAATATTATCTGCTCATATTCAGCCAAATGCCTCAGAACTCATTGAATGGTGCTTCACTGTGCAGATGGACAATGACCCAAAGCATACTGCAAAAGCAACCAAAGAGTTTTTGAAGGGAAAGAAGTGGACTGTTTTGCAATGGCCAAGTCAGTCACCTGACCTGAATCCGACTGAGCATGCATTTCACTTGCTGAAGACAAACCTGAAGGGAAAATGCCCCAGGAACAAGCAGGAACTGAAGACTGTTGCAGTAGAGGCCTGGCAGAGCATCACCAGGGATGAAACCCAACATCTGGTGATGTCTATGTGTTCCAGACTTCAGGCTGTAATTGACTGCAAAGGATTTGCAACCAAGTATTGAAATGTGTAAGTTTGATTTATGGTTCTTATTCTGTCTCGTTACTTTTGGTCCCTTAACAAGTGGGAGGCACATATGCAAACTGTTGTAATTCCTACACCGTTCACCTGATTTGGATGTAAATACCCTCAAATAAAAGCTGACAGTCTGTAGTCTTGTTCGTTTCATTTGATTTCCATTGTGGTGGTACACAGAGCCAAAACTGTTTGCATCGTGTCGATGTCCCAATATTTATGGACAGGACTGTAAATGAATTGATTAATAAGTCCAAACAAAGATAAATTTCGACTAGGGATGCATGAATACCACTTTTTTCCAAACCGATACGATACCGATACTTGGATCTGAGTACTCGCCGATACTGATTACAGATTGGAAAATAGGAAAAGAGATAGGAAAAGACTGATAGGTAGATAAAAAATAAAATATATTAGTAGAAATGATCACAAAACTAAAATATGAGATGAACAGAAATGACAAGTTACAGTTAAGCCACTTTCAGGCAACCGCATTGGTATCGGTTCCTGGTATCAGTTAACTTTTACTGATACAGATACCAGTATCGAAATGACAGATACCGTCAAAATTAGGAATGATACCAGTATCTGTATCGGTGCTTCCCTAATTTTGGTGGTGTAGCCCATCGTCCACAGGAACATGACGATGTACAGCATCAAAATCTATTCTTTCAAAAACCTCCACCTAAGGTGAAGATTTGCAAATTCTCCATCGTCGGCATTTGCTTGTTTACGTTAATAACTGGGTTTTTAGGACGATGTTAAGGAAAGTTACTGCCTGCCACCTAACCCTGAACCACACGTGTGTTTGGTCTAAATGTGCTGTAGGCTCATGTTTATTTTAATCCTGAACTTCTTCACAACAGGCCAGCTGCACTCGTGTGTCCTTTCTCACTGAAGGTGAAACTGGTTATAGGGAACCGTGGAAAACAAACATTAACATCATTACTTTTAGATTAATGTTGAATGCCCGCGTCGCCTTGTAATGTTTAGGATTCATGTTGCATCTAAACACTTTACATAATTTTTTTTTCATAAGTTTTTGTCAGATGTGAAGACAATGAGCACTGCTGGCTGATGTGTAAAACAGTGTAAACTTCAAACATGTAAAGTGTTGAATATTATTCACACTTATTCAACATTAAGGTTTCATTCACAAGTTTCACTTCTTCTAATCAGCTTGTGTGGGTTTTCATGTTAAAAATAACCACAGGATTAAGAGATTAAACCCAAAGAAACACAATTTTAATCAAATTAGGCTTGAAAAAGAATCCCGAGGTTCCACTTTCTTGTACAAATACACAAACAATCGTGTCTTCCTCTAAAGGGGAGCGTCAGAAGATAATAAAAACCAGTTTCAATTTGATGCAGCTGTGTTCACTCTATGTTCGCTTTGTGGAGGTTTTTGCTAGTGATAAATGACGAGCTCTGTCTGAAACAGCGTGTCACTTTGAGCCTATTTCAGGTGGCATTTGAATGCAGGAAGATGAGTTTCTTTGCAAATCCCCATCTAAAACAGACAGCAGCTTATCAAAACATACAGTAGACAAGACCAACAGTCTTCATTGTTGGGCTGTCGATACAGTGGCCCTCTTCATGTCTCGCTCTGTGTAGGAGCGAAGGATCAGACAGAAGCCTGTTCTTGTTGCTCCCATTTAGACCATGACGTAAAATGGTGACTTCACTTCATCAGATCCCCGCAGCGCTGACATGGAGCTGGTCGAGTCTCTCAGGACACGAGCAGCAGGTTGGGTGTGTCGGAGGCAGGACGCTACACTGACTGTAAAGAGATCGTAAAACAAAATATTTTACAAGAGCAGCTTGTGAAAGTGTCATAAAGAAAGTAGCACAGATCATGTTTAGTGACGCTCCTTAAAAAGTCTGATGCACTGAACTCACATAGCAGAAATAGGTTTTATTATCTGTTCATGTAATGCAAAAGAGATGAATCTGTTTTATTTTGACATGCAAATGTCTTAGAACCAATGCTTCATAAGTAAAAAACATTAAATTATCAACATTATTTTAGTTTTATTTCTGGACCCTACAAAAATGAGAAACTACAAATAAATGTAGTTTTAACTTGGATCCAAAAGGCAGCATCACTTTCTGCATTCAAACGTGTTTTAAATATGATCCATCGTCCATTAAACTGCGAGAATCGGAGACCGCATTTAAAAGAAATGAGGAGTATTTCATTCTCATTTAATTTGAATGTTTGATAAAAGTTTATGGCTGGAGGTGCTGATTCCTAGCAAATGGTAGCCACCCACCCCCCCACCCCCACCCCCACGACCCAGCTTTTCACTCTATCTGTAAGTAAGAGCCCAGACACCCTGCAGAGAAAACTCATTTTGGCCGCTTGTATCTGCACTGTCGGTCACTACCCAAAGCTCGTGACCATAGGTGAGGGTAGGAACGTAGATCAAAATGTCTTAAATGTTTTTTATCTGCTTTAGTGACAGTGAATGGGGCTTTGCAGAGGAAGATGCAGGACAAAAGCTATCGCTACAAAAATAGACATGAAAAATCTGTCCTCATGCACATTGTTTTTTATTTTTTGGAGTGAAGGATGCATAAATTTAGGTGTATTGGGTATTCATGCTTGAGCAGCAAACTAAACCAGTTGGTGTCTGCCAGCGTTGCATGTGTAGATTTTAAACAAGAGCTTGGCTTGCTGCAGGTTCTCTTGGGGTCGATGCACAAAAATAACCTGCTTCAGAAACCTGGAGAAGCAGCAGAGCACAGTGATTAAACTTCTGCCAGTAAATCCATGCAGTGATACCGATCTCTTCCTCGCTGCAGTTACAATATTAGTAACAGTTCATGTTCTACCAAGTTATCTTGATTTGAGGCTTTAAAGATCTCATGGAGCCTGACTGAGTGGGAGTATGATTGCAGGAGACAGAGCACAATCGTTAATGAGTCGTGTGATGCTGCTCCTTCATTTATAGAGGCACAGGTCTCGAACTGCCAGCGACGTTTACCTCTAAGCAAGGGCAAAAGGCACTGACACCAAAAACAGGACAAAGTGGCAGCACTCCCTGTGGAGGACTCACTTTCCATGCTGTCACCTCTTCACAGTCCTGTGTGTAAACAACCAGTGTGTGTGTGTGTGTGTGTGTGTGTGTGTGTGTGTGTGTGTGTGTGTGTGTGTGTGTGTGTGTGTGTGTGTGTGTGTGTGTGTGTAAGGTAGGGACAGAGATAATCCAGGCGTTTACGTTTACTAATCTGGGTTTTTAACCGATGCCTGTTATGAAAAACACAAATGTGACTTGGCAGATGTTTCTGGATTTACTGGGGAAGTTTTCCTAAGAGGAGAATAAAACAAGCATGTTTAGTTTTTGTGTTTACACCTTTTCCAAACAGTGGGAGCGTTCTTGGCTGGTTTGATTTTTCCATTGCTAAAGCAGACGGCTTGCTTTGAAGCTGCCTCCTCCAGGTCAGCAGCCTCCTCACCTCATCTTTACCTCCCCTTTTATTCGACAGCAGGAAAAACAACAGCTTGCATTGCACCCATGTGGATTAATTAAATTGCCGCCGAGGCTGCTGTATGTCACCGATTAGGCTGTTAGCAAGGCGCTCGGGGACCATCCTGGTGTTTAGTTACAATGCAGAGGACTCGGTAGTGAAGGCTGGGAGTAAAGGCAGGGGAGATGACGCGGGCTCCAGGGCAGCAGAAATGGCCACACTCTGCAGCCATCGAACTGTCCAAATCTGATTTGCCATTTTATGAGACAGATGGTGTCTGTTGCACTGCCTGGCTGTGCAGGAGCAGGAATGGATGAAGTCTCTGGAACTGGAAACCACACTAATGCATCAAAAGACTGGAAACCTTGTTTGTCTGTGGATTTTCCAGCTCCAGTAGATTTGGTTCTCATTTAATTATGACCCAGAACAGACTCGGCCCAAGCGTAGACACGACGGACAGCTGCGGGGATGATATCTGATGATATTCAGAGGAGGAACGTGTTTGATGTTCTGGTTGTACATGCCTATCTGCAATATTTTACACTATACATGACCAGCAAAGCTCTCAACCTCCTCTCGTCCAAGCTGTAAAATACACAAAGATTCAGAATCAGAAGGGTTTTGTAGCCGTATAAGCAAGAAATCACAACATTAGGAAATTGCTGCAGTACTTGGTGCAAAAGAGAAAGATAAAAATAAGAGATAAGCAAAGGAGTGGGCTATGAGGAAAGGGGTTTCTCTTTTACCTGTCCTGCTGTTATTTACACACAACAAAGGACCTTTTGATCATTTCTCCTTCCGTTTGGGTTACGGTGCCACCTTCAGCCCAAGCTTTGAACTGTACACCTTCCATGATTTTCTCATGTTTTACAGAGAAACACTAAATGATCCAGCTGTTTGTGTCTGTCCACAGCTGTGTACATCCTCCTCGGTGCAGGAGGGCTGATGATGCTGGTGGGTTTCTTTGGCTGCTTCGGGGCCGTGCGTGAGTCTCAGTGTCTTCTTACCTTGGTGAGTGATGTCGCATCACATCTCCCCCTGTACTAAGGTGCAGTTTGAATTCTTACAAGTATAGATCACATCATTTGAAACATTTAGAAAGTAAACTACAGTACAGTAAAGTATTCCCTCTCATAGATTTATTGTGGTTTTTTTAATGACACTTCAGCCAATTTACTACCAGAATTTCATCCATTCATTATCATCCGCTTATCCGGATGTTACGACCCTGACATGAGATGGTGCAAATGTGAAGGAGGGGGTAACATGAGGCTTGCAAATGGAGGAAATTCATTATGTTTTATTTGAAATAAAAGGGCACTAAATGACATTTTTAACAAATGTAGGACGTTGTAAAACAATGCCTATAACAAACACATATTCTGGTTAATGTAATCAAGGAGCTCCTTAAACAAATTAATTACAAAAAAAATCAAAATCATTTAACCGAACGACCGGTTACGCAAAGTCGGAAAAAGCCAAAAACCGACGATGATCGGGAACACCATTTAAACAGACTTCTCAGCTGTTGTTGACAACCACATGACCAAGGGTTTTCAAAGTTAACAGTAGTAACTAAACTACATGAACAAGAATTACACAAAGTTAGCATTAGTTAACAAACCCACATGATCACATGAAGAAAAGGGCTTCGAAGGCCTGGAGAACAACAGCAACCATGAACTGTTGTCTCCCTGAACAGCAGGTGGATCCAGCCTTTTATCGCTGATGTGCCTCACAAGGGTGATAACGGTCAGCTGTGCTCCTCAGAGGCCTGCAGCAGGAGAGGAGGAGGGTGGCGTACCGGCCAGAGTCCACAGAGCAGAGTGGGTACAAAAGAAGAAGCCTGGCTTGTAGATTTTAAAAAGGACAGACTGAGGTCCATAGCACTGGAGTCGGGTCGCGGGGGCACAATCTCGTTCTTTTGGTCACTGCCCAAAGTTCGTGACCATAAGTGAGGGTTGGAACCTGGTTGGAACGTAGATCTACCAGTAAATCGAGAGCTTCGCCTTGCGGTTCAGCTCTCTCTTCACCACGACAGACTGGTACAACACCTGCATCACAGCAGACGCAGCACCAATCCACCTATCGATCTTACGATCCATCTTTACCTCGCTCGTGAACCGTGAGACACTTAAACTCCTCCACTTGAGGCAGGACCTCATTCCTGACCTGGACAAGGCATTAGGCTCTTTTCAGATTCAAAAACCATGGTCTTGGGTTAAGTGGAGCTGCTTCATACTCAGCTGCAAACCGCTCTTTCTGCCAGACTTGTGGGGTTAAAAAAACAACACTTCAATAGAACTGGTCTGTAAACCAAAAGGGCTCAAAAAAGTTAAGTTTCAGGTCAGAGGTCATGATTCAACAAAGCGTCCCAAGGCCTGTCTCACATTACTTTAAAACCATCCCAGAATTTTGGGAAAAATGTGTGGGCAGACGAGACAGGCGATGTAAAACTGGTACTGAACATCAGCCAGCAGTAAAACACGGTGGTGGTGGGATGATGGTCTGGGTCCCATTTATGGCTTCAGGATCTGGAGTAATTCCAAGTTGTCTTTTTTCCAGCTAAAGCTTTAATTCAGAGAGGATTTAATACCTTTTTGTAAGGTTTAAAGGTTTGTTTCTCTGTCACCTGTGGCACAACCAAAAATACACTCAGTGTTCTTTTAAATGTAATAATAATAATAAAAGCTGAATTAGCATTTTATTAACTGCATTCCTCATATTTCCTTCCAATAAACATCAAAGTATTAAAAGCATTCTCAAAATCTGAATCTTTTAAAAAGTAAAACTGAAACTAGGAAAATTCTGTGTTTTTCAAAAGCAGAAACTAAGAACTGTTACCAGTAAAACAAAACTTTTTGTCCCTGCAGTTCTTTGCTTCCCTTCTGATAATCTTTGGAGCGGAGATCACGGCTGGTGTGTTTGGATTCATGAACAAAGAACAGGTGAAGGGAGTCAAAACATCATCTCACTTTTCCATACAGGAAAAGCGCATTAAAAAAAACTGTTTTTATATTTTTAAATATTGTATTATTATTATTATTTTTAATAAAAGATCACAGAAGAAATCCAGAAGTTTTACAGCAGCGCCGTTGCTGATGACAACTCTTTAAACGGCACTGAAATCGCGAACCTTTACCACAAAGTTGTAAGTAAAACTTCTGGTGACGTTTTTGTTCGTCTCCATTGGCAGCAACACAAACGTGTGCACGTTTTTGTTCTGTGTTTACAGCTAAACTGTTGTGGTGGCACAACTTCAGACACGAGTCAGACGTTGTGTGAAGCTTTTCCAGAAGGAACCCCGGTGAGTGTTCCTTCTCGCTGTGATTCATCTCAGAGCCACATGGTGGCAGCAGAGCACCAGACTGGATCTGTGACCATCTCCTGGTTTTGTGTCTCTTTAGGACTGTCTGACTGCAATATCTGATTTCTTCAATGAAAAGCTGTACATCATTGGATACATAGGGATTGGGATCGCTGGAGTAATGGTGAGAATCAGCAAAACGTCTTGAGCTTTAACATAGAAAAGGAACCATTTCACACACTTGAACCTTTCTGCTGTGTTTATTTAAGGCTCATATGTCTGTTCTCAGATCCTGGGCATGATCTTCAGTATGGTCCTGTGCTGTGCCATCAGGAACACCAGGGAGGTTATATAGATGGTGCGTTGATCTCCTCCACCGCCAAGCAACAACCACACCCCTACACGCTCACACGTCCCTTTTTTATCAATATACCTGAAGGGAACCACCAAAGTTATGTTCCGATGGCATTCCTTATGGTCCGGACTGAAGAGGAGACCACATTCAACACAATACTCTGGATAATTATCTTCGCCCCTTCCTCCTGAGTCCACCAGCACTCAAGCCCTGATGTACTCCTCGCTCCTCTCCATGACTAAAGTTTAGCTTTTAGCTCGACTCCGTGACATTCCTCACTCTTAACATGTTTCTGTCAGACCGCCGTTTCTCTGCAGAGGCTGCCGTGCCGCATCGTAGCTACAACGTGTTACATGAAGCCTTTTATGACGCAGGAATGTTGGGTTGGAGGAGTATTGATGTAAATAGAGACAACTTGGCTCTTAACTCTTTGCAGTTTCTTGTTTTTTTTAGACCTAATGCTCCTCACGTCTTATGTGCTTAAGTGTTTTGAGGACTAGCCCGCCTTTTGCAGGGAGGATTTCCATGACGTGCCTACTTGACCGTTATAGTCGCAGTCAAACCTCCAACTACTGAAATATTTATCTGTTTCTTGTCATTTTGATGAGTGTGCTTCCTTCTGCCCCCCCACTATCAAGTATTTCTACTATAAAGCACAATAGAAGGTGTATAGATGTGATGTAGGATATGGGGGTCTGGTGATAAGCTGGCCTTTTTGTAAATCTCCAAATTTGTGTGAGAGGTTTTCGTGAACTTGTGGAGCTTTTCTCAAGCACGTTTAAACAGTAACAGTGAAGCTAGTTTGCATTTTGTATTGAGTTTTTGTGACTGTACATTTATTTGGTGTGCCAATAAGATGTAAAATTTCCAATAATATAGTTTTTTCATACAGTTAACAACAATAAACAAATACTGGGTGCTTTTATCACCGGTGTCATGCGTTTTGCTTCTGCTGGTTGTTTGGAAAGCTTACTTCCTGTTTGAAGCAGATGAACAGATACAGAACAAGCGTACAGATCTGTCAGTGTTTGAACATCCGCTCGAAGTTCTATGAAAAGCTGATTAATCTTCCAGGAGAATTAACAACCTGACTTGTTCCGCTTTATCTACATCTTTTTTCATGAAATTTAAAATCACTCGTTTTTAACCACGTAAGTGTTTCTGTCATTTGTCTCAGAGCTAGAAGCATTGACCGTAAAGACAAATGTTATTACATTGCTTCTTTAACGAGCACATATCTTGCAAATTTTACCTTTTGTGCTGCCGCTTGGATCTCTACTGCCTCTATAAACACTCCAAACATGAATAAAAACAGTCCAGCCATTTTCTGTCAGTGTTTGATTTGATCAATTATGTGCCTAAAACAAGCCATTTCAAAAAGTCTGTGATGCCACAAATGGGGAAATTAGCATAGAACCACAGTCACTAATCCTGTGCAAGAAAAAGCTGCTGCTGGAGGAGCAGCGACTCTACTCAAAGCCCCTCCCAGACATTGGTGCTTATCAGCTTATAGCTGAGAGCAGGATAGGTGGGTGTGGCCAGCTCCAGCTCGCTTCAGAAGACAATGACGCCACTTCACAAAGTGGATATGCTTCTAGGAAGTCCTTGGTCATTCATAAGTGGTTGTCAGCTTGTGGTGCAATCGGGTGTTTTTCATGTGGGACATCCTTTTCCACACTTTAAAAGAGCCACTCCAAAAGACGGCTGTCCCTCACAATCCCTGTTGACACTACTCCAGTTTGCCATCTCAGCTGATACCGTTTACAAATACAAAGGGACTCCCCATGTTTGAAGTTATAACTTAAAAATTATATCTCCGCATGTGACCCACCCATCCTCTGAGGGAGTGGTGAAGTGCAAAATTGGCTGCGCTTGGTAACCAACTGGTGGTTTAACCCTCAAATCAAACCCTTTAAAGCTGAGTGGCCTACCTCTAGGCCCCTGAGAAAATAAGGTTTACTTGCACATTGGACATGTGATCCTGACATCATCTTCATTAGAAACCAGTTTTAGAGACAAAGCCCTGAAAAGCTCATTCTGGAAGATACAGAAACAGTTGGAATGGCTTTGAGGGGTTTAGTGCAAATAAAACATGTTGTGTATCAACCATAGAATTTAGAAAAAGTCATGTCCCCTTTAAAAAACCAGAGTTGATCATTCAAGAGTGTAAAATTACCATCAACACAAGCGTAGCAGATTATAAATTTAATGAGTATATAATGCATACAAAACAAACACAACAAAGGCAGTAACAGGGACTGGTCGCAGTACGAGTACTGATCTTACAGATATCACAGCATAACCCAAACTAGAGGAATGGAAATGTGTAGGATGATGAGGATGAACATACACATACACTGTGTGCATGAACGGTGTCAAGTTTTAGCAGAAAAAATACAAACACATCAGTTCCCACAGTGTTTTAACTTCTGAGCACTAACACTAGGATTTACAAGGACACGTGGTTTGGTAAACCAGTGGTCCCGTGCTTGAAGGAAGGATCATGATTACCATTTATAAGTAACGTGTAAACTAGCCCTCACAGTATTGACACATTACACATCTTAGTACCAAGTTGACTGTTCTGTTTTGTTTTCAGACTGGCAACAGCAAGAATAATGATAATGGTGATGATCATTTTAAAAAATTACAAAGTTTAATTTACTAAAATATCATTCACATACAAAATATGGAAATATAAAGAACACAAAAATAGTCTATTTTTGGATGAATTTCCCTCCCTCACAGAGGGAATCAATCTGAACAGATTAAAATCTTGTTCTGAGCCCCAAACCCAAGGTGACCAACAGCTTCAAGTGCAAACAATGGCTGCATTAAGTCATTAAAGTGCAGCACAGCTGTCAGACCGTACCGATAATTAAAACCATCCAACCCCGACTCATCGTGTTGCTGTAAACTGAAGTTTTGTAGCTGCCAGAAGTCAAGGGTCAGACAGGCATAGCGGTCTCAAACAGACATGAAGCTCGAAGGAAAGTTGTCCAGGATGTATTCACCGACTCCTACGAAGTACATGACCTGTGCAATTCCAAACAGAGGTGCGATGACTAGAGCCCGGCAGCCTGCACCCTTCAGGAAGGCAGACGGTCCTTCCTTTCGCAGAATTTTGCTGTTGAGACAGAGGGAGGTGTTTATTCACACGTCAGCGCAGTTACATGACTGACCCTAACCCTGACCGACACCTACGTTGATCCAGGCCGATCTTTTATAATTAGCTGGGGGTCTTTATCCTAATGTACATGCGCACTAGAAAACTAGCTTCTCAAATAAAGTTTGTTCCACTCCAATACAGTAGGTGGCAACATGGGCGCGTTCATATCGGCATTCTTTTAGTTAGCTTATAGCAACACAAGCAGCAGAGGCTGGTGGGAGTGAAGCAGACGGAACTGAAACCGGATTTGCACAAAGGCTGAAGGAATGAACAACTACACTGCAGCACAACTTATTTGGTACGTACGGTCCTGTTTTATTGCTTTGCAACAACGGTCTTGTCAGAAAACTGCTTTCACTGCGTCGTCACTGCCGTAATGTGAGCTTCCTACTGGTTTAGTTCGGCTGCCCTGTTTACATGCAGAATGTATTCGTATTGCTACCACATTAGCTGGGTGCTTTAGCTCAATTAGAACCAGTTTGCCTTCAGCCAGACTAACATGTTAACATGCAATTAAAAAAACGACGCGAGTCTTTTGAAGGCAATGTTTTGGTTTTCTGATGTGCATGTAAACGCACCGAGTGACTTTAGGTACGCAACTAACTAATAATGACCAACAGAAAAAAAACCGACTTACTTTACACAATCCATAACTCCATTGTAGCTCTCCTCACTTGCCCCTTTGTTCAGGGACTGCAGTCTGGTCTTCACCACTGCAAGGGCGAAAAATTAGCCAAATTAGTAAAACTGTTAGAACAAAAAACAAATGTCACAGTGAGTGAAAATGAACCTACCATCACATGGGTTAACCGCAACAGCAGCAGTAGATCCTGCTACACAGCCCGACAGGAAGGCCCAGTAGAATGGCGAGGACTCATCAGGACTGGGTTTGCCCAGGCGGTTCAGGTTAGCAAACAACGGGAAGTATACAACGGAAAAGGGAACATCCCTAAAAAGAAGTTGAACAAAAAAGGTTTCAAGAGTGAAAACATGAACTAGAGCAACAATATGTAACCTTAAGTGCTTTGCTTTACCTCATCAGTGTAGCTCCCAGACCTTTGTAGAGCCCCTGGATGCCTTGTGTGCGGAGGAGATCCGTAGCAATCCGAGTGGCCGACACGGCTCTTGGTGCAGACACAGCAGTGCCAGAGTTGTAGGAGCGAGAGAGGACCGTGTTGGTGGCCGCAAGCTTTGTAGGAGACACCATGACTGGTTTTTGTTGTTGAGCTGCTTTGATGAGAAAATAAACAAAATAAATAAAAGTGTTTTACAGTAAACCATTCACATAAACAATGTCATGAAATCCTTACCCAGCCTTCCTGCATCCTGTAACTGTATCTTGAGCATTTCCATGGGGGTGGTCACAATGACCTGGCACATGCCGGCACCACAACCCGCCAGCATCTCTTTGAACACAGTCAACCCTTTTCTGTTGATGTTAAACAGGAACGATAAGTAAAGCCACCAATGAACATAGGATTATTTCACAGAACTGCACCCACCCATCCTTGGCAAGGTGATGGCGGAACAAGTCATTAGCAGCTAGCTTGATGGCCTTCTCGGGGGTAACCAGAGTCAAATTTACTGCTGCACCTGAGAAAAAAACAATAAACAGTTAGTGTTTAAAGCCACAATCAAGTTTCTAGATCATGAAACAAAACATTTGCTGTTGCTATGACATCAGAAAGTTCACTGTATAGCTCATCACAGACAAGACAAATGTTAAGTGTAAAACAGGGGCAAGAATGAAGAGTTATGTCAATTAAAAATACAGATAGTATTTTTAGATGCGATCAGGGAAAAAAATAAATAAATAAATAAAACACGTAGCAAGAAACTGAGCAGGAAATTCTTAAAAATACAAAGAAAGGTTTAATGACAAACAACCACAGTATGAAACAAGATTGAGTTTGGGAGAGAGATGTGTCTATTGAAAGGCTGTTAGCAATTAAACAGATGATATGTTTAAAGAAAAAAAAAAAAGAGAAATAAAGATGTTAACAGAAGAGACAATTTAAACAGCGAGTAGACCTTGTAATTTTACAAGTAATATCTGTTGGACTATTTAACTTTAAAACCAAGCATTAGTCCAGCTCAGATTTATTTGAAAGATCAAGCAACGTCTGAGGATCACACATTCTAGTCCAGAAAAGGGACAAATGATGACAGTTTGACAGGACATCGAGGAAGACAACCAGGACATTACGGACAGAAATGACACAGAATGAACAGATGGTAAAACAAAACATGTGCCTATAGTTTTAAATAAAGCAATATAGTAAGAACCATTAAATGATTTGCCTCCAGCGTGGCTGCGCCTTATCGGCTAGCCTTCAATACCCCAGGGGGACCCAAGTCTGTAATATGAAAAACACAGATGCAAACAGCATTCCTCACAAAGGCAGACACCTAGACTAATGGAGTGTTTTGTAGATTTTGTACTAACAAAATGAAATGGCACATGTGGTATTTATATAAATGAATGCATGGCAGAACATTTTAAAATGACTTTGTAAGATTTATTTTGATTTTAAGTAAATAAAGCATCCATGCAATAAAAAATACCAAACAATCAGTTAAAAGTACCTTGTAGCTCAAACAACAGAAATATAAGCCTATTGCTTTTGATGAACCTGATGTGTATAAATCTTACCTCTGTACATTCCAAAGTATCCCTCTGATCGAACTGTCTTGACAAGGCAGTCCATCCTACAAAAGATATTTAAATGAATTTTTAAGAAAATTATATCCATTAACAAGCAATCAATGACAGATAAAGAGGTCACACCTGTTACACATAACTAGTGAAGAGCAGGTTGAGTACACTTCCACCTTTTATAAACACGACCCCACCCAAAGACCTTCTCAGCAAAGACGAATGTCAAAAAATGAACAGTTGTCACAGTCCATCAGCTCAGGAATGTCAATTACCCAGCACGCTCATTGTGATGTTATGAATGTCCCATTGTGGGCTTAGACACACACAGCTGTAGCAGAACTAACGCAGTGAGTGTCACAATGAGTCATTGATGATAGGTCGAGCTTTTAATACTCACATGCTCTTGTAGGCTTGCTGCCCAATTCTTTGGTTCTGCAACCTGGTTTTTGCCAAATCAATGGGAAAGACACAAGTGACCCCGACTATGCCAGCAATACCACCATTAATGAGCTTGGCTGGAAGGCTGAAAAAATAAAAAAGGACAATGGAGAAAAAAATATTTGTGGGGAAAAAAAAAGGTACCTTAAGTTTTATTTTAGTTTTTCTACCGGTAAGCAACAATTTTGTCTTCCATAAAGACTTAAAAAGTATATAAATAAATAAATAAATAAATAAAATCTTAACCAAAGACAAATTTATGGGAATGTTAAAAAGAATGAGACTTACCTTATCTGCTGCTGAGACATTTTGACTATTTGTTCCAGAAGACGTAAAAAAAAAGTAGATTCTAGAAGTCGTTAAGTTTGTCAACAAGGTCCTAGAAAGAAAAGTTACAGAAATATTTTACCAATAAAGGTTTAACCGTTTCCTACTAGTCAGTGACAAGCCCTGAGCTTCTCCCAACCACAGCACACGCTTTTTTGACTTATCTCTACGCTTCAGGAAAAAGATGCGGCCGCGTCGCCATTTGAGCAGAGTTCAGGGGGCGTGTTTTACGGTAGCACACCGGAATACCATATATAGACGTGCCCACTTTCTTTCATTGAAACTTGATAAAAATCAATCAGTTTTAAGTTAAATTCAGACAAAAGGAGTCTGACATATACACTTAATCGTGACTAAGCTTTATTTTAACGACATCTATTCCCATTAAATTGAGTTTGATTTATTAGTTCTGTTCGACCAAAGTGAAACTTTGTAGGTTGCTTTACTTAAAACTAATGACTATTTACTGAATATCTAATAGTTTCATTCGGAATACAAAGCTATTTGGCTCAGTTCACAGGTACAGCTACTAAAGAAAACCTCACCCATTCAATGTAAAACCCCAGTAGTAAATAAGCCAACTTAAAGCACAACTTCGTTCAATGAAAATCGTTTTTCTTTTATAAATAGATCAATTTAAATGTTTAACTTACCGAAAGGCCGACTTGTAATTATTCGGTGACTGTTGAGCAGTTCTCTATAACACCTCGACTCCTCGTCAGATCAGCTTTACGTTCTGTCTCAACACGACGAGTGGAAATTTCCATTAGACTTGTACCGAAAATGGTTCCCGCCTCCCTTTTCTAAAATAAACCAATCAGAGTTTTATCATTTTTCAATGTCAATTTTTCATTGGACAGTAAACCAATCAATCAACTATCGTAACCCAATCACAAAAGCTCATGCTGCATGGGCGTGAACAAAGAAAAACCTATTTTTCTTTTCTTTTCTTTTCTTTTTATTTTATTTAATGCAAATGAAAACACGAACCAAGCCCATGGTTAAAACTCTGAGGTGACTGATTTGTCTAATGTGTGTCGATGAAAGTGAGCCAGGTGTTAGCAAAAGTCTATTGCTAAGGTTTTGTTTGACCAAAGATTATTTGTACAAATGAGATGACTTCATATTATTCTTTTATAGTCTGCTTTATTCTAGTCTATTATATTCTACTCTAGTCTAAGTGATTTAATCACATATTGTACTTGTTTTCTTGCAGAGAAATGAGAAAAAATGATTGTTAAAGAAAATGTGTTTTTTCCCCTCTATTAAAACATGGGTTTTAAACACTTCAAAGGACAGAAATGTTCATTCTCTTCTTCCTCATTTGTTGCTGTACTGGCTCAATTCCATATGTGACTGTGCTGATGTGATTGTCTCAGTTTGACTATGGATTGCTCTTGCAAACACTTTAAAGGCGTCTTGATGTGTACCGTAGTTTATCTACATTACACAAAGAAAAAGAAAAATAATTGTATGCAGATGGAGAAAAGGTGCAGATTGCTGCAGTTAAACAAACAAAAGAAAAGGAATCCTAAATATCTCAATAAAGTGAATCAGACATTTTAGAAACATCTAGAAATGCTTCACTGCTGGTGTGTAGGACATGGAAACTTACAAGCTGGATGTAAAAAAAAAGGATGACTCATTTGATCTGGTGTTTTTCAAAGTTGAAACATGTTTCTAGGTGTTATGTACTGTTTATCTGCTGCTGATAGGTTGTGTGACTGTGGGTGGTGCACCCTATGGACAAGTGAAGTGTGCAGCACTGAAAATGACACCATTGCTTACAAAGATGTCTATGATCACATGGATAACTACACTGTCTGCCTGTCAATAACATCCCCACCTGCTGTTACCAAATCAAACAGGTATGCTCCACGATGACAATATCATGATTAATCAGGCTCAAATTGTGAAAGAGTGGTTCAGGGAGAATGCTTTTCACACATGGATGGGCCACCACAGAGTCTAGACCGCAACCCAATCTTTGGGATGTCCGGGTAATTCCTTAGGTCACCAATAAACATCTGGTTCATTGTTGTTTGTTCATAACCTTTTTATAGGAAATACTAGCTGTTACCATTCACTTACATTGTTCATGCTAAGCTAAAGCTAACTGAATACTGCCAGATTAGGAAAATGACTAGGCTGGTCACAAAATGCTTGTCCCCTCTTATCTAACTCTGGGGAATATGACAACAGACTACATTTCACTTAGGGGTGGAATATTTTATTTGACATTATATCAGTACGTCACACTGCCAAGTCTCGTATCTTCCTTAGTAGGGTTGGACCACATGAAATGAAACTGTCATGAAATAATTTGACGATGATCTAAACCACTTGACAGTTGTGAAAACATAAACACAATTCAGATTCTCCGGCGATTCCAGACACTTAGCAAGCTATATCTGTTAATATTTGGTAATTCACAGAGAACACTCTGCTGAGGGCAAGGCATTAGGAGAACATGATGTAACAAAAGGAGAACATAATGATCAACCGTTCTTTTTTTATCAAGAAATTCCACTCGCACCACAAAACAACTTGGTTCAAATGGAAAATATTTGATGATCACAAACTCTTACAGCAGCCGAATGTTGATGTTTTTCACTGACTTATGGATAGGTGAGAAAATCCTAAAAATGACTGACAATATTAAATATTGCGAAATTCACCATAAGTTCCAAACAAATCTCAGTTGTTACAGCTGAATAAATGCACAAACATACCAGTGATGTCAGAATGAATAAGACCGGTATGTGCTGCACAGTTCGTCGTCATTAAGTGCTTTTAGGGACAAATTCCATTTCATCCTCTGCTTTGTCCTGTGACAAAACACCACTATAGCTAGTCAAATCAAGCCATTGTTACTCGTCACACAGGATTTTAGAGTCATATCAGGACAAGAGGTATATTAACGTCAGATAAATTCATTCTAGTCAGTTCCAAGTGCAAAACTGAAAAGGCACTAAAAGAATGATGTAAATAAACCAATAAATATCATCCAAGTAGAGTTTAACAATATTATGACACACATTAGCCTAAAGACCCTTTTTTCGTGTCAGATAATTTGACTTGAAAATGGTAGGAAAAACATCAACAGGAACTGGAATAATTTAGTAAAGGTTTTACAGAACAACCAGCATGTGCAACTGCAAGTAAGGAATGAAGTGGACTGCCTTCCCTTTTGTAGGTCAAAATGCCAGATTCAGCACAGTCATAATTGTGACATTTTTATTTATGAATGAGACCAACAGGAAGGAACCTCTGGTAGGTCATCGGCCGCAGTCTGCTCTACGGGACAAAAAGCATCAAAGACACACAATGAGGGTGAAGACAGTAGGGGAGTGGTGCGGTTCATGGATGACCCCAAACGAAACAAATGGTTCGAGGTCTCTTGATCCCAAATGTTTTAACTCACCACTTTATCAGCATGATATCGCTGCTATATTTGTTGTATGCAAAGCGTTTTTTTTTGCATGTCTGCTTAGATCTGTAAAACTATTTTCTTACATAATGTGTTGACAGTTAAATGCTTAATCCTATTTAACATAAAAAGTGTAGAACACACAATTTTTTTTATGATTACTTCTGATTATAATCAATTGCTCAAGGTTTTTCATGCAGGCTGAACATGAAAATAGTCTTCTACCAGCTTAGTGGCCTAGCGGTAAAGTGTCCGCCCTGAGACTGGGAGATCATGGTTCGATTCCTGGTCGGGTCATACCAAAGGCTTAGAAAAGAATGGGACCCGATGCCTTCCTGCTTGACACTTGGCCTTAAGGGATTGGATTGGGGGGGGGTTAAACCACCAATAGTTCCTGAATCTGCAGCTCACCGCTCCAGGGGATGGGTCAAATGCAGAGAACAAATTTCGCACACACTTCAGTGTGACTGTGATCACCAATGGGACTTTGAGTACACCTATCTCCTGCATTAGCTTCTGATAGAAAATACATGGTGAAACTCTAGGATTAGAAAAGCATTGCCAGATCTACGTCACACTGTCACTTATCATTCATGGACTCACCCATCTTGATTTCAGGAAACAACCTAGAATGTTTCAGCTAGTAAAAGCTAACTGTTAGCAACTCCACCACACAGCAGAAGCTCCCCCAGGCTTGTGTTATTTGTGGAGATACAACAGCAATGTTGGAATCAGTGGTAGAGTTGTGTTTCTGTTATCCAATCAGAAGAGAAATGTCCAAATGTCAGGAAATAAGACTCCAAATCCTGCCGCGTTCAGCTCTCCTCTGACACGGCATTCTGCTAGTTCCTGAAAGAGGTGCATCTGAGCTTTGTTGCCCCTGAGTATGGCTCACAAGGCATTCATCCCTACTAGAAACCACTGCAAATGTATTGATTAAATGATTGTCCCACACATTTAAGAAACAAACCTGTGGTCTTCGAGAAAAGCAGGAGAATAAAAAGACAAATAAGGTTATTTTCTTAATAATTAGGTGGATTGATGACAAATCTGTTTTATATAAGGAGAAAGCTTCTAGCTAGATCAATTTCTGCAGTGTTTTGATATTTTAGATTTCAAATATTTTAATGACTTTTGATTTTATGATTTTGGAGCAGAGTAAATGACCTTCATTCCCCCTTTGATGAATGTGTCACCTGCACACAACGGTCTGTTAGAACGTAATCCCTATTGTTCTCTTCTTTTATTAAATACCATATTAAAGCTGTGCATACAGTGCAACACTTCATGAACTCCGATTATACCCTGAGGACAGGGCTTGGATTTTGCTCTGAACAGACAGTTCACTACAAGACTGAACAGGATATTGGGTTTCCAGATGTAATCCATTGTCAGCACTTAAATCTGCTCTCAGCCCACATTGCTTCTTCGTTTAATTAACTCTGGTTTCCAGTTCTGCTGCGGAAACACGTCCCCACTCAGCTGATTTAAGGTTTTAAATGAACTCTTCAGCACCTAGGTTAAGAGAAAATCCATTAAAAGTTAAGTTTTTAGGTGTTTTGTATTTTTAGAAATTTTTTTCTTCGAAATGTGAAAATGTATCTGCTATGTAAAAAGTGTAAATGCTGTGATATAATTAAAGCCAGCTGTGTCATGGGGGGGTCACATGACAAACTTTTCAAACATTTTCCCTCTGAACTGCTGAGCTATTTATACTCTACAGCTGTCTTTAAAAGTCTCTGTGCAAACAGAAACAGCGTACGTGCATCGGCCCTGCTCAGAATCAGCCAGAATGACTAACAAACAAATATTCATTTGGATGTTAGATGATTAGAGTGTGAGAGATCTTTCCTGTGACACAGTCTCTGATAATCCACCCACAGACACGAGTTGTGTCAACAATCATGTGCTTTCCAGAAAGCTTTCCTGGGTAAATATGGAACCAGGATGCGACATTGTGGAGTCACACGGCCACACGTTTGTTGTGTAGTAAAGAAACAACGTCCCAGGATGTGATAAAATACAGCTTAGTCAAGAGATCTACTTAGATGCTTTAATTGGCTCGTGGTCAGAGGAGGACTTTCAGAGAAAACATTAGAAATCAAGGAACTGTCCTCATGTGAGTGAACAAACAAAAAGGAGTACTGATACTAACCAATCCCCTAATATAAACACAGAAGCAAAGGGTATGCTGGGAAACAAAAGACAATTAAAACAAGTTGAAAGAGGAAACGGCAAATATTGTATTCATAATAAGGAAAAAGAGTCCTGTAAATTTTAAAATGGGATCATGTAGTTCCTCTGACCAGGGTAGAGATGAGCTCGCCTGACTGGTTTAGAGCACTTGGCTCCGCTGGCGCTGGCTCTGTGCGTGCACTCATCACTGTCACTCCTGCAGGCGCCGCAGTGGCAGCTGAGAGCCACCGGGTAGGTAAAGACAGGGTTGGAGTAAACAGGACAGCCGGGTAGGATGACGGTGCGGTACTCCACCCGGTCGTAGGTGCAGCCCCGCTGGATAAGGAAGCGTGGGCGGAGAACATCCCTCATGTTGCTGTCCTGAATGACACACGGGGAAACAATCTGATGAATGCTCCTGTGATAATCTGTAATCTCTTGTTCTCATTTTAAAACTGTTATAATATTTTAATTATAGCCACACTAACATCTATTTAAAAACATTTGGTTAACTGTTCATACGTAAGAACACTCAAAAAGATCTTGACTTCCTACATTTTCTTTAAAGGATAATGAGATATTATTTAACGGTTTCTGTGGTAACACGTTACAAAACAGAGTTCCTTTATTAATGTTACTTAGTGCATTATTAGGTATAAATAAACAAAGGATCCCTTTACTAACATTACCATTATTGTTCACTATTAAGTGTCCTTAAGGTTAGGACAGAGGGCTGGGGGTTGTGCTCAATAATTCATTACTTAAAGCCATACTTTGCAAATTTTAAATAATTTTCTAAAGCCAGTATGTGCTAAAATGACCTTCTGCAGGGTTAATGAAAGGCCACCCAGCCCCTATCGCCCCCTGTGGTCAGAATATTCCACTGGCAACTTTAGAGAAGGAATTGAGCTGACATACCTGGTGCTGCATTCTTCTTCCAGCAGGTTTCCAGCATGTTTTAGATAATGAGCACAGCTGATTTGTTTAACTTAGTGATGAACCGCTCCCGTAGACACTAAGGAAGGCTGGGAAACATCTCAGCTGTTAGATTAATGGGTTAACAAGACAAACGCACAGCGAGGAGATACGTTTTTCTTTTGGTTCTACAAACGGACACAGGTGGGTGCTAAAAGCACACCAAAACTGCTTAGTTCCCCTTTAATATTGAGCAGTTGTTAATACTTTACATAATGCCTAATAATGCACTAAGTAACATTGATAAAGGGACCCTCGTTATAAAGTTTCACGGTTTCTGTGGAAATGAAACTTAATTAAAAGTGAAAGACAGCAGAAATGAAAAACTTAACATATCAAGCTCAGAAAATACTGGATTGCTGCTGAGTGTCTCATAGGCATTGGACCAGAACCAGTATATCTTCCTGATAAAAAAAAATCTCAGGTTTTTTCTAGATGTTTATAGTTCTCTCCCTGCTGATGCATGATCATTTAAACGTGTTTCATCAGCTGCACATGCTTATTAAAACACCACTGTTGTGTTTGTAGGAGTGAGCTGGACTTTTAGAGCCGTTCCTAGTTTACATAGCTTAGTTCCAAACACACAACAGGATATCTGGCTTCATATTTCAACAGCAGAGCAAAGGCAAAGACACCTGGTCTATCTTTAAACTGTCTTTTAAAGTACGTCTAAAAATGCATCTGTATGCTTTGGAATGCGGCGGCCGCAGGCTTTCTTCTTTTTCTTTTGTTTTTAATTTTTTCATCATTTAACTTAATTTTATGAGCATAACTGATGTTTTAAATTTACGTAATTTATACTATGCATTTCATCAAAGGTCGTGTGATTTAAACTTTTTTTATGTTTTCTGCCTATGTTCAGCCCTTTGGGGTAACAACTGTTGCCATTAAAATGTGCTATGCAAATAAGCCTTGACTTGACTTGTCTCGCCCTTTTTACACGACACACCATGCCGGCAAATCGCCGTAATATTGCCGTAATGGTATGTCTATAAACGCGCCATGCCGGCATGGCGTTGTGCAAATTTGGCGGCATTCGTTCCGCCTCGCCTGGTAGTAATATTGCGGTAATGGTCTGTCGTATGCACCCTGGCGCAACAGAGGCAGATGTCATGATGACTAGGGAAGTTATTGCTGAGCTCCGGCTGGCAAATTTATTGAAAATGAAAGTAAACACAGGCAATAAGGTTTGCTTTTTGAACAAAAATCAGCTGAGATGGCAAACTGGAGCGCCGCAGCGCTCCACGAGCCTCTCTGTTAGAGCTGAAGCTCAGATCACTGCACAGGGACTGATGGGGACAGACCTTTAGCAGCTGCTTGTTAAAAAAAACTTAACGATCACGGCTTCAATTGCAATAAAATTGCAGCGCAGAAACCGCCCCCATACCCCCTTTATGCCGCCATCACCTAATCTTTTATAAAATTGCCATGATTGTCCACATTACCGCCATGGTCTGATCTTATAAACGACCTTTATCCTCCCCAGGGAGCCGCGGCAAATCCCGTTTTGCAAACGCTATGGTCCTGTAAAAACAGTGAGAGAAGTTCACTAAAAGTCACTTTGGGGCATTTTTAAACTTTAAACTTCTAATTTATTTTAAACTAAAATCTGAAATGATGATAAAGTGGAACTATGAATTTTCTTTTTTTGCAGAGGAGGTGATTGGTTTTGTTTGATATAAGCTTAAAAGATTTAACTACAAAATGAACTTGAGTCAAAAATATTTTACATACAACATCTAACACCAAGAACTTGTAAAAGGTATGGGATAGATTTAGTGGTATGTCTTCACTCCACAGAGTAGAATTACAATCAAGCTACCCTTTACAGTTGGCGGGCTTTCCTGTGTGTTCTGGTCAACTCGGAACTCGTATAACCACATTGTTCACGCTATCTGATGCTAGACATTTGATGCTGCTTGGATCGCCTCATTCCTGAGACAAGAGGCATAAAGAAATCCGTTGAATTAAAAACATCTATTGATCTTTTTTCTTTGTGCGACATATTGTGTTTTTTTAACCACTTGATAAAGTGAAAGGCTTTTTTCTTGCATAACAAAGAAGTAAATACCCTGGAGAAGCAAAACCCCATGCAGATGGTGGCGTTGATCGCCACACAGTAGTCACATTCCGGCTTTTCCACGTACAGCGTGAAGTCCGTGGGTAGACATGTGGGAACGGCTGGACCTAGGAACAGAAGCAGCAGCCCACAGCTGAACACGGCAGTGTCCATTTCTGACAATATGCGATCCTGTAAAAGATAATGAAAGACAAATAGACAAAAGGACGACAGGATGTGTGGTTTCATGATTCAAAGTGAGAAGCACCTGCCTGAGAGATGCGACGATGTTCTGAGGCCAAGCATCCTGGATGAAGAGTATTTATACAGATTCAGATAATCTACCTTAACCCAGGATAAATGTTATCTTCCATCAGTGACGAAAATGGTCTACAGACCTCGAGTCCATTTTGTAGATGACATAAATAATGCTGTCTTTTATGAAGGAAGCTCACTGAGCCTTTTCAGAGCCAGTGTCCACTAGATGTCACAAAACACCGCCAAGCCTGGCTGCTGCTCGAAGGAACAGACGGTTGTGATAATGCACGTGTGCTCAGACGGTGTTTTGTGGGCTGTGGGTTAAAAATTGACAGTACTGTCTGTAGCAGCGAAAGCAAAACAAAACAAATTGTCACGGCACATAACTGCCCTAAGCATTTTAACATCTGCAGCTTTATCTAATCTGCTTTCACTGCCGGTAAAATAAAAACCTGCTGCAGCAGACATCCACTCTTCTGCCCCAACAGTGACCTCTGCAGACACAGTAAATACCCTCCTGACAAAATCCCCACCTCATTCATGTGAGTTTCTTATTTATAGATGTGCGTAATGATTATCCAGAATAGTCTTGTAGACACGTTAAGTGATTATGTTGTAAAATATCTTTGGAATTCACTGAGATTTTTGTGTTAATTTGATGTTTTTTTGAGCCATTATGGTTTATAAAATGCTGAAAATAGTTGAGTAATAATCAGAGGAGTACATGTACTAACTTTCCCTACAGACTCAGGAAAATGTAATTACATCACTTTATCTCACCGCTACACCCCTCCAGCTCTAATCTTTATAAACGTGTTCCATTTTAATAATAAATCTGTCATCGTCCTTATCAGTGTTTCATTAATGAGAACTCACTCACCTAGCATGAGCATAAGACGTGATCTTTAGAGTTTGATTTGCTCGTAACAGATTCAGGACCAAAACTAAACTAGACCAAAGTCTTTCATCCAGATTTTGTTTTAACATTTTTCCTTTAAACATTTGCATTTGGAATGAAACGCTCAAAAATGCTAAAGACTCCCCATGACCCAAACACAAAGTACTGAAATAGCAACCACACTGTGACAAAACGATGCAACAGCAGGAATGGAGACCAAGCCTTCCCTCCTCCTGGACTCCTTATTTAACCAGGAGGTACTGAGTAACTTGGAGACGTACACGGACCTACCCCAGATGCGTCACTGTACGACTCCGTTTCAAGAGGAAAATCGATTTATTGAGAACAAAGAGTATTTTGATTGCCACTAGAATGCAATCAGCAGCCTTCCAAAGGAAAATTTTCTTTTAGAATCTCTGAAATTATGACATGCTTCAGTTCCTTGCGTCCTTGATGGATCATTAACTAAAGTAAACTAATCTTTATTGTATGCTGAATGCATTAGAGCTGACATGACTCCTGCCAACTCCACGAGAGATGCTTGAATAATCCCTCTGAACCACTGATTGTTGGAGTGACAAATCTGGGAGCGATGGAGGACTAAGAGCTGGAACCATTATTTTTGCCATCCCACACACTTTTTCTTGTTTTTGCTAACGGTTCATACATAACTGGACTGGAAGAAAGGACATTAAACTTCAGTGGGATTTGCATGATCTGCGTGGTTTCTAACCAAAGGTCAGAAAAGTGTTCAGTTCCTTGAGTCTAATGGCTGGAACCGGTGGCCCAGTGGCCACTTTCTCCGTCTGGGATTATGTGGTGTTTGCTGGTACAATCGTGAGCGCAGCTGGCATCGGCCTTTTCCAAGCCATCCGAGGTCGCAAGGAGACCAGCAGCGCTGAGTTTTTGTTGGGTGGACGGCAAATGACAGCTGTACCAGTGGCCATGTCTCTAACAGCAAGCTTCATGTCTGGCATCACGGTCATCGGCACGCCAGCTGAGGCTTACCGCTTTGGTGCTGCCTTTTGGCTCTTTGGGTTTTCCTACGCCATCATGTCTGCTATCACTGCTGAAATCTTCGTTCCACTTTTCTACCGTCTGGGGATCACTAGCGCCTACGAGGTAGGAAGACACTAAAGACTGTTAATTATTGGACAACAAGGAGGTTTGTAAACAGGTGCAGCACAAAAAGACTACCACTATAAAAACATCACTGATATGCTTTACTGGCAGACTTCAGCTTCAGATCATTGAAGTCATTCATCCCAACAGGTTAAATGTGTATTTTAGGGCTCTGAATGTCTGTCAGATTTTCTTTAAAAAACTTATTGCAACCTAAACTTTGTAGTTTTATGCTAAATCCATTTAAAATAACTCAAGTCATTCGACATTATAAAAAACATCAAACTCAAAAGATGAATCAGTTTTTACACTTAAATGCAGTTCAGTTCAAAACCAACAACCAGCTTATTTATTAAACTTAAGTTTATTTATCTTGCTCCAGTTTACAATACAAGTCATCTCAAGGCACTTTACAAATCAAAAATTCCAACTGAATCAATAAACAGTTAATTATTACTAGTTTTTGCACTATCTCCTCTGTTGTGTCAGTAAATTTTTTATACATTTTATTCTGAGCCTCTTTTCACAGGTATACTAATATTAGCATTTCTACAGTTATCCATATGTTTCCAGACTTTCCGAGGACATTTTAATGTTTACTTTTGAATAATTAGCTTGAGCTAATAATGTTACATCATAAACAACGTCCCTAGATAAACAGAATAATGAGTGTATTTTTCTTTGGGAGCGGAAATCATAAAATAACCCAAAAATAAACAAACAAATAAATAAATACAGCTTGTGAAAAGATGACAATTTGGTAATTTTGAAACATATTCCAATGAAAACTTGACATCATGCAGCTATGTACAGTGTGTACTCGAGTAATTGAGGAAACTCAGCAGGTAGTGGACCACAGAGGGAATATTGTGCATTAAAACTAGGGACCAATAATTAAAAATTAACTCTTTGAAAAATTGGAAAAAGACCTGACACAGGACTAGAGAGATGCATCATCCTTCAGTTGATCATCTACTGGATGTCACATTTTCAGCTATTGGCTCTCTGGGAATAATCTACTTGGCATAATGTCACACTACGTAGTTGACTTTAATGTTCTTGCTATTCTTGCTAATGGAAAGCATATTGGCTTGCCTCTGTGTATGAAATGTGCTATTAATAAAGCTGCCTTGCCTAGAAAAAAAAACTGAAGGATAAAAACTGACACTTATGCATTTATCCTCCTGAGACCTGAGCTTAGTGCATTTGTAATTTATCCTAAATTATTTTGGGATCAGTAGAGCCCCACAACAAAAACCCAGCTTGATTAAGAACCTTTAAAAATAAAGGTAAAGAAAAAACAACACACACACACACACACACACACACACACACAAAGTAAAAAACGGGATTGTTAAAAGAAACCTGAATACAAACTATTTTAAGTCGAACTGAAACATTGCTGTGCAGGAAGCCACTGGCCTGACGTGAGGACAGAGTCTCAGAAAGTAAAAAGACGAAGAAAAACGACCAGTTCAAGTCCTAACGGTTGGTGTTTTCCTTTTGACTTCCAGTACCTGGAGATGAGATTCAACCGGCTCATTCGACTAATTGGAACATCAATGTACATCGTGCAGACGGTAACCCAGCTCAGATGTCAAAAAGAGGACAGGAATATTCATTTTTTTTCACATTTTTAGAAGAAAGACAAAAAACTGTTTATACAAATTATAACTCATTTTTACAGCATCTGCTCATTTCTCTTCTTGACTTTATGTAAAACTGATCCCAGATACCACAGCACAATTAATATGAGACATGCTGTGTTTCCATCTAATTAACTAATGGCGACATCTCTTTTCAGGCTCTGTACACCGGCTTAGTCATCTATGCTCCAGCTCTCGCACTAAACCAAAGTAGGTGAAAACTCGCAAAAAGGTCTTAAGAAGACATTTTCTGTTACTTTGATGAAATATGACCCAACTGAACCATTCACAGTGAAACAAATAAAGTTTTTTTAATGTTATAGTCACAGGGCTGGATCTCTGGGGAGTCCTGGTGGCTACAGGAGCAGTGTGCATCGTTTACTGTACTTTGGTTGGTAAAACAACTTTTTGTTAAGTTTTACAAATAATGAAGGAATATTTTATTTAGCTATTTTCTTACATTATTTTGGTAAAGAGACATTGTGTAGTTTTTACCGTTAATCTGTTTCATGCTGGTCGCCTGTGGCATTTTACATCAGCTCTTGCTCGGAAAGCAGCGGGACATTAGCTACATGCTAACTCAAAGCTAACTGAGTTTTCCCAGGAGTATATAGCAAGAAAAATGCGGTAGAGCAACTCCAAACTGAAGGCCTCTCCAGCCTGCTTAGTATTGAAATCATAACTAGGTTAGCTGACCAAGGATATTGAGCTTCGCTGGTCCACCGCAGTCAAAAACCTGCGAGTCCGCCACTGTGTCGACACCCCACGGAGCCGAGTCGACAACAGAGGACTCGCGGATCTTTGACCGTGGTGGAAAAACGAAGCCCAATAGCCTCCGTTATCCTTTGTCTTAGAGGAGCAGCGGGTCTACTCCGAGCCCCTACCAGATGACCAAGTTTCTCACCCTATCTCTAAGGGAGATCCCCAGCCATCCTGTGGAGAAAACTCATTTTGGCCGCTTGTGTCCGCAATCTCATTTTTTCTTTTAGCTTGTGACCAGGTGAGGGTAGGAACATAGATCGACTGGTAAATTGAGAGCTTCGCCTTCTGGCTCAGCTCTCTTTTCACTAAGACAGATCGGTACAATGCCCGCGTCACTGCAGACTCAGAACTAATCTACCTGTTGATCTCATGCTCCAGCTTTCCCTCATCATGAATAAGACCCCGAGATAGGACCTCACCTCTCTCCCTCACCTGGAGAAGGCATTCAAGCCTTTTCCGACTCAAGACCAAGGTCGGATAAAACTCTTCCCAGCTGCTTCACACTCGGTTGTAAACCGCTCCAACCAAAGCAGGAGATCGCATTCTGATGAAGCCAACAGGACCACATCATCTGCAAAAAGCAGAGACCCGATCCTCAGGGAACCTTGTCCATAAAAGTTATGAACAGAATCAGTGACAAAGGGCAGCCTTGGCGGAGCCCAACTCTCACTGGGAACGAGCCCGACTTACTACTGGCAATGTGAACCAAGCTATCACACCAGTCATACAGGGACTAACAGCCCTTATCAAAGGGCCTGGCACGCCATACCCCTGGCGTACCCCCCACTAGGGGTTGTATGAACTAGTCGACTAGTCGACTTCACTGCTCTGTAGTGACTTTTTATGCCTGTCATCGACTAGTCGCTGTCACGTGATAATGACAAGATGCAGTCCTTGGGAAAGGCAGCAGGTGACGAGCCCCTGCGCGTCTGGATCGAGGCGGAGGCGACGCGCTGTGCCAGAGCGTCGGTACTGACACCTGCCGTAAAACGAACATTTAACCAAATTGTGACCTTTTCCCTCTTGCAATTTAACATTCCCCTCACCCCCATCCTAACCTTAACCAGCTTGCGCATGCAAAGCTCTGATCGTTGACGCGCTCCAGACATCTGCGTCCTGAGCACGGCCACAGTAACATTATTAAATTAGGTGTCACCACTCAAAAACAAATGTAACACGATCGTTCATGTCGGCTCATTTCCTTTTATGTTTTCTGTCTTTTATTTTTGCCTGATGCACCCCGCTACTGTGGAGCGGGGCGCATCATCTGTTTTGTCCTCCTGTGACGCACTGCGGCCGGCGAGCAGCTCGCACTCCGCTGTTTTTGCGGTCGGTGGATCTTTTAGAACTGCAGTTCAAAGGTAACTCATGAGGTGAATATATATGAAGCCAGGTAGCAGTTTTTCTTTAGGATTGAGAGGAGATGCAGGAAGATAATAAACAGACAGGACAGAAAAATAGTCAAATGAAAACAAATTCGGTTTTGTACCTGGTGGTTGCAACAAACAGACACCATTGAAGGTAATCAGAGGTGAGGAACAGAAAATTAAATAATTATTTTGATGTTTAGAGCAGCAGGAACTCTGAGAGGCTGCAGGCGCATCAGTTTGTGGCCGCTGCGCAGGGGGAGGGGGGAGAGGGCTGAAGCAGGAACAGTATATAAATGCAGAAACTACCGTTGTTAAAAGAGATGTGCTTAACTTTGAAAATGTGGGCGCAATTTTAATTGTCAAAAACCCCAGCGAACCAACACCCCCCCCCCCCCCCCCCCCCCCCCCCCCCCCAAGGACGCCTTGGAAGTTCTGTCGGAGGTGGGAATTGAAGCTCCTTCTGACAGGACACTCTGCCAGATATTCCCAGCAGACCCTCACAATACATTTGGGCCCGCCAGGTCTGACCGGCATCCTCCCCCACCATCGGAGCCAACTCACCACCAGGTCAACTAGATATATTACATCAAAAAATGTTTTTGAACCAGGCTGTAAACATGTTTATTTCTGCTTTTACAATTGCCTTTTTTTTAACATCGGAGTCAATGAGGATTTGCTCACTTCTGATGCCATGCCTAGCGCCATTCATAAATGCTGTTTTACACATTTACCTCTTCACTCGTTACCAGTAATGAAAGGGATTCTGATGTGTTTGTGATTTTGGAAGTTGAACAATCTGACAAAGTACTCGTTCAAAAATTGCACTCCCAGGCATTTGTGACCCTAATGGCCATCTGTTGGTAATGTCTTACTCAAACACAAAAATACTGCTTGCTTGTAATGATTTAGGTATATACTGCCCCCTAATGCCAGGAAAAATACACACCATCACGTCAAGCACTAAAATGTTTTGTTTCAAAGTGCAGCAGAAAAAAAGTAAAAATGGAAGTTTTGAATTAGTAGAGTCATTATCAGCAGCTAGTTTCTTATGGTCGGTAGACACCCGAGGGAACTCAGTCAGACAGGAGAATCAGGAAATATCATAGAGGAATCAAGCCAACAACTGGTCAGACTCGTGTTGGTTTTAAAATGCATTTTCTGATGTCTAAAACATCTCGGACCCTAAAAAATGTATAGCAGTTCCTGTAAATGTGGTTTAAAGATCGACACACTGCATCACTTTTGTGCTGGATGGTTATCCGTAAAGAAACTAAAAATACTGTTGCTCCAACGGCCATCTAAATATGTTCTATTTGAAACACATGTTGCAAAACAAAATGTGTTAGGGGCTTTTTTTTTTTATCACGATTTAAATCATTCCAACTGTTGTCTATTACAGGTAAGACACTGACTTCTAAAATCAACTCCACAGAACCCAAGTCTGTCCTTTTAATCCATCTATAATGCTGTCTTTGCCTCAGGGTGGTCTAAAAGCCGTCATCTGGACAGATGTGCTGCAAATGGTGATCATGCTGGCTGGATTTGTGGCTGTGATAGCTAGAGGAGCTGTACTGCAGGGAGGCCTGACAAAGATTTGGCAAGATGCTGCTGAAGGAGGCCGACTCGATGCTTTTGAGTAGGTCCTCAAGAAGACTTGTGTTAAATAGTGTTCAAGTTAGATTTAAAGTGATTGCAAATGAGTGGAGTCGATGTTAACAACCAGGTGAAAACTGTTTTCTGTGACTTATTCACTCAAACAAATCCTATCTACAATAACCAAGAGAACTTCACAATGGTGATCAGAAGCTCAACCAAGGCTGCTGGCATCTGATTTTGTAACTTTCTCATGTTTTTAACCAAAGTTTTGACCCAGATCCTTTGAAGCGACATACTTTCTGGACCATAGTGGTTGGGGGAAGCATAATGTGGACGTCTATCTACTCAATCAACCAGTCACAGGTTCAGCGTTACATCTCCTGCAAAACATTAGGACATGCCAAGATGTGAGAAAAATGCAAAAAGACTTTCTGCAAGTGAGCAGCTTCATGTGCTGACACATCTTCTTTCATCTCTCAGGTCTTTGTATGTCAACATGGTTGGTTTGTGGGTCACGGTGTCTCTGGCTGTTTTCTCTGGCCTCACCATGTACTCCATTTACAAGAACTGTGACCCACTTTCAAATGGTGACATAGGAACTCCAGACCAGGTAACTCTACATACATACGCATGCACATACGCACACACACACACCTTGTTGATTATGTAACTAAGGCCCTAGAGCTGACAGTAAAGATGATTTATGTCTGTGAATCAGTTGCTGCCCTACCTTGTGATGGACATTCTGGCAGCCTACCCTGGAATCCCGGGCCTGTTTGTGGCAGCAGCATACAGCGGTACCCTGAGGTGAAAGCTGACACAAACATCAAAAGTAGAATCTTGGATCTTATTGTGATAAGAAATGTTGCAACCAGTTCATGCATAATTTTATAGAATAAACTGTTGACCTAATGTTTCACTTAACTCAGCTTCTGCACCTTGAAATTTGAAGAAAAGGGGAATGTTGACTAACCTGTAGGTCACCGGAGGCAGATTTTCTTTGCAAACCACTTTTTTTGAAGCTTCTACACCAGCCTAATCAAATCAAATCTAATCTAATCTAATTTTTGCATACTTTTTCAGCACCGTGTCCTCCAGCATTAATGCTCTGGTTGCCGTCACTGTGGAGGATTTCATTTTCCCACTTTGCAAAAATCTGACACAGAAGCAAGTGACTTGGTTGAACATGGGCCTCAGTAAGTTGTGCTACTTCCAGCCACCTTTGTTTGCCCCCAGACTCTGTATAGCTCATAGGAGACCCACAGAGCCCATAAGTACCACTATCTACTCTTGTTATTCTTGAGTGGTCATAACAAAGCCAGGTCAGTTTTCTAGTTAAACATGAATATAAATGAGTTACAGATGAACAGCAGCATGAGTGAAACGGTGAACTAAAGCTTATTTTGCTGATTCATCTCTAAAATAGAATATTTAAAAAGTCATTCTGAAAGCAAGCAGACTGCACAGGACATGGGTTTACGCTAGAGAACAAAGTGTTTCATTTGTCAGCTTTACTGAGAAACATCTGAGAGGGCAGGTGTGGACGAGTTCTCTGAACTTCTTCTGGGACTAAAATCTAAGACATTCCACGGATGAAACACTCCACCCTTTCTGTGGAACTTTAGAAATGTAGTCATAATCTGTGTGCAAGTTACTAATTATCTTAGAATACAATAAACTTAGATTTTTCCCTTTGATTACCAAGCTTATTATTACCCTATGAATTTAATTTCTTCAAATCATCCCAGTTTGCAGAAGTAAATCTAAAGATCAGATTGTGAAGTAATTTACCAAATTAAATCTCAGGTGTATTCTTTGGAGCGCTGTGTATTGGAATGGCTGGGGTTGCTTCAGTGATGGGAAGTGTCCTGCAGGTAAACTTCCTCTTCATGCACTAACCCACATTGCCACCTAGTGTTTAAAAGCGAACACTACAATCCTCTTGACGTTTTATTTTTCATTACAGGCAGCTCTTTCCATATTTGGAATGATCAGTGGACCTCTTCTTGGTCTCTATCTTTTAGGCATGCTTTTCCGCACAACCAATTCGATTGTGAGTATGTTTCATTGCAGCATCTTAAAAAACACACACAAATATGTGTTGATAGATAAACAAACCAAAAATGCAAATAAAATCCTCATGCTTAGTCACTCGGACACAAAGGTGAAACAGTTCACTGCAGTTGTATTTGCCTTTCAGGGAGGACTTTCAGGAATGATCATTGGTCTTGCGTTGACTCTGTGGGTGGGGATTGGGGGCCAGATTTACCCACCAACAGATGAGAAGACTAAACCTCTCTCTGTCAGCACCTCAGGCTGCAACAACTCCCAAAGCAACACAACAGCATCTCCCTGGACCAGTCCTGTGACCCTGACTCAACAGCCCGAGTTAGTCATTTCACATGCTGGTATTTTTAAATCCGAAATATGGATTTTAGTCATGTGGAAAGCTTTTGTGAGAAAACAGAGAAACTATTAGTGATCTAAAGGGAAAGTGTCGAGATTACCTAAACAGAACAGTAGGAGGGAAACCAAAATGAATTAAAGATCATTTTCATTGCCACTTACACCCAGAATGATGCTTTAAGAGTTACTTTAGAAAAAAACTATAGATCCATTGAAAGTTATTAACATCCAGGTAACTGTGCTTATACACTAGCTGGAGGGCAAGAGCACCTGTTGTGAGAAAATATGTTAATCTGAAATATTCTTTTTTCTCTAATGAGCAAATGTTTCCAAATTCACATTGACTTAAGAGTCCATTATGAGGTCCAAACAACCTTTAATAAAAGACGGGTGAGATTACATCCATTTATATAACTTTCAAAAATGATGAATACGCCTGCCAGAAAATTGTGCACAAGAACGTTTTTTTTAATTCTTTTTAGGAGGACATTATTACATTACGTCGATCACTAACATTGTGAAGATATCTGAAATGCAACCTCCAGAAACGGGGGACAGAATTTCTCACAACACTGGTGTCTTTCCCTCAGGCCTGAGGCTAGAGTGTGGGCATGTGACGTCACGCTTCAGTGGGTCTATATTTATCACAAACATTCTGAATAAACTGTACAAATGAGACATTTTGTAGAAGCACACTTCATCAGCTATTCAAGCAACTGATTATCTGACATAAAAAGCAAAAATTAGAAAAAATCTGGCTTATCAGCATTTTCTGAATCTCCCGAGGTGACATAGGAGGTTAAATAAAGAAATAAATCTGTTTTTTCTGTGCCCAAGAAGCTATTTTGTGCACAGAAAACAGAATCTTGTGTAGAAAAGTGACAATAGCAACCCCTAGTGGCATATTGGGGGAACTTTGCTTTACAGACACACAAGATACTTACTTTTTACTTCTGTCTCCCCATAAGGGCTTTTCCTGTTACTAGAGACTCATTTTAAGTTTAATGTTTCATCATCAAACTAATATGAAAGAGGGTTGGTGTCTGATGTAGATATAATGAGAATAATGTAATTACTAATCATTGTGTTAGAGATTTTAAATATAATTAATAAATGAATCTCCTTCTGCATCAGTTTCAGGCCTCCGATAGCAGACTCTTGGTACTCGCTGTCCTACGTTTACTTTTCTTTATTCGGCATGCTGACCACAATGGTGTCTGGCCTGCTGCTGAGCATGATCACAGGTAAGGTTCCCCTTAAGGAGCTGCACTTAAAAGGAACACAGGTATCAGCAGCATGACATGCATGTTTCACTTTAAATGCTCAACCATCAATGAAACAACAAGTGAACGCGTGTGTGCTCTGTAGGTGGATGCAAGCAAGAAAAGCTGAACTCTGACCTGTTTGTCACGAAGAGTGATTTGATATGCTTCACTTGTTGCCGTAAATCAGAGGTAAGACGCTGACTTAGGCAATATGTTGGACAATTAGTAACCAAGAATGTTACATTTTTATGGCACAGATTCGATACTGAGCTGTAAATCTGTTATGCAGGCATCGGAAGGGACAGAAAAGGCTTCGACAGATCTTCACATGGGCGTGGACAACTTGGCTTATACAGACATTGATGTAATGAGCAAAGAATCAGAAAAAGCCACTAAACTCTAGCGCTGCTGTAACTGTACATGTGCATTCTCCATTCTGTGTATTCACTCTGTTGCTAATCATGTTGTGTTTTGCACCTAGTGTTATGAAATTCAGTTTTTATTACATTTTAGGAGACGTCTAAAGTCCTGGGAAATGCAGCTGAACTAAAGAGAAAAGACAGATGTTACCACATCCTCAAGGCCACACTGACTGAACTTGATGCTTTTTGATATTGTGGCCAAAATATTTTGCACGTTTGCATATTTACTACCTGAACACAGTCTTTCCTTTGAAGCAGAAACAGAGATCTACTGAATGTTGGATATTGTTTTTACAATTCTCTTGATTTATCAATGATGTGTTGAATAAATTTTTGTTTATTAACTGATTATTTACAATAATAAACATTTTGTGTGAAGTTTAAATTGAACACAGACACACGCCCAGCTCTGAGAAACTTCACCTGATGAGGTGAGATTATAAAGAGCCTAAAACATTTTTTTAATTGCTTTGGCAAAACCAATGTGTGTAAATTGTATTTTACTGAGTGACAGAGAGCGAGAGATTGAGCTTTGGACTGGAGGTAACCAAATCCTTTGTCGCCATGGCAACAAACAAAGGAGGAAGTTTACAAAGACATTCCCTGCCCACTTCTACCCAAGTCCAGGCCAGATTACCAACCTGTTCCAGGCAGAGAGCTAAGAGTCAGTTGTGCCATTAAGGCAGATTCACAACGGAGGAACAAATCTAAAAAGTCACTTTGAGACGATCTTCCATAGCAAGGTGAGAAGAACTTTTTCTCCCCGTTTTTAAAAACAGTTTTATCATGAGATTTTACTCCAGTTAGTTTAGTAAACAAAACGATTAAATACGAAATTCATGAGTGGAAAATTTGAGAATATCTAGGTAGAGATCTATGTTAAATCCTGCTCACTGTGTTTCAAGGTGTGAGAAACTCAACTAATCAATACATTTGCAGTGGTCTGAATGCCTTGCAAGCGGTAGGATTTGGAGTTTTATTTCCTGATATCTGGACGTCTCACCTTGAACTGGATAACAGAAACACAACTCTACCACTGACTGTTCACTCTGCAATGTTGATGCTTTGTCTCCACAAATAACACAAGCTGAAGGAGTTCTGCTGTATGGTGGAGTTGCTAATGCTAACAATTAGCTTCTACTAGCCAAGACGTTCTTTGCCGTTTTCTGGACGCTAAACCAACAACAGCCTTCCCTGTCGTGAGTCAAGATGGGTGCGTCCATAAATGTTCAGACAGTGCGACATAGATCAGTCAGGCTTTTCTAAACCTAGAGATTCATCAGAAGCTGATGCAGGAGATGGGTGTAGGGGACGAGACTATTTTGATTTTCAGCCTGTATGAAACACTCAAGAGTGATGACTATAATCAGAAATAATTAAAAAATGTTTTTTAGTGTTCCACATCTATAAGCTCTTTTCCTAATTTATTTATAAATAAGTAAATGTTGAAACTGATATCTTTACAAATGTGATGCATTTTACCTACATATAAAGGCAATGTGTGTAACCTGGCTTCTAGATTTAAAAATACTTTCACGACTAACCAAAGGGTTCAAATGAAGGCAACTGAACTTCTTTGGTTTCTTGAAAGATATTTCGTTTCCAATCTGAGGAGCTTTGTCAATTCTAACTGCAATATGGGAGAGTCAAGCTTATAAACTGTGTCTGTCTATTGTTATTTAATGAGCAGAAACTACTCTGGGTACCCCTCTTCTCTACCCCCTGATGAGTCGTTGGCCTCTATTGAGAGGGAGTCATGTTGATTAGATGCAGGAAGGTGTGGCTTAGACCGAAACTGCTTAGGAATGAGATTTAAAGCTGCATTATAGGTACTGGAAAGGTGAAATCTGAGCCCCCCCCTCCCCTATTTAGGTTTGTCACATTTGACATAAATAGCTTCCTTTACTCCTCTTTCAAACCAGCTATCTTCTCTGTCCAGAATTTGTACTTTGTCATCTTCAAACGTGTGTCCCTTGTCCTTCAGGTGAAATGGTCTCAATAGAGGCTAACAACAACTCATCAGGGGGTAGAGAAGAGGGGCACCCAGAGTAGTTTCTGCTTGTGAAAAAGCAACAGTCAGTTAAATCTTATAAGCTTGACTCTCCCAGAACTGACAAAGCTCCTCGGATGAGAGACTAAACATCTTCGAGTAACCAAAGAAGTTCAGTCGTCTTCATTTGAACCTGTTTGAATTACCATGACCTGCTGAGAACCTTCACCAGCATACTTTCACGATAATTTTCAGTGTCTCCAGCCCATGTTTTGTTTCTCGACGCAGGATTTAATAGCAATGGAAACAACCTTGGCTCCTCTAGTTTGTTGTCTTCTGGTGCTGCTTTTTGCTGTGGTTCAGACCGAAAACCAGAAATTAACTACAACCATGGAAAAACCTGGATTAACGTCACCTTTATCCAACTCCACAGTCCTCGTAACTGTTTTGTTGAATTCTACTGTGGACACAAAAGAATATGCCAGCACAAAGCCAAACAATGATACTTACACAACACCAGCAATCAAAAACACAAGTCACCTTCAGTCTTCTCCTGTAGCGACCACCCCGTCTTCTCCAGTAGCGACTGCCCCGTCTTCTCCAGGAGCGACTGCCCCGTCTTCTCCAGTAGCGACCGCTCCGTCTTCTCCAGTAGCGACCGCCCCGTCTTCTCCAGTAGCGACCGCTCCGTCTTCTCCAGTAGCGACCGCTCCGTCTTCTCCAGAAGTGACCACCCCGTCTTCTCCAGAAGTGACCACCCCGTCATCTCCAGTAGCGACCGCCCCATCTTCTCCAGCAGCGACCACTTTGTCTCCTCAGACAACACCAAGCATTCAAACTCCCACATTTCCAGAGACAACACACACAATAAATCCCACACCAGATACTTCATTAAGTTCAACTGAAAATTCACCTGAAACTGTCACATCAGACTCAGCAAGCAGAACCACAAAGGGTAAGCATCACGGACCTTGTTCTACCATGTTTGAGTTTGCCCCACCAGTGATTGTAGCTGTTTGCCTGTGCCAGGTTGGAGCCTTGATGTATCTGAACGGAACTTGACGATAATCTTCAGCGCTATGCTCGGAGTGTTTGTTTTCACATTAGTTGGGATCACGTTACAGAAATGCAGACATAGACTCCAATACGTGCATCAGCCTCTTAATAACACAAGTGAAGCAGGTAAATGAGTTCGTCCATTGAGTATTGAGAGCAGAGTTTCTAGTGTAAAAGCATAAATATGCCGACTTTCTCTCCACAGATGGATTTGCGGTGGACGACGACACACTTGTGATTTCTGGAGGACTTTACGACGGCCATCCGATCTACGATAATGTCCCACCAGCTCCTTCAGAGCCATCCCAGTTTCGCCTGGAGTTCCTTCATTAGTCAATTTTTTGGTTCTACAAGCCTAAGTCTCAAATTTGATGCTTAAAGTCATGGAGAAAACAAAATTTAGAAGATTTCAAAGCTGTGCGATCTAACTGTAATAATAAAAAATACCTGCACTAGACAGCAAAACTGACTGAAAGAACAATCTTTATTAGTTTTAATGCTGCTTTGACTTTTAACACAGTCAGTTCAAGTACATCTAAATAAACTGGAACAGAGTCCTTCAAACAAAACCTTGTGTAAATAACAATTTAAGCATGTCCAGAAAGAAAAAAAGATTATGTTGACATGTATAAGGAAATTATTCCCAACATTAGGACAATACCAAACTTCTTGCATAAAAAAAGTGTGAATACAGCTAATAGTTTTAGCATAGCTTCTAACTGCTGTCTATAACTGTCAAGGATCCTTAGTGGCATAGACTTACATTTAACAACAATATAAGTTAGTCAATAAATAAATACATTTATGTCATGTTGACACGTGTAATGATGAGTTATTCCCAACAAACGCAGAATAACTCAACTTTTCTGACCAGATCTTAAAATCAAAGAAAGTGTATCTGCCGCTACTTTAAAGTGAAAACACCGTGTTCACCGTACTTCTACTTTTAGTTCTGTTAATAAATATAAATGTATTAGGAACAAAACATAACACTTAACACTTACAACTTTGAACTTGAGAAAAGTGAATTTAGTTTAATATAACTAAAAGCTACTCCTAACAATGGATTTGCAGATAGCTTAAAGCAGGCTGTGTGTCCAGTTAGTGTAAGTCTAATTTAACATTGAATAACAAACTTACCACAAACAAATGCTAATATGAACCCTGAAATCCACTCATTGTTAACAGCTGAGCGGCTGACTTATGAGAACGCCCGCTCTAAAAGCATTTTAACATTTTATACCACCACATTTTGATCTGCCAGTAAATTCCTCAAACAAAAAGCTATGCCTATTGAACATCATCACTGGTAATTCAACCAGAAATGTACAAATGACAAAAATAAATTTATGCAAATATCTTATCGCTCGTCATCTTCTTCTTCTTCTTGTCGTGGCCCATCACAGCAGTCCAACCAGCGTCTCGGATTCGTTTAATTGCAGCCACCTTTGAGGAGCTCCCGGGTGATTTAGGACCGTCTGGGCGCTGAAACTGAAAACAAAAACAAAATTCTAACCTTCCCATTTGCCATCAAATGACACATAAATCTACAACACTGAGACATAATCATTAGGTCTCAACGATCTATCATTTCTGGACCAAAATTGTGATTTTCAATCATTCACTGCCAGCCGTTTTCTGATCAGTAAGGCCCTTCACTGCCAGCGTTTTTCAGCGTTTCCAGTTTTTTTAAGTCACAGAACGTTGCGCTCTACGTGTTGAATCTTGATTTGAAGAAAATCACGAATTGAACTGAAATCAATTTCTCCTAGAAAAATCACAATTCAATCTTTTCCTAAAATCGTTCAGCCCTAATAATCATCATACCTGTGTGCAGATGTTATGTTTACATTGCAGTAGGGTTGTCACGGTGTAACCTCAGTTATTGTGACCAAAATTATCAAGGTTTTCTGTATTATCGCAGTATTTTTTTTAAACGTGTTACATTTTCAGACAACTAAATAAACCCTGTATTTCAGGAAAATATTGTCCTCAGCTTGTGCCTAAATTTTGCCTAAAATTTGTTATTTTGTGATTATGTTGTTTGTTTGCTTACATTTTCCCCCTTTAGTCTTTAAAATACCAATATTTGCCCATAACTTCTTATTTTTTGTCTGTTTGATGTCATCATTTAAAAACATTAGATCAGATGATACTCGGTACTCAAGTAGCCTTCTAATCAGATACTTTTTTACCCTTACTTGAGTAATAAACCCTATATCAGAAAAATATTGTCCTCGGTTTGTGTCCTTCCAGTGAGCTTTGCAGATGTGGGAAAATGTCATCAGGCAGTAATCATTGTTAAATTTGTAATTATTCTCGGAGAGAGACCAACTCTTATCTGCCCCTGGGAGCCCCGTAATGCATAGCGTTGTTTCAACATGGGGTGTTCGCGACACTGTTTATATGCAGGTAGCGGCGCTGCGGCTGCTTTATATAGCGACTCGTTGCATTCTCCCTCAACCCAAATCCTCAGCTCATGCATTTTAGCTAAAACGCTAATGTTAGCTTGCCTTGCGTTGACTGTAGAGTTGTGGGTGATGGTCACGCAGATGTGTCATGAGATTTGAAGCGTTGCTGCCTTTCACAGACACTTTTTCTGCACGTGCTGCAAACACGATAGCCGTCTTCTATCAACTGTCCCTCGGCATTCTTCATATATCCAAGAAATGCCCGTACTTCCGACTTTGTCTTCTTTGAGAGATAATAAATGTCCTGAGCACTGCCGTCTCCTCCTTTGGCCATTATTTCAGCTTTAGCTTCAAGAAAGTTTTGGTTGTAAACAACAAAGTGCGCATGTGCCGCCGGCAACTTCAGCAGATGATACGGCGGCTGGTAAGGGTCACCGCACTTACGGTAATCCACCGAGATAATATATTTTTTTAAAAACAAGACAGTTATTATTATTGTCAACTTTTTTACTGGGGTTTACCGCTAAACCGGTTTCCGTGACAACCCTACATTGTAGAACAGAAAGATTTGTTGCTAGTCTTTCTAAGCAGGTCTATCAGAACAAAAACAAATGACTACATTTCACAGTTATGCAATTTTTCTCAAATTAGAAATTGAAAACTTGTTAAAACTCATATTGACAAACATTAAAAACAGCCCTCACCATAAGATCGATGTGATCAGAGCTGTCAGACCTGGGCTCAAGTTCCAGAAAGCTTCTCTCCCACTGTCCTGCCTTCTGAGTTAAGGGGGGAGTCCTTATTCTGTAGGACTGTGAGACAATTCACATAATAAACTTCAGGAGAAGGCTAGAATGTTATTGTTCATTGCTTAAAATGTCAGAATGATGCAGTATATTACTTTGATCTTTGATGTTCCATAGATACTCCTAGTCTGACTTCCTGGGGGTTTCATATCTTTGCTGAGAATGTGCTGTAAGTTTAAAGTCAGTCAGATCTACTAGAGAAGCAATACGTGCATGCTGATTAACTCAGGCCAGCTAACATGAGCTAAACAGATACAACCCACAGCTAACAAGGGTTGGGCATCGTTTAATTCGGAACGATTCCGATTCCAACTGCAATTCCTCGTTTCGATTCCAGTTCCTATCATTCCCGTTTCCGATTCTTTCAAGACATGACATGCTTTACATGAGCCAGCTAACCACAGGTCCTGCTTGATGAAATAATCTTAACTTCAACATGAATTTTATTTTATGACCAATAACATCTCCTTCATTTAGACAAAACCATGTTTTGGAGAAAAAAAGAAAGACTTACAGCACAATCAGTGTGTTTGTCTCTGACCACAACCAAAGTCTGGAAGAAAACTCTGGGATGAGGCTAAATGTCTCCAACATATCCAGAAACGTCCAGCTGTTTTCAGCTAAAACTCTCAGGATGATCATGTCCAGGATGACTGAGAACTACACCTCCATGCTGCAGCAGCATTCAGTCAGAACAGAAAGTGAAACTTAAATGTAGCTGCTGGCAGTAACAATCTACAGGGTATATACAGCAATCCTTAAGTAAAATTTACTACTTTTTAATACTTTTTTTTACTACCTTCAGAATTTTTTTTAAAACCATCACAACACTAAATTGCAAGTGTTAATCAGCGACCTATTTACACATATTTTAACATATATAACATACAAAAAGAATAGACGTAGAGACTCACTGATGTTGACAACGTATTGCACGTATTTATTTTACTTAGAAAATAAGCCAGGCACTTCTGTTCAGCCGTTCAGACAGTTGAACACGAGGCCTGAAATGATGCACAACGACCACTGAATATGACGTCATCATTATGTGACCGGATATGCTAAAGTAGGGCTGCTCGATTATGGCAAAAACAATAATCATGATTATTTTGACTGAAATTGAGATCTCGATTATTTAAGACGATTTTTCAATTTATGTAGATTTTTTTTTTATTCAGTCATAAAACTGCTCAGGGAACAATCAGGGCAAAAATAAACAAGAAACAAGATGATCACTAAAATAACTCCTGATTTCCAGTATAAAAAGACCAATATACTTATAGCTCATAGTTTATGACCCAAGGGCTATAGACCTTGGTTTAACTCATTTAAGTCTAACCAGTACAGACCCAAATACCAACAACTTGCAAATACTGACAGCAAGAATTATACAGTGGCATTTATAACAAATACATGCAAATTGATGTTCACTAAATGTTGCGTAGCATTTATTTAGTCATGTCAAGGTGCTGTAGGAGAGTGCACTAGCACCGTGTCCTCAGAGAGATTAGTTATTATTTATCAGCGTGAGGAACTTATTTCTACCTTATTTATAAACTATTTATTTACAAGTCCATCCGTTAATGTAATAATTGCCCCAACCACAGCTGCACCCCCACCCCCAACCCGGTCTCACAGCAATCAGGAGCAAGCTGCACGTGTTTAGCACGCCGCACGCGCACATTTAGCCGTTTTTAGCGGCTCAGGAGTCCGCAGGTGCGTTGTGTGTGTCACTCACTCTGGTTAATCCAACAGGGAGTCGGCTCCGAGAGCTGTCTTTAGCGACTGACACATCACTACATCATTCCCTTTCCTATAATGTCCTGAAGAACGGTCCGGAGTGCAGGCGGAGTGTTTAGCTAACCTGCAGGAAATGTTGACGACAGTTATCCAGAAAGAAGCTAAGGGTTACCAGAGATGTTTCTGAGGTGTTCGCCAGGTACTTTTAAGATTTAAAAAGTCAAGAAGCGGGTCTGAGAAGCTGTTAGAAATAGCGTCAAAGTAGCTAAGTTAACTTGGCAACACTGGGAGGAGCGCTTCATTTGCAACTCAAGGCAGCGCAAGTGGGAGGAGCAAATAATCGGCTTGTTTTGTTTTTATAATCGTTCAAAACATTTCATTCGGAATATATTTCTATGTCGATGTTCAGAATACGACATCTGATAGTCTGAAAAAAATAATACCTAATTTGGAAAAAATAATACCTCTGAGACCAAATTTAACACTTTTAATGGCCTTAAATTTGACTATTTTTATTTATCACTTTTTAATACTTTTTAAAACCCCGCGGACACCCTGATCTAACAGATTTTAAACATTAAAACTCTCAACAGAAATAGTTCAGAAAGGAAAATAAAATTTTCATAACTGTGTGTGATTTATTTTTATTATTTATTGTGGCAGAAGCTGGTGTGGTCCACCACAGAGAAAGCTTTTCTATTGTTCAGCCTTCTGACGGTCTCCAACACTCACACGAGCGGCTGCGTCTGACTGCTTACGCTTCGTGTGTTTTTATTTCTGCAGTGAGACAAACTCACCTCACACGTCCACCCTAACACGAACCCAACCCTAACGTCTTTAAAGCTTCTATTAAATCCACCGTGTTGACGTATTTTAACAAGTTTCCTCTATGCCGCATTTTTCGCTGCAGGAGTTAGCTTACATCACGGAGTGAAAGTTCGGCAGAGGCGTTTGTTTATATTTGGCCGCCGCGCCGGGTGGGGGAGGGAGGGGGGACTCGGTGCTGCACACAGACAGCTGGTGTGATCAGCTCTGAAAAGCGTTGATCACAATTTGCAGATCATGTTTATTTTTCATGGAGGTCGGCCACGGATTCCTCCTCAGGTCAGCATTCTAGGAATCGCCTTTTCTATTTTCAAGAAACTCCTGAAGACCCTGCTCTTCAGAGAGCATCTTCTTAACTAGCACCTTGTCTGCACCCGTCCCCCTCTCTACTGTCCACTCCTTGTTCCCTCCTCTCCATGACTGATGTCAATTTGTTGTTGTTACTATTGTTGTTAGCCTCAAGGGCAAAATGCCGATTATCACATGTAAGTCGCTTTGGACAAAAGCGTCTGCTAAATACATAAACATAAACATAAAACTATGAACGATTCCGGGAAAAATGAACAGTTGGAACCGGTTCCAATCGATGCTCGATGCCCAACCCTACAGCTAACCCTACCTTTTTGGTTTGTGGTGTTCTCATTGGTGTTGTAGTTGGGTTTGTGGCAGACACCTATAAAATAAAAATATTACTGTGACAGGCTCACGTCGTATTTGTTCGCTGCTGTCAGACTCTTCCTTCCTTTTGACATGAAAATTATTGGTTGGGCTGTTATTTAAACTTTCAACACTTGTCACTCTTACTACACAACTTAAAATAAAACTTCATAATTTGATTTAAAGACATTTCCATCTCGATCCAACTGACTTTCTGAAAAACACACAGCTGCTTATTGTTAATACTCTTTGTGAATAAAATCTTACATCTTTGTGAAATGCAGGACTCTGGTAGGTGCTGCAGGAGGGAGTTTTCCTGATCTTGGAGAAGTCAAACCTGCGAGCTTGTAAAAAGCTATTTTGAGGAGTATCGGGGTTTTTCTTCAGCTCATCGTTTAATGCAGGTGGCTAAAATGAAAAACATCTTATTGAAAACCTGATGAGAGGTCCAATGTTTGTTGTGAAACGTTATGCTGAATTTACCTGCTTATCCTTTGCTTGTGATGCAGGGCTGATTGATGCAGTAGTTACCAATCTCTTCAAATCAGCCACTTCTTTCTGCAGCATTTCCTAAAACAATGTTTAAAAGGTTTATGAGGAAGCAGACTCTACAACATCGCCTTCTTAAAATAAATGCTGTTGGAAAAAACATATATATGAGTGGACACCTTCTCAGTTTTCTCTGTCTCCAACTGTTTTCTCAACTTGTCATTTTCACTCTTCTCTTTTGACATGCTCAAATCCTGGAGAAATGAAATTAGAGCAAATATGTTCAACAATGTGCTTATTTTTCAGATGTTAATTAAAATAACCATACCAAAGATTTTGCACGGGATGTTGCCTCAATCTCTTTCTTCTTGTTTTCTCTGAGCTCTGCATCCTTCTCTTCTACCATACGATCATACTGGCTCTAGAAGTATTTTGCATCAGATTGTTTTGCATAAAAAAATTAAAAAATAAATAGAACTAATTGATATGACCTACTTTATGTTTTCCCATCAGTGCAACCATCTCTGCTATCTTCTGCTGACATTTGAGTTCTGCATCTTTCTTAAGCCCAACAGCCTCTTCTGCTGTTACTCTGAGCTTTTGTACCTGCAACACAAAAGGTGTTTATTTGATGATAAAATCAAATAAACTAAGAAGAATTTTTATATTTCATAATAACCTCTTTTTCAAGTTCTCCCTCAGAGACTGATTTGGACTCAAGATCCTTCAGCATCTTCTGATGATCTTCCTCTCTGAGCTTCTGAAGGCTCTGTGACTCCTCTTTAATCTTGTTGATCTAATCATAAATTTAACACAAACTATTCATTGTCAAACTGTTTAACAGATTTTATTGAAAATGAGATCATCTACAAAACATAATGAAAAATTCGGTTTCCCTACCATCACTTCAAGCTGACTGGATTTAGATGTTTCCTTTGACAGTTGTCCCTGAAGCACTTTATTCTGAAAATAAACATAAAAACATAAACATTTGCTAATCTAATTCTTATGCAGTACATCTGTTTTTATAGCCAAAACCTTTTTCTTCCAGTCCTCCAGGACTTGAAATTTCTTTTCAAAATTCTTCCTGAGGTTGCAAAGCTAAAACACAAAAAAATATTTCTAAATTTGACAGGAAAATGTTTGATAGTTGAGAGAATTTTGGATTTTAAGAGTTTGTTCTGTCACCTTTGTTTCAGCAGCTTTGATCTTTCTCTCTTTTTCTGTGATTTCATCTTGCAGATACTCACACTGTTTGCAGAAAGCACAAAAATGTCATTTCAGATTTTCCATCTTCATTATATCGTTTACATGGTTAAACATTATTTACCTTTTCTTCGATTTGTTTCTGGACAACCTCTACTTCTTGACATTTTCCCTGTACTTTGGTTTTAATCATATTTATTTCTTGTCTATTAAAAGAGAAAATATGAGTGTGTAATCTAAAATTTAAGCATCATCTAATTGTTTTAATCCTTGTAAACACAAACTAACCTTAAGCTCTTGTTCTCTTCTTCCAGTTTTTTTATCTCTTTTTTGAGTTTGACTGCATTCTCCTCTCTCAGCTGAATCAAAACAGGTTTTAAACTTTATCAGTCACACGGTGATGGACATAACCAATGCTACTTATTTTTGGGCACAATCCAGACCTTTTTGGTTGCCTTAACTGAATTGAATTCTGACACTCTTCTCTCTAAATCCTGTTGAATGGCCATCTTCTCAGATTCCAGCTTTTCAAAGTTTATCAGAAGCTCTTCATACTTCACTCTGACATTGCAATTAACATTTTACATTATTACAACATTAATTTCTAAATAGATTCGGATCATAGAAAGGCTGAACTTACTCATGCTGCAAGATGTCTTTCTTTAACTGCTCCATCTGGAAAGTACAATCTTTACTGTTCTCTTTTTCTTCTTCGAGCTCCTGTACTTTGATCTGGATGTGTGAACACAAAAAGTGGAAATTTAGGATTGTAACATAGTATGTATTTCAAGGGAGAAAATAAACTACCCAGAAGAGCTTCCTTTTAACAAGGGATTGCCAAGATTTAAATTTAGTAAAACCTCAGAAACAGTGAACTTCTCCTTTAAATCTTCTTTTTGCTTTTCAGCTGTTTCATGAAGCTTCTTCAGTAGATCATTTTCAGCTGACACTTTCTCGTTTTCCTTCTGAATCAGTAGAAAGAAACTGTCAGGCATGTTTTATTTATCTATGATAGCATAAACTACATTCTGGTTGAAATATGTGAAAGGATCACCTTAAACATCTCAAGTTCGTTGGTGTTTTTCGAAAGTTCGGCTACAAATTCCTTGACTCTGATCTCAAGTGCATCAATCTTACTTTTCAAAGACTCGATGGTTTTTGATTTCTTGTTCTATAAACAGCAGCATTTATATTTACCGTTTTGTTGGCTGCAGTCATTAGGCGGCGGTTGATGGTAATGACTACAAAAAAATTCAGATAAATCTTACCAGTTCATCTTCAACGATTTTGATCAGATCATCTTTTTTTGCCACCTGCACCATGAACGCTTCTGTTGATAGAGAAACATTGGCAAGGGTGGGTGAGATAAAGAGTATGTCACCCTGAGTAAAGCTTACCCAACAGTTTGTTTTTCTTTTCGAGATCATCGACAGCTGTTGTTAATTTAGCTTCAAGGTCTCTGGCCCTTCAAACGAGTAAAAACAACAATTACACAAAGAAATTTAAATGATTTCTGGAGCATGTACTTGATGTTAAGAGTTTTTTCTACCTTTGTTTCTCTAAAGCTAGGGAAGCCTTCAGCTCCTGGAGAACTGATTCAAACTTCTCCAGCTTTTCTGCTTGTTGAACTTTTTCTCCACTGAGCTCCTGAATGCTGAAATCTTTACTTTGGATAATTTCTTCATACTCCCTTCTACTTTTTTCCAGGGCTGCAGATGTAGCTTCCTTTATTTATTTTTTATTTTTTTGGAAAAGTGTTGATGTTTCAGTCACAGCAGACAGAAATGCAGCTTCACTTCATACAGAACCTGGGTTTTTATTATACTCACCCGAATTTCTTCACAGCACTGTTCAGCGGTTCCCAGTTTTTGGACAAGAGATTCTTTTTCACTTTTCAAGCTTCTGAGAAGTTCAACCTGTTCATCTGTAAAGGCAGAAAACATGCAATGTAATGAAAATGTTTACAGTTATATTAAGAGCTATAACCACACATGGTCAAGAGTTTGTCAAAGCAAAGCCTGTTCACTTTTTCCTTGACCAAAATGTTTCATTTGTCTCATAAAGACATCAGAACATTTACAAGTCTGAGATCACATTGTAGTCATGATCCTACTTGTTGAGTTTTTCAGTTGCTTGCAGTAATTCTCAGTTTTGCTGAGATCAGACAGGACTTTCTGTAGGTCTTCCTCCTTGTCGTTAAGTTTTGACTGAAGCTTTGTGATCTATGAATGTAATTCAGATTTTTAGCTTGTTTGATTTAGAGCATTTAGAAAGAAATGTTACGTAAAGTTAGGGCTGCTCGATTATGGTAAAAATGAAGATCACAATTATTTAAAGTAAGTCCCATAGTCATTATCACACACTGGTGAATCTCATCTCCACATTTGACCTATCCCTGAGGGGGGCGGTGAGCTGCAGCTGTGCTTGGGAAACATCTGGTGGTTTAACCCTCCAGTCCAACCCCTTGACCCTCTGGAGGCAGGCATTGCATATTGCAATGTTAAAACCTACCTACCTGGTTACTCCACATACTTATTTCATGAGCATTTTTAACTCAGAAGTACCCCTGAAGGACTTAGTTGTTCATTGGGAGAAAATTGGGAGAGGGGAGCAAATAATCGGCTCATAGTTTTCACAATCGTTCAAAACCCAGATCGTAAATGAGATTAAAATTCAATTAATCGAGCAGCCTAACTTTAAATCTTATTAAAAAAACAGCAAAAATCTTTTTATTACTAACCTCCTCATCCTTCATCTTGTTTTCCTGTTGATATTTCTCTTTCAGATCTACAAACCCCAGCAAACTTTGTTTGACTGAAAAAAAAACCCACTAATCTTTACTTTCTGAAGAAAATAAAATATATATATAGTTTTAACTAAAAATAACACTTAAGTTACAGCAATACTTTTAGTTTGTTTCTGGATGTAATTACCCTTTTGCATCTCTTGTTGATCAGCTTCTACTTGAACATGAAGGCTTTGAAAGGCTGTGGTTAGTTTCTAAAAGATAAAATCACTTACAAGCTAGGGGTCAAAAGTTACAGCCAAAAAATATGTTGAGCAAAAGACTTTCTATAAAATAAAATACATTTTCTCCTGTATTGTACATTTAGTAGTTTTACCTGAACACATTCGCTGTTTTCCACAAAGAGCTTATGTGTTTCCTCTCTTTCAGATTTAACTATAAAACCAACATACAAAAACAGTAACATATCGAAATCTACATGTTTGATGGAAAATAAATATAGTATGGATGTTTGAATGATTTTTTGTTACATGAATGCATTTTCTCTGCAGACCGCTGAAAGGTTTTCTTGAGAATGTCACACAGGTTCCTTGTTGCATCATTTCTGAGTTTAAAGAAAATAATTTTGCTGTTATTTAAAACAAATTACAGTGTGTGTGTGTGCATACAGCTTTTACACATAAAAACATGAGTTCAGGGGTTTGAAATTTGACATACTTGATTCTGAGGTCCTCATTGTCACTAATCTGCTCTTCTAGCTTGGTGCTAAGACTTTCATTGCCAAACTGCAAGAATAAAACATTTCATGTCAGCAGTGTGCATTTAAAGTAAATCTATCTATATAAATATTCCATGCTTCTTGAGTACACACTTGCAATTCCTGAATGGCTTTGCGTTGAGTTTCAATTGTTCTTTTGTTTTCTTGTAGTTTTCTTTCTTTCTGGGTTGTGTCAGTATCCACTTTGACCTTCCAAAACTTTATCTTGTCTACCTCATCAAACAGCTTGGAATAAAGCTCACCAGGGCTGCATTTGGTCTGGGGAATATTCACAATGCTAGGAAGAGAGCTGACACACTTACAAATAAACAATGTCTAGGCCAAGAAGGTATCTATTCATGCTATACATTGTTACAAACAAAAAACATTACCACTTCCTTTTCCAACGGTGCCACGTGTTTCACCTGGGAAACGTCTTTACAAAAGAATTGATCATTAGCCTATAACACCAAGTATGACACTTGAACAAATTTAAATGTAGTAAAATCAAAATACCTTGTCTGGCTGGCTTACATGGTTGAACTAAATGTAACGGAGGCATGCTCGGTGCTTTGCACTTATTGTAACTCTAGTGAGAGAAAAAAAAAGAAATCAAACTTAGCATATTATATAGCTGTAGTGTCTTTAAACATAAATAATAAATAAATAATAATTCTAGAAGTACTAATAATTAAAAAAAGATAAAGAAAAACATATTATATCATTAAAGACAACTATAAGTTCAGTCAGCTGTAAAACAAATGGTAAATGGCCTGTATTTGATATAGTGCCTTCTAGAGTCCTGGAACCCCCCAAGGCGTTTTACAACACAGTCAGTCAATCACTCACACACACACACACACACACACACACGCACGCACGCACACACACACACCCTGGTGGTGATGAGCTACACTATATATATATATTTGCAAATGTCAATGTACATACATAAAATAACTTACCTTCTGCACAGCACTCAGGGAATCACTAGAGTTCCCAATTGTTTCTTGTGGTGGAACAACGTTAGTCTGGCCGTTATACATCCTCGAAGGGATCACGAGCTTGAATTTAAAACCCCGGTCTCCTTCCATCTTAAAAAAATAAATAAAATCGACGTTGTTAGCGAAATGTTCATGGTTACTCACCAAGGCAACATGGTGTCTTAAACCAACTACATGTTTTAAAATTTTTTTTAAAAAAAATCACGTATTAATCCGTGAAGACCAAACAAAGGTGAAGACGATGTGGTTAGCTAAATGTTAGCTTGAATTTCCCGGGCTAGCATAAAAGTTTAACCCATTTGAAATTATTTTATTACTCGTTTACTTTTTGCATTTTAGGTCAAAGTTGGTCCAAACAAATGAGAAACAGTTAGCAGTACATGACCTTGTAGTTTGGAGACGTGAAAACAGACAATATGTCGTTTAATTTGTGTTAAAATTACCTGCTTTCTCCTAACAGCTCCAACGAAATGAGAAAGGAGCGCGTGCACACTGAACGGTTCGGTTCACTTCTATCAAGCGTCGTTACGTTATTTTCTGGAAGGGACACACGGCGCAAGTGAGCCACACCAGGCTTTCAAGATAGCGCCACCTGGCGGTAGTTTACTTTGGCAGCTATTAATCATAGACATGAATGCGTGTCTGGCTATTAATACTCAAACTGTAGTGTGATTGCTCATTTTGGCCAACTTGATCTATCCTGTAGTTGCTGTTTTGTGCCAGTCTTTGTTTTGTGGACTAATACCTCTAGAGTAGGCTTTATGAATCCACTCGTATTAGTAACTGGAGTCTGCTGTCTTAAATATCAATAATAAAATAACAACAACAACAACAACAACAATATAATAATAATAATAATAATAATAATAATAATAATATAATACACTATTTATTCTATCACTCTCAGTAACAAAAAGCACTTTCCAAAGTGTTTTGTAAATTTCATTCCAGTTATTTTTTTTATTATTAACCAACCACAAAAAGCTTAACAAGAACTTTTAATACTTAATGAAAAACACTAGCTTGAGAGCAAAATAGTTTAAAAACCTGTAAATGATGGTGCCTTAGCTGCACATACACACATGAGGTGGTGCTGTCAGAAGAAAGCTGCATCTAGAGATCCCTACTGAGCAACACTTTTCCAGCTGAAATGCTTATTTCAGTTAATCTCTTCATAAGTATTCAGTCATTTACTGTGTAAAATATGCTTGATAACTTCTATTTTACATAAGATCCAAAAAGGGAACACTTTCATACCATTTTTGGTTTTGGACACACACTGGAAGCAAGCATCGGTCCAGTGGGGTCATTGCTAAAAGAAACAAAAATGCTCTCAAACATTTTTAAAAAACAGTAAGATTTCATTATTGATCATCTCTGGATCAGAGGATGGGTCTAGGAGGTCCCAGGATCAGAAGATCTTTGCACTCTGGCATGATGGAGTTTTTATCTGCTTACCCACTTGGTCAGTCATTTGTCACAAGTTCCTCTGTTTGTACATGTTTGTCATTCAGTTTCCTGTTTCTACAACTTTAGCATTAGGTACATTACATTTATAATAATAATGTTTCATCAGCACGTAGGATTACAATATTTCATATGCTGTTTTTGTTTTTCCTTGTAAAATAAAAACACTGAACACATTTGATAGATGGTGTTTTATTATCTCTTTAAGTTCCATATATACAGAAAATAGTAGTCAGTGTTCCACATATTTATAATGCTAACATGCATAAAGCTAGCCATATAATCACAACAATTAGGAAATGTTTGAAAGTGAAATAGAGATTCTGTCTAAATAAGTTTTCAGATATAAAGTTACGAGCATGCATTAAAGTTTTTGCAGACTTAAAAAAATGCACAACGCTGTGAGTTTCACTTGGAAGTAAAGCCAAATGCACACAGATAGATGCCTGGTTTCCAAAATATAAAGCTCTTTATAACAAAATAACTGCTGGTATTTAAAGTTTAAAATACAGAATGCAACAGGAGCATAACGTTTGAAGATTTAGTAACACTCTCTGACTTGAAAGACACACTTGCCCAAGAGAAAGCAATAGATATTGTTCTCATTGCAAAGAAGAGGTATTTTATGTTGATTTTTATTAGAATTTAAAGGGATTTCATAAGTATGGAAATGTTTAACAAGTGTATGGTTTCAGTAACTTCTGAAACAGCACAACGTGAAGGTAGAGCACAGCAGCAAATATCTCTGAAAAGCTTTTGTTTGCATCAAAAAGTACAGCGACATGATGCAGGCCACTAGACCGAGTCTTCTGTGTTCTTGACTTCTGCCCCTTCTCTGTTGGAAGTTGGTTCTCTAACTGTCATCCTGGCCACCCTCTCTTCCTCCTTTTTCTCCTTGTCTACCAGCCGATAGTTGATTCCCATCGCTACAAACAAGAACACGCTGGAAACGATGAGGACGATCCCACAGCCCTGATACGTGTATTTGTAATCGTGGTAGATGTCTTTGAACTTTCCTGCAAAAACAAAAATAGTCATCATACATGGATGTTTACACAATGTTAGGATTCAGTCAATTCTTCTGGTGGATTGTATACTCACCAAGCAATGGCGGTCCTAACAGCACAGGGGCACACTCCATAATGGTGACCAGACCTACAGCACTTGAAAAACGCTGGGATCCAACGAGATCCATCAAGGTCTCAAACAACACTGCGCTCAGCCAACCAAAAGCAAAGCCAAAGAAGATGGAATAAATAACAAAACCTTTGTAGTCAACAGACAATGGGGCCAGAACATGGCAGACCCCATTATACAAGACAGAAGCAGCAAAGTAGTACTGTATTCTTGGTCGGACCCACTTTGTGTTGGCCACAATGCCCATTGAGGGCCGAGCAACCATGTCAACAATGGCTAGCACAGACAGCAAAAAAGCTGCCTTCTCTTTAGGTATATCTTTACTCTTAGCGTAGTTGGAGAGGAACACCAGTGGAGCAAAAAGACCAAACAGCATGACGACATTGCCCATTATGTAGAGCAAAAATCCACGATGCTTAAACAGAGAGAGGTCAATGAAGCTGTTAATGGTTTGCATTACGGTCCTCCTTTCACTGGTCCTTTCTGCAGGTTTGGGTTTGGGTCCTATTGGTCTCATGAGGGAACCAGCAACACAGCAGTTCAGGAGCAGGCCGCCCAGGATCAGAAAGCTTCCTCTCCAGCCAAACTGATCAAAGAACCAAGTGTTGAGTGGAGCCAGAGTACAGAGAAAAACAGGACTACCAGCCATGGCAATCCCATTAGCTATGGGTCGCTTCTTGTAGAAATACTTTCCAATCATGGTGAGGGCAGGGTTGAGGTTAAAGGCCAATCCCAACCCTTTAAAAATGTATAAACATGGAAATGTGAGAACACTTGATTCAAACATGATACATTTTTTAAAAGGAAAAAAAGATACACACCTCCCAACACACCAATGCATAAGTAGAGTGCTTCCACAGAGTTGCAAAAAGAGGCAGAAACAAAACCGATTCCAGACAGGCATCCTCCCGCCATCATGACAGGACGACTCCCATACTTGTTAACCATGATGCTGCTGATAGGACCTGAAGGTTGCACAAAACAATGCCCAAAAAGTCACTCAAAGCTGTGCAGATCTCTAGATGTCCACCAGGGGTCACTAGTGCTACATATTTCATTTGGCAAATTCTAACAAGTTCTTCAATCGTTTGTGCCGGTGCTGCACTGCAGTAGATGGGTTCTCATGCCATTAATAATGCTATCTGTCAGAGGAACAACAAACACGGGAATTAAATCATCTTTTTTATTTTGTGATTCACACAACCTGACAGATTCTTCTTTAAAAGGAAACTGATAGAAATAATCGTTGGACATATATCCCAGCTCAGGACAGAAGGTGGGGGTTATTTGGTGGCGGTAATGGTGATGGTGGTGGTGGTGGTGGTGGGGGGGGGGGGGGGGGGGGTAAAATAACTTAACTCCCCATCCCCCACGCTACTTTTGCTACCTGATGCAGTATTTATGGATAAATGGGGATTGGTAAATCAACTGGTTAGAATGAATGGATTCAATGCCAGTTCAGGAAAATCACTATGACTTGCAGGCAAATATCCAAAATGCTTGTAAAATTCAGGCAGCAAAACACCAGGCCAATCGAAAACTTATAACTATCAGCCTAAATGAGTATGAGGATGCACACGGAAGACACTTCTGCCTCGCTGCCAAATCCCTGCAGTTCCCAATGAGCCTAAATGGAAACTGACAGTTTTTGTTTAGAGGTTGTCCAGACTCATTTGCCAGCACGGTGCAAGACAAAGGGTTTTTAAATTGTAATGCAGGCAGTCTCCACGCAAACAATGAGTTCTTTCCTTCCACTTTGCAGTGAGGTTTGCTTAGGATACAAAGGTTGGAGACAAACAAATGTAGAATATTATGAATGTATTGAATCAAAAATTGAGGGAGTACAGAGGTAGGCAACACTGCTGTTAATGAACTTCTCCCGCTGATGTGCTGAGAATGTTTAACATGCGGATGGAATGGGGCTCAGCTGTCGTCTAAAATCCTTGTTGTATTCATAGTTTGTGTACTGAGCAAAATTAGCTTGCATATGTGTATTTGCTGTTGAATATTTACATTATCAGTGTTGCACCTGAACATGTACAGATGGGAGACAAATTAAAGAGGGGCTGAGAAGTGTTGCCAAAGCAGATGCCGCAAGTGTTGATTTTATGAATCTGGAGCTTCAAATTACAACGATACTCTTGTCGTTTTAATCTCCTGACTTTAAAGGCTGCAGCAAGTGATTCCAGCTATTTTCATATTAACCAAACCGTTGAGGACCCCTTCATGCCCTGCAGGACACACTTCCGGTCAGGATCTTTTATGAGTGGACGGAGGTGATCTCCTAGTACAACTTTGTATTGATTTGTTGAGGCTACTCTCTGAGAAGACAGCTTAAGGTGGTTCCTGTGGTCACCTGTGTGTGCACTGAAACCACAACAGGTGTAACCTGTTAGGAAATGTTCCGATCTCGCTTCAGCCAGCCACACATACTTGGATCCGTGAATTGGTTAAAGTGTTAGATAGAAGCCTGGACACAAATCTTTCTGTGCAGCTCAATAGCTACTAAGGTGTCGGTCCACAGCAACGTGTCATGGAAATGAGTTGCTGAACAATAAGCAGCATTGATTGCTCTAAGCATTTAAACATCGCACGTCTGTTGTACAGTAATGAGGCTTTAACCCGATGAGGTGCTTTATTTGTTTTTGGCATGTAGTGCAGCAAATATAATTAGCATTTTTAAGCTTGTTTTCATTCAGCACCAAAAACAATACAATAGATAGATTCTCTAAAAGGAGACTGTTGTTGCAGTTTAATTAAGTCTTTTTATTAAATATCAAATCTTGTACCGCTTTCAGTTTCTTATAAAGTAAGTGTTTTGATTCAAGTGCAGAAGGTCACGTAAGTTAACGGGGGCTTTGAGGCTCACAGCAGAACTCTGCCGGCTGCTACAGCACGGGCGTCAATCTCCATTTTGGAAGAGTGCCATCGAGCCAGGAGCTGAAACATAGAAGCTGAACATCACAAAGTCACCTTCAAGAAAGTACAAATGGTTTTCCACACCAAAGAAGAGTCATTCCAAAATCCAGCTAAACGTTCAGGCCAAGATGGTCTTGATCCAAATGGGATCCCAGACAAGCCCCCATTTATGTTACAACCCCAAACTGTGTTGTTAAAAAGTGAAGGAGGGGGTAACATAAGAAACATGATTATGGGTTAAAATGGGTGTCATTGTCATAAAAATGTTCTAGAAACAAGCGAGCAAACAGATGGGGAGCATTACTGAAATAATGCCTAACTCATTCAAATTCATCAAACTTAGAGTTAAAACCATTAAAGTTAAAACTCATCAAATCAAAGGTGTTCAAGCCAAAATCTGAGGCCTGGAGGACAGCAGAACCCCCAAACTACTGCCTCCCAGACTGCTGAAGGCACAGCCTTTTTTATCCCAGGTGTGGGTCATCAGAGGGATTCAGCTCAGCAGTGCTCCTCACCAGCCTGGAGGGTAGGAGGAGGAGGGGCGGTGTTTGGCTGATCACCGGGGCTGGATGAACCTGGCTCCTGCATTTGAAGAGGCCAGGCTGGTGGCCATAACTTTGTGTATGCACATGAATGGAGGCGTAACAACACCTGACTCGTCAGAAGTTTCTGACATCACCCAAAGTCTCATCAGCAGTCAACCCGACTGGCTGGAGAGTGGTGGTCCTCCACTCTCAAAGGGGAAAACAATCAGTGGGTGTGTAAAGCTAAAACTCCTTTCTGAGGCAGATATTGTTGCAACAGTGTTTCAATGGAGCAGTTACAGCATCGCCCCTCTCATTAGGACACGTGAGGTTTAATTTTTTCTGCTCCACAAGTGTGAGATTCTGTGGCCTCCGTGTACAAATCAAGGATAAGAGGCTTTTCTGTATTTTAGGGGGAAAAAGCAGAAAAGATTGATTTTTAACTGAACACCAGCAGGAATAAATGTTTCACCGTCATATTGAAGCTAGAAATTGATTCGATCTACAAAACTTCCTGTAGAGCTAAAAGTCAAGTGTTAACATAGCCACATGTGTCTGCTTGCAGTTTGGGTTCCTGCTCACCTCCGCCGTACATGACTGCTAACATGATGGAGGAGATCCAGGACACCTGGCTGCTGCTCGCGTTGAAAATCACCTCAATTTCCTTGAAGAAGACAGTGATCGACTTGGCACTTGCATAGGAGAAGCCAATAGAGATGAAGGCCCCAACCACCACCATCCATCCCCATCCACCCTCAGGTGGGGTGTAGCCTTGGGGACCACCAAGGGCAACCGGCATTTTTCCTCAGTTGTGAAAACCTGTTTGGGGAGAAAAAGATCATATCAAACAAATAAACAGCAACCAGAAAGGGGTTGGTTGGTTGGTTGGTTGGGGGGGGGGGGGGGGGGGGGTCTGTACCAAAATCGGTACCGTTTATTTATTTTAATTTTTCCAGGGCCAAGGAAATGTAGGTGTTGTTGCATTCCTGAGACGATGAGTGTAAATTCACGTGATGTTCAGTCTTTTTCTTACTCCGTGGTGTTTTATACTTTGGAATAAATAAAAATAAACATTTACCTGCTGTGTAAAAAGTACATAAGAACTTCTGCCTAAAAGCACTTCTCCATTAATCTCTCCGCCGTCTGACCAGACAGACCAAACTTGCATTCCAACTCCAGGGTTTTGCTTATTGTACCAAACAAAATCACCATGAAGCTCAGAAAAATGGTTTCTCCTTGCACCCTTGCTTTGCTGAGATTTCAGGAGAAAGGAACATGATCTTTCAAAAGAAATCTCTTCACTTAGTCAATAATAACAGAGTTTAAGATGAGGGGCACCGTTTCTGGAGCCGCTTTGCACTGAATTGCACTCCACGTGTGTTCTCCAAACCCCCTGCCACCAATCTCCCACAGTCTCACTTTAGAGGTAATGAATAAGAATCTGTCTGCAGAGTCAAACTGCTTACTGTATTGTTTACACAGGACAGACTATCTAGAGAGAACATCGATCAGACCATGAAAACACGCTGAATTCACACTGCTCTATCGCCCAGGGCTGCGCTCCAGAGCGGGTGATAATATAGTGTTTTTCAGTCGAGGGGGACTTGATTTGGTTGATGAATTGGTTTATTGCTCTGAAAACTTATTGGATAAGCCCAGTTGTGTGCAGCAAGTAGTGAATATTTAATGTATAAAATAACTTTTGTTATTGAACTGGGGTTTTAGCTGCTGCTGTGCAGCTGTAAATGTGCCTCCTCTGTTGTTCTACAGACACATTAAGTAGGTGTAGAGAAATAAGAACTCAGAGTATTTCCTTTATTTCTTTATTATAGTTCACTTAGAATAATTTAGTTACCACTTGGGTAAAAGCAGTGCAATTTGCATATATATTACATATGAAGATAGCATATTTTTGAATGAAGTAGTTGACTGTGTTAGATTGTATGAGCATTTTCAGATGCTTGTTGTAGTTTAAAATGTTCATTTGTGGAAAATACATGTTTTATGTTCTGTGTGGTTCTTGTGCTTGTTTTAGAGTAACACTAAAATGTTTTTTTTTACTTTGCACTAGAGCTTTAACATTGATCTCAGTGATTGTTGAGTTGGAAACTTTAAAGGTTGAATATGGAATAATTAAACAAAAATCTATATTCTTAATATGTGCAGAGGGAAGGTACTGTACCTAATTTAAAAGCTTTATTTTAATAAAATAGAATAAAATATTTATTTTGACTGGCACAACACTGGGTTAATGTTTACATCTACCAGCCAATAGAGGGCACCATTGTGGGTTGTCAAACAGTCCGCTGAGCACAGCGAGGCTGGCCCTGTGGAAAATGGCAGACTCGGCAAGTCAATTCAATTCAAGTTTATTTATATAGCGCCAAATCACGACAAGAGTCGTCTCAAGGCACTTCACATAATAAACATTCCAATTCAGGAAAGTTCATTAGGCCAATCAGAAATAATTTTTCCTGTATAAGGAGCAGCTGCTTCTGAGCCCAGAAGACTTCAATAATCTCCTCAGAAGAGGAGCGACCATAAAAGACCTAAACCAGACTTTAGTTTAGAGTTTTGGTGAAGCCTATAACAGATGGACCCAAATAAAAATTTTCACGTATAGGCAGCAAACCTGGTATCCCGATATCTGGAAACCTTGTTCTATTGTTGCAACTACAACCTCCACACACTAGATGTCGCTGTGGTGTTTGTGTTCCATATAAACTTTTCACAGTTTTGTGGAGGAAGGTAGGGGGACCTCTTTACTTGCATTACAGCTGTTATGCTAACAGTTTGCTTTTTCAGTTTGTTGATCATCAATAAAAAGCACAAGAAGAAGAAATAGATAAAGTTTGCTTTTTCTGTTGGCATCATGACAGAGTAATGTCTTCGGAGTCAAAGCAAAGAGCTAACCCCAAACAGCCATCCCTGTCTTTGGGGTTAGCTAACCCTCACCCCAAACAATGAAACAGGCAGAGGTGTGACCAAGTCACTGCTTTGCAAGTCACAAGTAAGTCACAACTCTTTCCAGTCAAGTCTCAAGTCAAGTCCAAGTCAAAGACAACCAAGTCCAAGTCGAGTCCAAAGTCAATGATGTGGAAGCCCAAGTCAAGTCCAAGTCCTTAACTTAGAATTTTTAAGTCATATTCAAGTCATCGGTACAACTTCAATTTAATGACGATGATAATAAATAAATTCCAGAAATAAAGCTTCTTAAAGCTTCATTTATTTGCTCAAACAAGCAGAAAGTGCAACTGAAACTGATTATAAACAAAGTGCTGCAGCATTTAACCGTACAAGATCAAACCCAGAACAAAGAATGATTTATGATTTTTGTCCGTGTCATGCCACTTTTGTGCTAAAACATCAAATATGCTCAAGTCATCATCAAGTCAACAGATGCAAGTCGATTAAAGTCGCAAGTCATTGGCCTACAAGTCTGAGTCAAGTTGTAAGTCTTTATAGATTTTATCAAGTCAAGTCAGAAGCCATTAAAATAATGACTCGAGTCTGACTCGAGTCCAAGTCATGCGACTCGAGTTCACACCTCTGGAAACAGGACTTCCTCTTGGTGAGAACTTGCCGTTTCTGTGGATTCATTCCTAATGTGTGAACGTGTAGTGGTGTCACACATTCACTATTGTCCTCACCTTTGATAAACACAAGATTTATACAATCTGGCCTTTTCTCCACTGCTTCCAACGTTCTTCAAAAACTGCACACATAAAAACAAGTAATATAACATCAGTGTGAAACTTAGGATGCTTCTAAGAATAAAATGTCTTGCATGGTAACAAAAAACACATTTGCCAACATTTGGTTGCTTGGCTCAAAGTAAGAGATCAAAGTCTCACGCAATTCAGGAAAAAAAACGATGAAATTGATTCAGTTAAGCAAAGCAAAAGAATGGAGTAAGAAGACAAATGGGCAGAGAGGCATGAAACCTCTCTGGGTTGTGAGGGTCTAAATAAAGTACTCAAAGTGGCAGCCTGAAAGTGCTACTTGACAACACGCATGCCAGCAGAAGGCAGGGTTAGCTGAGCACAGGACGCAAACAGAAGTGGACCCAGTCCCTGGAGCTGGAATGTACAAACAAACATTTAAAAATGTTGCCCTACAACACAAACTTATGGAACATTTCATGTTTATTATTGTGTTTAGAAGCTGAGCTGGGGGGTAATTTTGAGAAATTTGAAGCTTTCCTGTACTAGACAGCAGTCTGTCTTAGATAAAGAGGGAAGATTCATGGCCTTGAAGCCCAGTCAGCTCATAAATTCTACTACCTGAAGAAAAAAATACAGTCAAAAGTTTCACAATGACTCAAGCAAACATTCTGCTGCATCACGTTTGCCTGAGAGCTTTATTTAACCAAAGAATGAACGTGTTTCAACACTGTCTGGGGCTTTTGTAACACAGACTTTGTGCAACACTGTGTGACAAAACAAATTGTGTTATCCAGTCAGTCCTTACAGAAAACCTGATGTCAAAGTGATGCAATGTAAAAATCCACAGTGTAGCGTTTACAATGAATTTTTTACAGTGTGAGCAGCTTAAGATGGTGAAAGTTTACTGTTCTAGTGGTCGTGTTCTGAAAGGCATCAGTCACAAAGCCTCTTTCTACAGTGACTGCAGTGATTGTTGCAGGTAACACACCAGTACTCTAATCTATCTTTCTACACGCTCACTGAAAATAAACAATAATATCTAAAACAAAGACCATTTGAAGCAGGGGGTGACAAAATGTTTCAAGGTGAGGGCCAAAGTCATGAAGCCCCCACAGGCCACGTAACAAGGTGATTTTTTATTTTCACTCAAAAAGGCCTAAAATAAAATATTGGTAACAATCCAAACTTTAAGAAAAAGTTCTAGAAATGCAACTGAGGCCGGCACAAACTAATTCCAATGGCCACAAATGACCCCAGAACCACACATTGGACTCACCTGCTTTATAGAGATAACTCAGATTTCTTTAAAAGTGGTTAGATGTGCCGTGGTTGTTGAAAATGATCATCTCACCCACGTTTGATAGGTCTTGTATGGAAGCGTAGAGATGCCACCCATGCAAAAATAAAATTTGCGCAAAATCACGTACAATAAAAATTTCACATTCGTACAATATGAATCCTTTATTGTATGAACATGATACTTAAATTGTACAAACAAGAAAATAATATTGTTAGAACAATAAAGTTAAGCTGTTATAATGCGATATTGCTTCTATTTTATTTTGCGGTGGTGGCAGTTCTATGCTTCCGTACACGCTACAAATTGTGTGTATTTGCAGCACTCAAGAGTGATTTTGTGCAGCTTCCAGCTGCACTTCTAGAATGAAAAAAATTGTATCTAGCATGTTGTTTATGTAGGTTTTTACTTTCTAAAAATTTTAGGTTCAGATTTCTAAAAATATGCAAATTGTGGACCTATTCTTTTTTTTAAAGACTGTTTCTTCTTCTATTTGAGGAGTAACCATTGGGGGTATAAATCACCATGAAATCACTTTAGGATTTTTTAAATATAACTGAATAACTTTATGATTTTGTCTCTTGATCTGCAAAGTTTGGACACTCCTGCTCTAGAGGAGAATTTTTTATGAGCTAATAATTGATCCCAGTGGGACCAAAGTGAGCTTCTGCCTTTTAAAAGAACTTTGTTTGCTTAAATCAATTCATTTCCATCTTACACATAACATTTTCATTGTTTTTGTACGTTACACAAATATTCTGGCAGAAATAAGAAATTATTCTGCATATGCAAATATCTATGCAGTTATAAAGTGTTGGTAAACATAAACAACTATGATATTTTATAGACTAGAATAGCTTTTTTTATGGAAGTTAAGCAACCCCTGCTGAATAGCTATTAGGTCTGGGTATAACCAATCTATGTTTCTCTAAACTGAGGCTGCTGAAATAGTTAAAATTCTACAACATATGTGATTTTACTTCATTTTAGAAGTTCTCTAACTAAATTATAGCTAGAAAAAGTCACGAAAACAGGGGCTCACCTAATTTTGAACAGCACGTGTTTACTTACCAGATTAATCTCCTGCTCTTTTAGTTAAAATGTGATTTTATTCTCCCTGCAGCAATACTCGGGGCCTTTTCTGACCTTAACTTTCTGACATCAAACTTAATGAATTTATGTTTTATAGATGAAAACAAGACAGTTAATGTTTGCGCAGAAAACTCCCAATTTAACATAATTTACATTGTGCTCTGAAAAATGCCAAACTGTTAAACACTGATTACATGAATGTGATGTGTTGAGCATCTTACCTTGAAGAGGGACGAATGAGCTCTGCAGATTAGCTCTTGAAGACACGCTAATGCAAAGCAGACATGATCAAATGTGACTGAGAGGATTTGAATATGGATAAAAAAAAAGAAATTACAAATCACTACGTATGTTTGACAGAGATGCTGGGAGGGATCTGTGGTTCTCTAGCGACGATGACAGTTCTGAGGCTGCTGCAGGCACACAAGCTTCAGCTCGCATCAGTTTCCAGTGAATAAAGTAAAGTTGGGTCTTCTCAGATCAAACGGCGTGTTGATCTGGACACTATGGTGCTAAACTGTTGGGTCAGTGGAGTTCTTATTGGCCGTGGGAAACGTACTGCCATGCCCCTTCACAAAGCTTTCCCCACCCCTCTGTCATGTGCCTTGTTCAAACACAAGAGAAGATTAGAGTGCCTTCTTAGATCTTGTTTTTGTTTTTCATTCGAACTGATTTATTACTGATATTCAATTGCATGTTGCAGCTACAGAGAAAACGCTTTTTAAAAAAAATCCCTGAACAACATTGTTTACCTCAAGCACCCAAAGAAAGAGTCTGAACACTCCAGGGGTCAGCCCAATTTCAGCCTTTTTTCTTCAACTCCCCGTGGAGCTATTAATAAACCTGCACCAGGACGTAGGAAAGGCCACGCATGAGTACAATCATTTTACAACAACAGGTCCTTCAAATTCTTGACACCACTGAAACTATTAATCTTTTTTTTTTTTTTACATTGTTTTATATAATTTTCCTGTTTGACAACAACTTCATTGTTTTTCTTTTGATTGGTGCTGGAGAGAAACACCTGTTACTCAAAGTTTAGCATTGGTGTTTATTCTCTGAATTTGAGACAAAAACACTTGTAGTCATGAATTTTTGTCACTTCCACAAAAACTTCTGACTTAGGCCCTGTCCACACGTAGCTGGGGATCTGCCAAAACGTAGATATTTTTCTACGTTTTGGCCTGTCATCCACACGAAAACGGAGTTTTTTCACACGAAAACGGATCTTTTTAAAAACTCCGGCCAAAGTGAAGATCTGCATTTTCTCCGTTTTGGGTGTCTGCGTGTGGACAGACAAAACCGGAGTTTTAAGGTCCGCAACGTCACTTTCCGCGACAAGAAAATGCTGACATCACGTGTGCGACCTGTGTTTACACTAGCCGACAGCATGGATGCCCTCGCTTTATCAATTGTCCAAGCGCTTTTTGCTTGTTTGTTTTTGCAAGCGGAATTACTGCTCCTTGTGGAAGACCACAGACGAAGGACGAGGTTAAGAACGGGGGAAGCACTGCCGCCTACAGGTCTGGCATGTCCTTAACAACGGATTTATCCGGGTATGTGTGGACAGAGTTTTTTTTTTAAAACAAGGTGGTGTGGATGCAAGTTTTTGGAGGGGCGGATATTCGTTTAAAAAAAACGGCTACGTGTGTACTAGGCCTCTATTTCAGACACAATATTTTGTTTTCATTATCTAATTTTTATTCCCATTTCCTCTTTCAAGTTGGATGTTTTGGCAGTCAGTATCTTACCTGCAACAGACAACAATCTTTAAGGAGTCGAGCTAATGAGGAGAGGACCTGATGAAAATTGAACCTCAAACTCAAAAACAGTTTAAATGAACATCATATCAGGTCTTGTGTGTATCTTGTATTTTTAATGTCCAGGGTCAGGCCGCGGGGGCAGCAGCCTAAACAGAGAGGCGTAGACTTCCCTCTCCCTGGTTGGACTTGCCTAGAAAACCTCACCAGGAAGGCATCCAGGGGGCATCCTAACCAGATACCTGAGCCACCTCAACTGGCTCCTCACAATGTGGAGGATCAGCAGATCTACTCAGAGCTTGTTCTGGATGACCGAGCCTCTACAGTAACCGTAAGGGAGAGCGCAGCCACCCTGCAGAGAAAACTAATTTTGGCCGCTTGTATCCACAATCTCATTCTTTTGGTCACTACCCAAAGCTTGTGATCATAGGTGAGGGTTTTGGGTAGTGACTGAAAGAACGAGATCCATTGCTTAATATAAAGGAGCAATTTTAAGAAATTTACAATGAAATAAGGTGAGGGTAGGAACATAGATCGACTGGTAAATCCAGAGCTTCACTTTCCAGGTCAGCTCTCTCCTCACCACGATAAACTGATAGAATGCCCGCATCACTGCAGACATAGCACCAATCCTATTGTCGATCTCCCGCTCCATCTTTTCCTCACTCGCGAACAACACTCTGTGATACTAAAACTCTTTCACTTGGGGTCGGACCTCATTCCTGACCTGGTGAAGACATTCTACCCTTTTCTGATTCAAGACCATGGTCTTGGACTAAAGGAGCTGATTCATCACAGCTGCTTCACACTTGGCTGCAAACTGCTTCAGTGAAAGCTGAAGATCACTGTCTGATGAAGCCAACCGGACCACATCATCTTCTTAAAGCAGAGACCCGATCCTCAGGCCACCAAAACAGATTTTCTTCTCAAATCCTTGGATGTGCGAAATCTTGTCCATAAATGTTATGAACAGAATTGGTGACGAAGAGCAGCCTTGGCAGAGTGTCTTGCTTATAATGTTTTAAACCAGCTTTTATCAGAATCAACCATTTTTCAGCGGCCATTACAACGGCAGGACAGAGAAAGCACAACCTTTTTGGTATGTTAGACACCCTAAACTGCCTTTATTCAACAACAACAAGGTAAATGTGGCTTTAGCTTCTAGAGTCTATTTGGAGACATTTGTGACCAAAGAAGCATTTAGCTTTCTAACTTTTACACACAACACACTCTTGTTACTTCAGCTGAAAACCACCTTGTTTCTGCAGACATGAAACTTGAGGACTCCTGTCAGGCTGAACAAGATCACCACAGCGTCTTTTTTCTTTAAGAATCACTCCAGAAAACCCCCTTTCTGTCTCTTTATGCAGTATTTGAAGGAACAATAGTGTTTCTGTCATGTAGCAGCTCAGAGGAGGTGCACAATCTCCCTGTTTCATCAGCATAATCACTCAGAGAGACAGCTCCCAACTGACTTGGTGATGGTGACATCATCCCAAAATTTCTGGTGTATCTGTGTCTACGTGTCAGACCTGTCGTTGCCTTGGGAGTTGATTGTTCTAATCCCATTGTGTACAGTCAACAAGCAAAGAACTTTCTGCATTTGAAGAAGGAGGCGGTTAATCTGGGCTTTGTGTGGCCTAATCAGGGTTCAGGTTACGCCATCCAGCAAGCATGGACAGAAAAACAAGGAAGTGTTCAGCCATGAAAATCCCTAATTATGATTCAAGATCCTAAATATTCAATGTCCGAAACATTTGTGTAGCCAGAGAATATATAGATGGGTTTAAGCTTTGCAGTTAAAACTTACATGTTCACACCTAGTCAGTCAGAGCCTCACAAAACTGAAATTATTTGTTTCAGAATTTGTTTATGAATTTTAGACCTGAATTTAATGCAGTTTAACCAACAGTTGTATTTAATCACAGGCGGATAATCGTAGCAAATTACTAAAATCTCACTCATTCATCTTCTTAATGGCTTATCCTCTGTAGGGTCACAGGAAATTGGTCTCCAGTGGTCACTGGGCCAGAGGTGGGGTCACACATTCTTCACAGGAACATGCAGGGAGAGTCATTCACTCATGCCTAGGGATAATTTAGTCCCCAGTTTACCTGACATGCAGGTTTTAGTTCATTTGGAAAAAGCCAAAGAGCCCCAGAGAAAACCCATTAATGCATGGAGAGTGTCAGCGCGTGCCGGTGAATGAAGCGTCGGAGGTAAGGATCCATATGCAGCTGAGGGAAGCAGGCAAGCAGACACACTGGAACGATTAAAGGTTTTTATGGGGAACACGCCAACATAGATACAATGATCCAACACGAGACACAAAACTGAAGGGGTTTAAATACAGGAGGGCTGGGAGCTTGGGTGATTGGGAAACGAGAGGCAGGTGGGAGCAATTAACATGGACACATGACTAAACAGAACGGGGAGACAAGACAGGGTGTGACAGTACCCCCCCCCCCCCCCCCCCCCCGCCCCAAAGGGCGGATTCCAGACACCCACAGGAACATAGAGCAGGGCGTGAGGAGGGGGACCCGGAGGGAGGGCCAAGAGGGACCGAGGGCCCGACGAAGAGGAGGCAGGGACCAGTAGAGTCCGGGGGCCTGCGCCTGGGGCAGAGGAGGCGACGACGGGCTCTTGGGGGCCTGCATCTGTGGCAGAGGAGGCGGTGACGACGGGCTGTTGGGGGCCTGCGTCTGTGGCAGAGGAGGCGGTGACGACGGGCTGTTGGGGACCTGCATCTGGGGCAGAGGAGGAGGCGACGACGGGCTGTTGGGGACCTGCATCTGGGGCAGAGGAGGAGGCGACGACGAGCTCTAGGAGGCCTGCGTCTGGGACAGAGGAGGAGACGAGGATGGACTCTTGGGGGCCTGCGCCTGATGAGGGCAGGACTGGCGGTGACCGGAGGCAGAGACGCCGGAGGAGACGTCCTTGACTTCTGGACTGGAGGCGGCGTCGTCGGCCTCTGGACTGGAAGCGGCGGCGTCAGCCTCTGGGCTAGAGGCGGCGTCGTCGGCCTCTGGGCTGGAGGCGTCGTCGTCGGCCTCTGGGCTGGAAGCGGCGTCGTCGGCCTCTGGGCTGGAGGCGGCGTCGTCGGCCTCTGGGCTGGAAGCGGCGTCGTCGGCCTCTGGGCTGGAGGCGGCGTCGTCGGCCTCTGGGCTGGAAGCGGCGTCGTCGGCCTCTGGGCTGGAGGCGGCGTCATCGGCCTCTGGGCTGGAGGCGTCGGCGTCGCCCAATGGACTGGATATGGCTTCGACCACTGGACTGGAGATGACGTTGACCACGGGACTGGAGACGGCGTCGACCACGGGACTGGAGACGGCGTCGACCACTGGACTTGAGACGGCGTCGACCACTGGACTGGAGACGGCGTCGACCACGGGACTGGAGACGGCGTCGACCACGGGACTGGAGATGACGTTGACCACGGGACTGGAGACGGCGTCGACCACAGGACTGGAGACGGCGTCGACCACGGGACTGGAAGAGGCGTCGACAACAGGACTGGAAGTTGCATCGACAACAGGACTGGAAGAGTCGACTTCTGGTCCGGGGGCGTCGATTTCTGGATTGTCGACTTCTGGTCCAGGAGCGTCGGCTTCTGGATCGTCGATTTCTGGACCGTCGGCTTCAGGACCGGGAGCGTCGACTTCTGGATCGTCGGCTTCTGCACCGTCAACTTCTGGACTGTTGACTTCTGGATCATCGACTTCTGGACCGTCGACTTCTGGTCCAGGAGCGTCGGCTTCTGGATCG